CATGTAATACACATACACACTGTTCTTGTGGGGAAGGAAAAGGAAGAAGATAAATTCACATTCTCTCAGAATTATCTCCTTACAATGATTCCTAGTAATCGACTCATTATCAATCAACATGATGATTCTCGATGAAATTCATCAAGTTTATCTCAATCAACATTTATCACCGATAACAAATAAACAACACAAACAAAGTTAAACACTCACCAAGATTATATTCCTGATAATCATCGGGCTCAGAATTGGAGTCAAATTTTATCCCTTCAATAAGAGTTAAGAACAAGCGAAAGTTTTCATGAGAATCTAATGAATGTGATGAAGTGGAACTCGAAAGTTCTGAGACAATCTGATGAATGTTTATTTTGGAAATTGTGAGATATTGAGATAATTCTGGCGGCGAAAAACTTCAAATCTTCATAGGAAAAGTTAATCACAATAAACTTCAACTACCTGAGAATATTTTTTGTTCTTGAGCCAAGAAAATAAATTCAAGGTGAAAAATTGATATTCTCTTGTTCATCATTCTGATTCAGCCTGATCTTCACCATGATTCTCGTGTATTCACCAGGTAAATTCAATTTGATTTTATCTAATTTGTTACTTACACTTGATCATCTTTATCTTCATCTTTTTTCCTGTGGAATTTTTTTCTCAAACTCAATTCATCTTAGTTTTTTTCTTTTTCTTTTCTTTCTCTCTCATTGGGAATACCCTGAAATCTTCTGAATTTATGTTATATATCTTCAAGAGTTCAAGATACTTCCTATTTCTCCAGCCCTTTCATGTTATTCTTGTTTCTTTCTCAATCTTATTCTGTCTTTTTCTCTGTCTATTCCATTCAGCATCCTGATTATGTTTCAGAACAATTTTTTCTGCTTCTCTTTTGCTTCCTCCATCATGGTGTATATAAGTTATTTCTAATTCAATGGGTACCTAATAATAACTGTAAACGTGACATCCTTTTTTTATCATCTATTTCTCATCTTATATCATCATCTTTACCTTATTCCATTGTACATATTGTAGTATTTTTATCAATAAAAATAAGAAAAAAATTTCTCAAGTCAGAAATTAACTCAATGTAAATTTTTCAGACTTTTCTTTGAGACCGATTAAGTTTCATGAGTTATCATGTTTCAAAATTCAACAGACTAACATTTATCGCTATCCTAAAACTTAACAATTAACATAAAGAATCAATTGAATGTTCAGCAGAATGGTAAGAATGAGAGAGAGAGAGAGAGAGAGAGAGAGAGAGTAGATTATGGTTGAAGATAATGATGATAATCAAGATAAAGGATGTTGAACATGATTGAAATGAAAATGGATTAAGAGGATATCATGATAATCATCATGGTGATAATAATAATCTTACTGATGAAAGGAAATAAGAGTAAGAAAATGAACTAATCATCATTTTAATCCTATTGAAGATAATGATAACATTTTCAATCACCACCACCACCACCATCATCATCATCATCATGAGATAAACAGTTAATGGTTCATGAGGAAATAACAATGAATCATTTTCAATGGAAACTAATCATTAGATTTTCAACAACAATAAAATATCAATATCGAATTTTTTTTTTCTCTCAAATTGTCTTGATAATAGAAGAGTGATAATTTCATGAGCAATTCAATCATCATGTTAATGATTTATCATCATCATGGAAGATTGAAAAAGTTGTAATAATAATAATGAAACAATTGGAAGAAAACATTTTGTTTCAAATCACAAATAACAGAATCAATATTGACTCTTAAAAAGAAAAGAAAAACCAACTTGGAATTCAAGTTCGAGCTTCAGATCTTTGATAAAAAAAAACTTTTCTTCTCTCTCAGTTTCTATCGATATTATTTCATCATCATCATCATCAGCAACCATGAAAGAAAGAAAAGAAAATCTCTTTTCATCATCATCATCTCTGAATAGGTTGCAGATGAAACGATCTGGACCATGGTCAGATTGGTTTGCTTTTCCAAATCATTTAACATATTAACCACATTTACGATAATTCACAATTCCAACCAAAAACTTATCTTCCTTTTCTTCATCACCATTATCATCCACATCCATATCAATATCATCAACAACAACATCATGAGAGAATTGGAAATGTTCATCATCATTTCCCTGATTATTGTTCAGTTATCATTTATCATCAAATGAAACAATTGAACAGCCAAGACAAAAACAGTAACAAAAACATCAACATCATCACCATTTACATTGTAATATTATATAAGCTTGATTATCAACAATCAAACATGATGATGATTATCATCATAATCATCATCATGATAGCCAATTGATTTGATAATATATATATAAATATCTGAAGGGGATTGAATGTTATTGAAAGGGTCAAGCGTTTGAGGTTTACTGTTAAATAGTAAATTGTAGCAAGAAGGTCAATCAACCGTTAATTAAATTGCTGAATGAAATTTATATTCACCTTAGTTTTTTTATCATTCATTAATCAACACCGTTGATTGTTGATCAACAAAAGCTGATTAAAAAACTATGACAAACTAAATTGTTGTCCTAATTCCTGTTCAACTATAAATATCAATCAAATTGATTGTTTACTTTTTTTTTTAAACTCGCAAAGGCTTAAATTCACAAATCAAATTGTTACAATTGACAAGAAGTTAACGAATGAAAAAAAGTTCCAACTATTTAATCAGTTTACTTGAGAAATCAGAACAAAAAAATCATCATGAAAAAGAAGAGAAAAGTTTTCCTTTCGAATGAAATTTCCTAAATTTTTCGTAGCACTCGAATTAGAATTGGAACTTTTGTTTCTTCTCTATCCTTTCTCTTGATCACAATTAAGCTAATTGTTTCTATTAATTGTAAGACCTGAAGATCAAGGGCAATCAGTTTACATTGTTGTTGTTCAACATTTATCTCAATTGATTGGGTTAATCATTTTGATTGATAATCAATTGATTGGTTTTGTTATTAAGCTGATTGTTTGTTGATTGTAAACAGGAAACAATCAACTGATCACAATTGAGATTTACATTTGAATCATCAACTGAATCTTCATTAGTGTTAATTGAGTAACAATGAAAAAAAAAATGTTGATCACTATTTTAAGGATAATATAAAATAACCAATTTGGTTAATTGCAACTGATCAACAATTTAATTTCATAATGTAACCAAGTTGATTTATTTAGTTGATTGTTTGTAGTTTTCATCTAAATTGCTTTTCAATTATTAATCAAAAACATGAGAGATTGTGAGTCATCAAGATGATGAAAAGGTAAGAATCATGTTGGAACTTTTTTCCTTAATCATTTGTTATTATTGAAGATTCTGAGATGAAGGTAAACTTTTAAAGGTTTAAGGGAGAGAGAGAGAGATACAAGCTTAGTGAGAGACTTTAAGTAGGATGATGGAAGAAGATGAAGGATGATAAGTGTGATGAGAAAGAAAGAGAGAGAGAGAGAGTAAATAAGAAAAAAAAAATTCGATTTGATGTCATTCCTTTGGAAAGGATGAGGATAAACAAAGAAAAGGATAGAATTTGAAAGAGAAGATAAAAGATATGATGATGATAATTTTTCACTCAAACAGGTAGATAATTTTCATCCCTTTATCATCTTACTTTTCATCCTTTCAGAACAATTTTGTTCATCATCTACTATTATATAAAAAGGTAACAATAATAATATGGGTCAAGGGGTTGGTTGAAAGTGATGATGAGGAAACATCTTAACATCATGATAATAATGTGAATAAGATACAAAGGATGAGGATGAAGGTTGATGAAGATAAAAGATGATTTTTCTTTGGTAAAGAAAGAGTTAATCAAATTGTGTAAAAAGGTAAAAATAGTAAAACATTTATGAAAGGAAAAGGATGAAGATGTTGAGGATGAGGATGGAGAGAAAGAGGAAAAGTGATGAAAAAGGAAGGAAAATAGAGAGAGAGAGAGAGAGAGAGAGAGAGAGATGGGTGGGTGGGTGTTATGGTAGAAAAGGATGAGGATGAGAAGAGGGAGTTGAAAGTGGTTGGAAAAAAGAAATAATTTCTTAGTCTCAAGAAGATGAGGAAGATAAAGAAAAGAAAACCAATTAAGTGGTTTACTTTTTTTTCCTTCACTTCATCAGCATCTTCCACCCTCACTTGATCCTCTTCCTCTATCCATAAGGTACCCCACCCACTCTTCCTCTTACTTTTTCTCTTTCTTTCTCTTCTTAGTTATATTCTTTTAAAATTCAAATGTTTCTTCAGTATTAACAATACTTGATGTTCATTAATGAAGTTCAGGGTAACCAGTTCATTTAGAATAACAAATCAACATGAGATTATCTTGAATAAAGAATAACAAAAAAGAGAAATCGAAAATAACAAAAATAACTTTTACAGTTCGAAGTCAAACTTTTCTAATCTTTGAAAAGTTCTAAGAGAAAAAAACTTTTTCGTATCTTAATTTAACATCTCAATTCCTGGAAGATTAAAAGATAATCATCAAGCTTAGATGACAATAATAACCATGATCGGAGATGATTAATTTAATTAGACAAACAATTGATTAACTATGAATTGTCTTTGGTGATCATCGATTTCACTATTGAATCAACCTCTCAAATCAATTGGTTGAAAATGAAAGAGTTAGAATTGTTCAGTCTAATGGAAATACAAGAAAAGGACAAGCAAAAAAAACCAACATCCAAAAATATATCAACAGAATCAACAAATTAACTGAACCAGAATTTTAATTAAAACTCAGAAAACCATGAACATGAGACACAATTAACACCCAAGTAATATAAATAATCATCAAGAGCAACAATAAGATCAACAAATTAAGATAAGTTAAGTTAATCGTAAACTCTGAACACAATGAATTTACAATTAAAAGTAAAATGATCAACAAATTGAACATAATACAAATAGTTAACCACTGGAAAATTGGAATAGCTGAAAAGATGGATTATCTCAATTGGATTAAGAGAGAGAGAGAGAGAGAGACTCACCTTATATCAATGCTGAGAAGTTGAGCTAAGCTTGGATTTAATCCGAACTTTCTTGATCGAAGTGATGATTTGGATGATGGTCTTTTAGTTGATGAGGATGATAAAGATGATCGAACATTTTTAAATTCCAATTTAGTTGTTGATTTATCGTTGAAATTATTCACGATTTTCACTAAATCACTAAAATCATCGTCGATAATTAAAATATCACCTGAGTAAAGTTGATTAGCTGATGAAGATGTTGACGAAACTGGACCACCTCCGCCTTGAGGTGGTGTTAACACTGACCCACCGCCTCCGATCAGACTGTTATAATTACCACCGGTGGGTGAATGGATACCATTGTAATTAACACTTTTAACATAATCAATGTTACCATAATTATCAATCTCGTTGGCAATTAAACTTTTCTCGTTACCATTAACAACTGAATTAACTAATTGTACTGATTCACTTGCTTTCAATTGTTGCGCTGGATTAATTGACTTTCCCGAGTTAATTGTTGATATTAATTTACTACTGATTGGATTATTATTACCTGAATGTGAGATAGAAACAAGAAAATTAATTGTTAATTGTAAAATTTTATTACTCATTGATTGTTATTTATTTTCATAATTATATTCAATTGATTTAATTGTTTACATGATCGATAGTAATTTTTTCCCTCCTTGATTATGTCTCTTTCTGACAATTTAATTAACAGCAATTAATATCAATGTTATTATGATGATGATGATGACGATAATCAACCACAATTAGTAATTAGATCAACTAAATTATGCCAACAATTAAATCCTTTGCTCAATAATAAATAACTGGTTAATTAGCCGATTAAGTGTCTAATTGTTTTATTAATTGATTAATCTAAACACTTGTTTACTCATGTTAATCAAGACGAAACAACAAAAATTAAAGGTAAACCAGGAAATTAATTGTTAATTGATTGATAGGAAAACCTAAACAATTAAACAATCAATTGTTAATAACATTGATTAGTTAATTATGTTTCCAATATTAATAAACAATTTAACCATGAGAGTAATAATTTATTGATACAATTTGATTGTTACGAGAAAAAAAGTTTACTCTTCATCATTTAATTAACTGTTTTACTAATTATTATACCTAATCAAATATTATATCAAAGTAAACAATCAACTGGATTAGTATTGATATCGTTATTTGTGACTCTGATTGTCAACAATTGATGAAAAATTTGTTAATTGTTGAAATGAGAAAGGTTAAATTTTCTGGTTTAATAATACAGTTGATTAAATTTTTTTTCTGTCTATTCTGGCAATCAAAGTTAATCCGGTTTAAATTTGATTTTAAGCCAAGATTGTTTAAGGTCTCATCGATTGGCTTAATTGTTACAATTTGTGATCATGTTAATTACTATAATTAACCATTGAATCATTTCCGGTTCAGGTCAATTTATTGATTTAGTTTCTAATCTTTGTTTAACTTTGATTGAGACAGAAAAGTTTATTTATTATTGAGAAAAGTTTTTCATCAATTCAGATTATTGAATTGAGAGATTGAGGTTAGTATTTATGTTCATCAGGGTGATTCTGGTTACATGTGTAATCAGATTAATGTCTAATAGTTGATTATCTTGGCTTCAGGGTGAATTAATTGGTAGGGAGGGAGGGTGAGTGTTCATCATCATCAGGGAAAAGGATTAAGTTTGTCTCCTTCAATCAACCTGATTGTTAAAAGTTCTGGACAGTGTTCAGTTGGTTCAGAGATTCTGTCTGTTTAGTATCACAACAATTTCAAGGATATAACAAAGGGGGCGAATATCGTTTTACTTTAATTCAGCTTTCAGGGGAAATTTTTCACCTGCCCTCGGGTGATTTCGTTAACTTAACCATGTTTATTATTGTAATAATAATTATAATCATCATCATCATAGAAAAGTTGATTAAATGTTTTATATTTTTATCATCATTCCACTGAGTATTCCCATGGTTATCATTTCATATCATCATGTTTTGTTTGGATGTCAGGGAAGATGAAATTTGAATGTTTTCAAAAATTCATTCTCAAAATTATCATGGAACCATTTTTTTCATATATGTACCATGGGAACAGATAATTACCATGAAAAGAAGCATGAATTAGCTGAAATAATACAACTGATGAAATCTATAGTTTAATTATTGGGAAAATTTGTAAATCTATTATTCATGATAACCTCTTAAATACTGAGTAATGTTTGGATCAAGATATTAACTGACACTGAGAAAAAAGTTGATCTCATGGAATAAGTTTCTGGACATGATAACATGGTGAAGAAATTTCAATCTGAATCGAGGTTTATTTCGTTCAGATTTTGATATTTATTTTCTTGGCCGAGTTTTCATCATGATCACCACACATAAACCATGGTGAAGGATGATAATGGAGAGAGATCATCATCATGATACTTAGACAAATTCATTCTTGTGCAACGAATGATGAAAAGCAAGATGAAGATCTCATTTAGATTGAAAAAGAAAATAAAAAACAACGAGAGAGAGAGAGAGAGAGATGAAGATGGGGTGGGGTGGGTGAAAGAAAAAATTGATGGGATAAGGTGGAAGCAGAAAAGAAATCATTTTCAGCTTTTTCTCATCTTGCTCTTCATCCCCTTTGAGAAATTACCGTTAATCCCTTTTTCTTCATTTTCTGTTGACTGCAGTTCCATCATGCGATGAAAATATACTCAGCAATTGAAACAGATAAAGAATCAGGATCATCATGAAATTACAACCAAAATGTAAACAAGAGAGAGAGAGAGAGAGAGAGAGAGAGTGCAAGATTCTTGAGAAAAAGATGAAGCTCAATATTCCGTTAGGTTGATTTGTAAGGGTGAAAATTTTTATTCCATGAAACATGATCCTGAACATATTCAATTTATCAGAATTTTCATTCAGATTCAGTTGACTGATGATAATCAATAAGATTAACTTGGTTACATAAATATAATTGTTTGTGTCATTGGAGTAGCAACTTAGCAACTTTTTTGTTAAAAAATTTCTCTCTTCATCTTATTATTACTATTCAGGTAAAGATTCAGTTTCTATTTCATGAACTTGTCATGGTAAAAGATGATAATGAGAAAATGTAATAAACCAATTGAAGGGAAAGTTTTCTCATTTTCCTCTTTGATGGTAAATCATTTTTTCCCTTCTAATAATAATCAACTTGTAATAATCAATTGATTGTGTGTACGTTTCTAATGCGATTGAAATTGATTGTTTATCATGAGTATGATAGTCAAATTGCAATTAATTGTGATGACAATTATGCTACAATTGTGTGACACTACAATCAATCATTTACTAATAACTGATTACCATTAATAGTTAACAATCAAGTAACGAGAAAAAAAAACCATCATCTTCAAATAATCAATCAAATTAATCAGAATGAAATTGATGATATTTTTAGGTGAATGTGGATTTTTTTTGTCTCTCATCAAATCAAATTCAACAATTAGTGGTACATTAAACATGGATTAACGGTTAAACTGATTGGGCATCACACTAGGAAACAATTAACATGAATAATTAAATTATTACTCTCATCAATATGATACAATTATCTCAATGAGACTCGAAAAGGTTTCGACTATTTTTGGCACGAAAATATTTAACAGTTTCAAGGAAAGAAAATTATATAATCATAATAAAAATAACTTTTCTCTTCTGAAACAATTAAATATCATAATCGATGAATATCAAGATCATCATCAATGTAATAAAAGAATTCAAATCAAGGCTTTTTTTTCATGAGAGAAATTCATATGAACCCTGAAGAGATATAAAAAAAAACAGTTCTAAACAATTAAACCAAGAGTAAACTCTCAATTGAAATGATTGAATCGTTAACTTGGACACTGGTCACTCTTTACATACCTTTAATGGTCACTTGTGATTGTTGTTGTTTCTTGTTGTTGTTGTTGTTGTTGTTGTTCATACTCTCGGGACATCTGACGATATAAAACCCGCTTCTTGAAGGTGTCACCTAGGCCACTTTCGGGTGACCGCTGCTCATTGAGACGAGCAAAATCTTGACTATCAAGGAACCTAATTTAATAATCATCATTATCATCAAGGTGATAATAGACAAGGGAGAGAGAGAGAGAGTCAAGAGAAAGAGGAAAAAGGTTAACAATCATCATCATCATAATGATAATCATAATCATCATCAATGTAATCATTATGTTCATCATCTTGTCATCATTATCATTATTGTTATTATTATTTTTGGGTGTTACTTTCATATTAACATGGGAAATGAAACAACATTATCATCATCAAAGGTTAATCTCAAATCATTAACTTGATTATTGATCTTTATCAACTTTCAATGACAAAAAAAAGTCTAATTATCAATACAAACTTTTCAAAGGGATAATATCAAGGTAACAAAACAATCTCATGTTGTAACAATTAACATTAATCACATCCACTAATTAACAGTTCTCGTAATGTTATAATCCCCACCCACAGTTGTAAATAGACATATACAGTTATATTAATAGTATTAGAACTTTTTTTTTCGATCGAATATGAATTGGAAAATTGGACGAAAAAAAAATTTCCTTTTCTCCTTTTTCCTGTAAATCTGATGATGATGATGATGATTGAAACTTTCATGATTATGATGACATTATGATTACTTGTCATTGATTAGAGTGACAAATGATGATGGAAAAAGACAAACAATTGATTGGAAATTTTAATTGGATCAAATTGATTGTGAAGATGAATTAGATTGGGATAAACTTTTCTTACCTGTATGGTTTTGGATAATCAAATTGATCGTCGACAATTTTAGCATGTATCACAAATAATATGCAAAGAGCACCACAAATGCCGATTAAAAAGATCACAATTCGCTCTTTGAGTCGCATAATTTCAATTGTATGGCAGTGGGAATGATTCCTTGAATTTATGTCACCGGGAAACTTTCGTGACATTGGTAGACATAATATAAGTAATTAGTTAATCCATTGAAAAAAAAATCAGCGGCAACACAATGAAAAATTAACGTACAAGCAGACACACACACACACACACAACACTCACGAAAGAGAGACACAATCAAGTGAAGATGATGATTTCGAGAGAAAGTAAATATAATCAACACAAACGAATCGAGAAAAAAAAAGGAACAAGAGAAATTAATATTTATTATTCCAGACAAATTCGTATTCCAATTGTGGTTAATGTGTATCCTGTTGTAGATGATGATGATGATGATGATGATGAGGATAATTAACACTACATGATAACTTGATGGTGGTAAATGTGAAGATTAGTCAATAGTTACATTTGATTCTGATGATCCATATAAACACCATGCATACAATACCCACGGTGGATAAAAGTAACTACTCTGATAGATGTGAGTTGTAGATGTGAAAAGTGAGGATGAAAGAAACAGAATGAAAGAGAGAGAGAGAGAGAGAGATGAAGAGAGGGAGCCAGAGATGGAGAAGGCGGGTTATATATGGGAAAGAGAGAGAGAAAGAGAGATTTGGGGGAAGGAGATGGATGATAAAAGGAAAAAGTGGGAGAGTGAGAGAGTGGAAAATAAAAGGAGCATCAAAAAAAGAGAGTCAAAGAAAAGGATGAAAATATATTGAGCATGTTCATCACATCAAATGGTAACATTCAGCTTTCTTATCATCATCATCATCATTCAGAATTTTTCATCATCAACACCAAGAAGATAACTGTTTCTCTAGGTTATATCTTCCTAACAAGATGGCGCTTAAATGTTACAATTACATTTGATTTACTTTTTTCTTTCCATCAACAATCAATTTCACTTGTTTTTTTGCTTTTCTTTTTGGGTTTGATTACCTGAGATTTTCCCGCCCCACCTCATAACCATCATCATCATCTTCATCATCAATATCATCAATAAATTGCATTGATAACGATTGATTAGTTTCTTTTCCCTTTAATTGTCCTCTAAGAAAATTAGTAAATTGTTTGATTGTTAACACACTTGAAGGTCATCAGATCTTTAACCATTTAGATTAAGTTTATCAATTAGATTCTATTAGTTAATTGGATAATTGTCCTCAAACTTTAATCAATAAGTTAATTGTTACAATACAATAACCCTAATCTCACCTTGGGTCGTGATTTGAATAATTTGAATCTACTGTTGGTTATTAATAATAATCCAGTTAATTGTTAATTTCTTTTGATTATTATTATTATCCTATTGTTGTAATTGAATTAATCTGTTTGCTAATCATCTTGATGATATGATTTTCATGGTGGAAAAATGAAAATCCACCACATACATTTACCACCATCACTTTTTAATTGTCACATTACCTTATGTTCAATTTAATTTTCAATCTAATTTATGTATTTATAAATTAATTCACCGAGATAATGTCACAATTAACTTAATTGTTTATTCATATTTCAAACTTGTGTGTCTTGTCTGTTATTGTCTTTAATTGTGATTAAATTTGGAATTAAATTAATGAAAATAATATTGTTTCCATTTGTTGGTTTCGTATTTTTTTTTGTGTCATTTTCATTAAAAGTTCATCAAGAAATTCAATTAACCAGAATAATCAACATTCACAAATGATTATGATGAATGTTCATGACACATGAGAAAAAAAGATCGAGACAAAGATTACCCTGTACGAGGAAATTTCAGAAAAGTGGATTCAACATTGTTGATGGAAAGAAAAAAGTTCTGATTAGATGAATGTTTCATATTCGAGTTGGAAAATTATTCTATCTTTTTATTTTTTTTTCGAACTTTTTTCCCCTCGAACACTTAAATGCGATTACCATGATTAGTCTTGAATTCTCAAGGAAACTTGAGATAAATTAGCGAAAAAGTTACAATGTAAGATGATGATAACTAAAAGTTCTGAAAAGAATCATGATGATATTTATTTTATTCGTTACAATTATATTATAATATTAGAACTTTATTTTTTTTCTATTTCGAAAACAAAAAATATTATCTAACCAGGACAATCGTTCATAAATATATAATCAACTGTATCACATTCTGATGATTAATTAACTTTTATTGTTTGAACTTTTTTCGATTTTTTGTATTTTCTCAGGTCAATTTATTTCCGACGAGGGATCTCTGCCCAATCCAAGAGACCAATAGAACCCGATGATTGCCTCAGGCTAGAGTTATGCTGAATTGTGCCAGATTCAGTTCGAGAAAATCTTCTTGCTCGTCTTGCCGCTCGTCCTCCTGGTCTAGAACCAGCACTCGTAGGTGATGAATAATCGTAAATGTTATCATGACCATTAGGTGATTCCATTATCGTTGAACCGAAAACGTTTGACCTAACACCTTTTTCACCTCTACCAACGACACCTTGACCAATTTTCATCAGGTCAGTATATTTTGACTTGGAAGATGTCGGCTTAAGATTCCCAACCACCGGTGAAGGTATTCCAGTTGAACCATTTTTCGAAGAGTAGAAAAGTTCATCAATATGATCGAGAAATAGATCAACCTTTTCAGGTAACATTTTAATCTGTTCGTGGACAGAAAGGGCCTGAGATGAAGGTTCGTAATTTCCAGGATGAACTGAACCATTGCCGTCGATACCAAGCAATTCCTTGAACTTGGTACAAACAAAATTGACCATTTCGAACTCGTTATTCTGCTTTGCAATATCATGTTTAACTGTCTCAAAAGCGGAAATAATTAACGTCAAGAAAACATTGACCAATATTATTTGAGCGATTAGGACGAATATGAAGAAAGAAGCTGGTCCAAGGGTCGGTGCTGCAGTGACCATGGCTGCGAAGTCAAATTTACCGGTCACCATACCGAAAGAGGTTTCAGCTGCGTTAATGAATGAACTAAAATCGGGAATCGATGTACCAAAGAGCAGATAAAACAATTGGACGAATGCAAAAAAGACGATAAGGAAAACGATGCAAAACGATTTTAGGTCTTTAGAACATTGGTTAAGCGTCGAATACAATAGACCCATTCGCTTGTTGAATCGCAGTAAACGGATGAATTTCAAGATACCGATGAATATAACAAAGGCCATAATATAGCCGAAAAGTTCATCGATAAAAGTTACGTATTGAAGTTTGATGTAACCGTTTCCATGGGTTCGATCGAAGATTTTCAAAATTGTATGGGTTAAAATGGTTCGATAAATGTATAGTCCAATGGCCACATAGGAACAAACGATAATGAAAAGTTCAGCCCAATTCCAGTACGATGTGAAATAGTATAAACCCTCGAGTTTGAGTTTTTTAATCTCTCGAACTGTAAAGTAAATGATGAAGCAAACATATGAAAGTTCACAAAGAATAACGAAAAGTCCAAAACCTTGGTGATATCGAATCAATCGAACAACATCAATTCGATAATTAGGAACAATTCCGCCTCCTGGTTGAAATTCTGCGACAATAGTTACCACTGTAAAGAGATTGACCTGAGGGTTATAAGCTGAAAACTCAGCGAAAACTGAGCGAGTTCGACCATCGATCCAGTTATCGTTCTTGAGAGCAGACAATTTCTCCAAAAGTTGTGCCTTTGAACCTCGAAGTGGAACAGTGTAACCTCCCCCTGAATAGATATCAAGAATTCCCCAGAAAGGAAGGCCATTCAGTTCAGAAGGTTTTCGATATTGCCAGGCCGTTTTCTTACTCTTCGACGGGTTCACAAGAACAATATCTTCCCCTGGAATTTTGGTCATAATACCTTCTTCAACTGGGCCCATATCATCAGCGCTTATATCGTCATAGTCCATTTGGTGAGTGTGATTGCTGCTTATCGATGGCTTACCTTTGTGACCTTGACCGATCGAAACATTAAATGGAGTCCAACCTTTATTATAAGGTTTTCGATCTTCAAAGACAATGTTACCAAACTCTCGGCATTTTGCTCGCTCTCTTAAAAGCCGATCCATTGGTTCGGCTATTGAACAAGTTGACTCACGAATTCTTGTTGATCGTAAAACACCATAGCCCATAACGCGATTAACACGATCATTTAGAAAACCTCGAAGTCCATAAGGTTGATAATCGTTGTACCAAGGGCCAATTAATAGTTCGGGTATGAGTGTTTTTTCAATCCACTTCCAAAGACCTTCAGTAGTTGTTGCCGAGGTAAATGAAGCTCCAGTGTTGGCTCCGTTTATAAAAGTGGCCTTGACAAAGTCTTTGGTGAGAAAAGCGTTTGGATCACGATTACCATAAGACAGAACAATTAAAAGCCACAAGAAGACAAGGTAAGAGAAAATATCTTTAAGAACAATTCCCATTTGGATCTCTTTGAGTCGCTCAAGTTTAGCACGTTCAAGAGCATTTAAATTTGGAGGTCGATAATATTTAGCACGACGACCTCCTCCTCGTTTATAATTGTTCATAGACATCGAAGCTAAATCATGAAGCCATTCCTCGTCTGGCCTTAATTCCAGGTCAATATCTTCCTCGTCTTCCTCTGATTCATCAAAATCTGCGTCTGGAGCTTTGAAAAGCGTTGACAATATCATCGCGGTCAAGAAAACTTTGATCGGCTGAGTTATCAAGACGGAAGCAAAAAACGAGATAACCAACGAGGTCAACCATTTACGCGTCTTTTTATCACCAAATTGAACACCGTAAGCCCACAAGAAGAAAACAGAAACAACCATACAAAGGACACAAAGTGCCCATCCAATGTATCGGCACCACCAAGGTAAGAGAAATTGTTTCTTCGATTTTTTGATCGTCCGTTTGACCTTAGGTACATTTTTTTGTGTCAAACCGAAACCGTTTCCATCACCATCACCACCAAAACCTGCGCTACCAGTGCTAATCGATGAGCTCGTTATTGATGAATGCCGATTATCAGAAATCGTTGCAATAGGTGCGACAGTAGATCCCGAGCTTGGTGCTGTCGACTCGGGTGCTAACTTTTTATACTTGATACCTTGTCTTTTAGCAGCCTCTTCGAGCCGTGATGGCCTCAAGCGACGTAACCGCGACTTTCGGAAAAACAATACAATCAGAAAGGTTGGCGGGAAAACGATCAAATTAGCCATGAAACCGATTCCAATTTGTTCTGGACTCAAAGTAAAAGGGCCAAACTCGAGAGCAGAGGCTCGTGGTTTAGGTGGTGCCTTCTCGTACCACATAGCATTGACCAGCATGGACAAATAAAGCATCGCCATGCAACAAGAGACCCTTTGAACTCGAGTGAATCGAGATCGAATTGGCCTGAGAAACACTGAGAACCATAAATGCCCATCTTTAAGACCTTTTGAAGTTTTATTATGAAACAAGTGACTAAACTCAGTGGCCTCACCAAGACCAGCGACTGGAATCAACCGATCAATAACTCCATCACCTAAAAATAGAAAAAGAGAGAAACATTTAGAACTTTTCGACTCAAAAAAAAAGGAAGAAAAAAATTCCAACTGAAAGAGTTACTGATGGACAGATTCTAAGATAATGATAACATTCAAGTTCCATGATGAAATTACAAGTTACTAGTTAGAAAGTAACATGATCATCATGATGAAGAAAAATTTCAGAGTAATTGAAGATACAGATGATAACCTTAAAAAAGTTTCGAACAGCATTTAGAACTTTTCTTCACAATCTTCGACTTTTTACTTTTCCATGATTATAATCATTATCTCAGAGGTTTTTTTTTCTTCTTAGAACTCGAAATTTTCACCAACAATCACTCTCTCTCTCTCTCTTTATTCTGTCTTCTATTTCTATGCAATGGGTTAGAACTTTTTCTTTGAAAAAACATTCCAATTCTTTTGATAAATGTTCTTATCACATCTCTTCAGAATTTCGAAATCATAAAAACAAACCCATAGAAAAATAACCAACTCGATAAGCGAAGAAGAAAAGTCAAATTGACCACCGAAGTTCAACTGACAGGTTAGCTAGTTAGGGTTAGAACTTTGCTCCAAGTTCGAGAGATAATATTTTAGTTATCCGAATGTCTTGAACTTCTCTCTCAGAGAATCATCATCATCATCATCATCTTCTCCTTCTGTCAAAAAAAAAGTTCCAACGCCAAGAAAGAAAGTCATTTGATAATTTCAATGGATTTTTTTTCACTTTCTTTCAATCAAAGTGCAGGTAAAGTAACTTTCACATCATCTCTTGCCTTATATTCAACCATTTTTTACCAATATCATCACACACACACACACCATAATGATGACCACCATCATCATCATCATTATCATCATCTTGTGTCCAACAAAAGGTTTGCATCAACATCATTGAAGTATTAGAAAAAAAAACGAGACCATTGAAAGTGCAAAGAAAACTTTTTACCAAGTAAACATCAATCTTATCAAAAGGATGGAGATGAAGATGATGTAGATGATGATGATCATATTCCCAAGCTATGGATACAAAAGGCTGCAAGATACAAAAAAGAGGCTAAATATACCACCACCACCACCAACACACACACACAAAACCCATTTATCGAAGCAAAATGATTCTTGATATAATATCAAATATTATATCAATAAGAATCAGAAATAAGCTGAACAACAGGGTAAAAACCCCACTCCCACCCTGAGAAATATAAAAAAAAAGTGAAAGGAAAATAAAAGAGACTCAGAGGAAAAGATTAAGGTGATGTTGGGTGGTGGTGGTGGTGGTGGTTAGATAGGGAGGGGGAATGATGATCAAAATGATGATGAATGTAGGAAAAAAAGTCTCAGTCAAATGTATTGCGATGATTGGTTTTCAATAGAAAGTCAGAGTGAAGCTGAAATTGATTCAGTAATGATGATCATCAACATGATAATAAACAAATAGTTCATTTTTCTCACACCTAAACCCACCCTGAACTCCTACACACTCCTTAACCCACCATAACCCTCATGAAATAAGTGTGAAAAAAAAATCAATTCAATAACATCATTTGAATATATGATTTGTATAAAATTCATCATGGTGATTATCATGATCATGTAGAAAATGTAATAACATGAAAATTTCGTTAGGCAAAGAAATAGTTCTCATATATACATAAATGATATTCTGACCTTTCTCAAGACTCAGAGAACTCAGATTATATAATATTTTTCTTACACCAAAAAATTTCACAAACTGAAAATTGAGTTTCTATTGACAAACTATTGACAATTGAAGTGATAATTCAATGAGATGATCATGATGATAATCAAGCCAATTGAATTATACAAATAAGATGTTGCTAATACACTTGAATATCATCATATATATATATTGAATTATCATCATCATGAGTACCATGAAAACTTGATCATGATGAACATCATTATATTAGATAACAATAGATTATAATAGTTGATTCAGAGAATTGAAAGTTTTCCCTTTTAAAATGTAAACGAATCAAATTTGAAAGGCAAACGTTTATTTACTTTATTAAATTGTTTCTCAATCTCAATTGTTTATCCTCAGAACTTTTTTTTTCCTCTTCCACTCCCACCACCCACTTCCCACCGACTAATAGTCTCATTCCCTTTCTCTGAATTTCCTTACATGTTATTGAATTATCTGTTCATCTCCTCACCCAAAGTTGAGCCTGAGAAGCGAAACAATTGTCAATTTTTCCCTTCCACCAAACTGATCTAATGAGAACATCAATCAGATCATTGTTTCTGATTGTTGTTCGTTAATTGAATAAGCTAATTAGTGATTCTTTATATTAGTTAACAACAATCAAACAATAATAATCAGAATGAGTAAAAAAAAATCCAACTCAATCTGAACAGAAAATACAAAAGGTTGGATATAAACACTAATTGGATATCTTTCTGTTGTTTCAAATGATAATATAATAGGAATAACAATAGACCTTTAAAACTAAATTCATTCCCTGAGTGGGTGAGTTGGGGTGGGTCGAGGGTGGATAATGTCAAGTTTGTGTAAGAGTGTCACCCAATGTGAGTCTATTAGTGAACCAGGAAAAGAGAAAAGGTCACAAGAGATGAAGAAAAAAGGTAAAGGTAAACTGAGAGAAGAAAGGAAAAAATATCATAACAAGAAAGTTCTGAAGGGAGAGAAGAAGAAGAAGAAAAAAAACTTCTTTGGATAAAGAATCAGAATCAGGGGATGGAAATGATAATAAGAGTAAAAAGTGTTTAAACTGAATTTCTGTTCTGCATGTAGAGTAAATTGAAAGTTACAGGGTGTTTATAAATGGATAAAAGTTCTGAGGAAAAAAAATAAGATGAATCAGTGAGTCAACTTATTTTTTTTTCCTTCATGTGTCATTTACAGAGTTCATGTCAATGTTATTCAATGTTGAACATGAACTTTATCATGACTTTTGCCAGAACTTCATCTTGGTCTTTATAACGGCTACAACAAATTATCTTCCCTGTAAACTCAATGATGATGAAACATGATGATGGATAATTTAAAATGAGAATGTACAACTTGAAATAATTTGTGGAAACTTTTGAAATTACCAATCAACTTTTCCATGGTCACTTTTTTTCTTCGTCCTTGACAATTCAGTCCACGTTTTTCATGAGATAATATGTAATTCATGTTAGCCTGTGGTCTCTTCCTGAGTAACAGCTACTGAATTATACCCTCCTCATCCCCATCTTCATCTTCCAATCAGCCTCTCTCTCTCTCTCTCTCTCTCTCTCTCTCTCTGTCTCTCTCATCATCAAATTGTAAGTACAAGTTGAGTTCAATTTAGATTATTGAATGAATTCATTTCTTTAGACTTAATTTGTAATTCATTTTGTATCAAGATTCCAAATTGATTGTGAGTAGTTTCTTATGGTAATCAATTCGTTATCATTCAATTATATCCAATGATCAGTTCATCGATTGGCTTCACAATTAATTCAATATCATGACCCTCGTCATGTTATCGATCTTAATACTAAAGATAATCTGGATAATCATGATAATCCCTTTCCAACCATGTAACATGTAAACTTATCATCATCATCATGTTGCCTGAACATTTTTATCTTCATGTTATAGTATTTATAGTTACTCATTGTGACTTAATGGGCTTACCTTTTTCAACGGCAAACCATTTGTTACAAATGAATTCAAATTTCTCTCCGGTCTGTACATCACGAACTACGATAAAGTTCAAGAACCATGAGCGTTTCTTTCCCGAACCTGAGTTATCATGCCAGATACGTAGATAGGTAAGTCTACCCAATTTTCTTGGAACCGCCATGACAAAGATATCCTGAGCTCCTCGGCGGAAAACTTTCCTAACCGGATCAGTTAAACTACGAACATCCGTCTCATCATCATCGCCCGATAAAATGAATGAAACCTTTGAATCTGTTTCCGATGCTTCCTTATCACCGGTAAAAACTGAAATCTCATAAAGATATTTATCTTTAGGATCATTATCAGGTAACGGGGTTGCTCCCATTTTCTTAAGGTCATCACGATCAGCTGATCGAGCCCAAATAACCAATATAATATAAACAGCCAAGGTCAAAATAACAGTCATATAAATGGTAATATTATCAACGAACCCAGCATTGGCAAAGACATAACTAAAATCAATAGTATTTGGCATGACAAAAAATCCCGATCCGAATGAGGTCAAATGGTTACACTTGCAGTGGGTCATATGGGCATTTGCATGGGCCACAAAGCAACCCTTTCCAGACCAAATTTTCTCACTATAATCGAAAAAGTAACAACCAGAAGTGTAAATACGAATCGAATAATTTGTCCCAAAATCGGTTAACATCCAATCAGCCGTCGTAACATTTTCAATGGTCATCGATGAATTATCTAAGCTAATATTACCATGGATCATCATGTCATCCAACAGGTAAGCATAAGGTGAATCTCGAAGAGCCGTTTCATTAGCTGAAACAATTCCAAGGTAAAAGAAACCAGTTCTATTTGCTATTATATTATTTCCCAAGAAAATATCATGAGTTGAACCCTTTTGATTACCAATAACCCCCAAAGGAAGTGAAACTTCATGGTGAGAAAGGAAAGGTTTACTCTTATAGTGAAGGAATAAGATCAATCGTGCTGAAGGATTTGTCGGAGTTATCTCAATATTCAATGCTGAATAAGCTTTGGTCACAAGGAATTGATGATATTGCATTGATTCACCTTCTCGAGGCTTAGGAACAATAAAATCACCATCATTAGGTAAACTTGAACCTCCAGATAACGTTGAAAGTGATGTATCAATTTCATTTGATTCTGATGATGATGAACCAGAAGAACCCGCTCTGGGTATAATTATTGAGAAATAATCGGTCGCATTGGAAACATCAATTATCCTTAAATCTTCATCCAAGACAATCAATTGTAGTGTTTGAGTATCTTGAGAAAGTAAGTCAACACTATTACCAAACGATTCCAAGATGGATGGCCATGAAACAGCCTAAGGGTAAATAGGTAAAGAGAGATGAAAATTTATATTAGAAACAAAAACAAAATTCCATAATATTAATCCATGAATAACTCACCATGATCCCCATGGTTTCATTTCCATAACATGTATCCCTACTTGCCAGAATTGAACAAACTTCGGGAAAGATATAAACTGCATCCCCATGTTCAATTGACTTATTTGATAATCCACCTCCATTGAACCTGGAATTAGGTCAAAACATTACTAATTAGATTCACTATTAACTTGATTACCTGAGTTTCAATTCAACAGGCAATTCAATTGACATTGGAAGAGAAAAAAATTAAAATCTAATCAACATGTCAAAATTAAATGCTTAAAAATGATATTAATCAATTTCATCATCTTATGAATTTATCATTACCATTAACATGGTGATAAATTCAGTAATTTAGATTCAGAAAATAATGAATGTGCTCCCATGAGATTAAGAGGAAAACTCTTGAAAATGTCCTAATTAATATTTGATAAAAATCATCATCAAAGTGATGAAAAGTATCAACATCATCTTCAGAATCCTAATCAACTCAAGATGACAACAATTTTCACCATCATGAAGATACAGAAAAAAAGTTGTGGCTATTGAGAGATAAACTTGAATAAATGTTAACTATGGTTCATTATTATTAACAATCAGAATAAATTTCAGAAAATTGTTCATCATCATCATGATGGTAATGATGTAATAACACAATGACCATTAAATATTATCTGTTCATGGTGTTATTCAAACCTGAAACAAGGAAAAGGGGGAGAAAAAAGTTCTGAGAATGAGAATGTGAATCATTATCATTAATGTTACATAAAGAATGACCCATTATATCAATAGGAATAATTTTTTTTTCTTATTCTTTTTTTCATCTGATTCTTGATGATCACCATGAGATATACTTACATCTCAATGGTGAGTGATAATCCTGAAGGAGCTGAAAATGTAAGTGGCTTTTCACCAACAACGATGTTCCTTAGCATGGCCAGAACCAGATCGATTGTCAGTCCAACCATTTGCTTAATCTGTTCCTCTCCAAGTTTCCTCTCATTGAGAATAACAGCTCGAGCCAGAGATTCTTCAACTGATGATTTACCATCGAAAACATAATCTAATTTATCGAGTAAAAAGAGAGAGAAAAAAAAACCAGAAATTCATATGTATAAACTCATGGAACTGAAATTGGAACAGGGAGAGAGAGAAAATCATCTCTTTATCTCTCTCTCTCTCTTTCGATCTAAAAAGTGCTACAATTTACAATTCCATCGAAACATCATTAATGATACTCTTTTAGTTGTACATGTTAACATTGTTTCCATACAGAATAATGAGAAAAAAATAAGAGATTATCAAAGAAGATGAGATGAAGATAATGATTATAATCTCATGGTAAATGGATGGTGTTAACCCTTAATGATTATTCATCAATTTAGTTATCAATTGATGTTCCATCCTCATCAATTACTATATTAAGGTCCAAGTAAAGTAAAGGTTAGATCTTGAATGGAGTGAGAGAGAATCGCTTATATCTAATAATAATGAGCCATTAAGATGATGTTGATGGTGATGATGAGAAGATGAAGAGAAGCCTTTTAAGATCATCACAGTTACATAATCATCTCTCTCTCTCTCTCACTCTCTCACTCACTTGCTTGTATTTTTTGTCTTTGTCTTCTACTAACTATTAAGTCAACTCGGTGTCACTGTCATTCTATCAAAGTGATCATGTTATACATCAACATTGTATTTCTCCCTTATGTTTAGTTTAACATTTCAGAACTTTTCTTTGTCTTTCCTTCATATAATATCGCCCTGAAAACTCAGGGAGAGAGCACTCATATAGATGATACAATGTAGATAAATATATTTCTAAAGGACAAAAAAGCTTTTATCAAATTCTTATATTCAGTCAAGAATAATCAGATAATCATGGTTATCACCATTTAGTGTACACACTCAGGGTGGTGGAAATGAGATAAAACTGAGTGTTCATAATTCAGTTGGTTGAAATTTGTCTGACCAGCCAGAGATTGAAGATAGTTTTCAAAAAAAAAGGAGAAAATTGGAAAAGTTTTATATAAATTAATCACAATTAATGATCAATTTTTTCTCGAAAACTTCTAAAGTTCTTAACTATCATGGTAGTTCATGGTAACAGAACTTTTTTTGTTGTCATCAATTTTTGCAAAAATCGAATAAAAATCAAACCAAATCTAATTACATTGGTCAAGTGTTTGTTTCTGTGATCGGCTCATCATCATCATGGTAATTTGGTCAAACATTTACATTGATCATGTTTAATATTGATCAATGATAAGAATCATGATAATCAAATTAACTGATTGGGAACATAAGTTTTATTGTAACATGAGAAAATACAATAAATGTAATAAATTGATGTCTATCTAATCAATGGAATCATCTCACTTTTCAGCTGAATGTTAAATCACCTGAAAAAAAAGTTCATTCTCAATATATTCATTATCAAGGATAATTCTGATTCCGTGGATTCAGCAAGTTTTCAAGTTTCTTTATCTTTGATAAATGATTTTTAGGTTTATTATCACTCAAGAGAAACATGAGAAATGCATGATAAGGTGAAAAAAATTGTCTCTTTTTTATCGTCAACTCAGATTCTCATGTGATCATCAATTCCAAATCTAAATAAATCACCAAACAATCATCATGAATATGAATCAAGACGCAAAATCTACGATAATGATTACAGATTAACAACATCGATAAGAGACCAGAAACAATTTGTTAATCGAGTTCTAATTGTGACTCTGAATCTTCATCATGAGAATCAGGGGAGAGAACAATGGATTCTACAAATTACCTTTCAGAATGGAAATTAATGAATCTTTGATTCTCAGAAAAGACAATCAAATGAATGAACCAAAATAGAAGCGAAAAAAAAACCGAAATGAACAAAAAGTTAGCTAAAATCGATTAGAACTTTTTTCTCTGTCTCTCTCAATCGAATCATCTCTTTCTTTTCATCTCGAGATTTCATCATCATTCCTCTTTATCGTCGGGATTTTTTCGCACTCCTTCATTTCGTCATCATCACCATGTAATCTGAACCCTTCCAAATGAATCAATATATGGATTAAAAGCATCTCTGCTCATGAAATTGATACACAATCAGCAAGAACTTGCCTCAATTCATCCAATATATTCATCAATAGAATCGATAACAATTGGATATATTTTTCTTTCTGTTATCATCTTATTGTTTTTATGTCACTTGAAAACTCAATCATCTGATATCATTGATTTCGCATCACCGTCAACATCATTTTCATCACCATGTAGTTGAAAGTTCATAGATAGCAAAATAATATCCTCATGAAGAAATAAAATCAAATATCAACATCGTGTTTGTTATGATAGAAAACCAAAAGAAAGTATTGTTTACTTTTGGTGAAATTAAGAAAAAAAAATTCAATCTATTTTTATTTGTCATCATGTTATTGTTTGTTAAACCACTTGGAATCATCATGAATCTAATATTAATAGAAAAGTTCATTTCCAAAATAAAACTGAGCACATGAAACTACACCAAAGATGTGAGAATTTCATCACGGGCTCAGAATATCGTTAGAATAAATTTCTTATCGATTCATCTCTTCATTCAGTTTGAATCCTCTATATTATAATCAGTATAAATCGCTTTGAATCTCGAATTATATCAATCGACATAAATATTATCTGGTGAACATTTGTTTCAATTCTGATCAGAATTTTTTTTCTCATTTTCGTTGGTTAACAATTCGAGTAAAAATAAAACCTTCTTCCTTTATAGTCAACCTGTTGTCGACAGTATTGATAGACATGGGGATAAGTTATCACTCCCATAGGTAGGGAGCTGGAGTGGTAAACTTTATGGGTGAGTTGGTGGTGGATTTGTGGGTAAGAATGAGAGAGAGAGAGAGAGAGAGAGGGAGAAAAGTAAATCAAGGAGAAAAATTTATTCACCATAACATTAAATTGGTTCCTCATTCATTAGAAACTGAAATGGATAATTTCCTGAAGATTTTTCAATTTTTACTCGACTTTTCATCATTCAAAGTCACAATCATCAAAATCACTGAGTAAATGTCATCATGTTAGTATCTTATCTTATAGGAAGTTCATTCTGTCAGCTTTCAATTGTCCAGGAAATGAAAGGAAACTCAAAACTCGAGGCAATTGTATTAAAACCATCGGCACCATACTGATAACTTGACAGAAAATTCTGATTCCACCATGAATGGAAATTCATAATTTCAAAACTCTCTCCAAATTGAAACAATTTTTTCGCCAAAACTTAAGCAAATTCAAAATTCAATTTCTCTCTTTCCTTCAACTATTATTATAATCTTTTAGTGACCATTAACCGAATCTGATTCCATGATTACAAATCAAAAGTAATTCAATGATTTTTTTCCTGAAATGATCAAGAAAACTAAAGTCAATCGATTGATGTTAAAAGCTAAATTGTTCATCCCAATTAACTTAAATTGAGCTCATTTAACCTTCAGAAACTCAACAATCTAATGTAAACTATTGATGATGATTAGAGGATGAAAGTGATGATGATGGAAATGATAATGATAATAATAAATTTAATGATGATTATTGGTTGAAATAGTTGATCAGAAGATGAACTTTTTTTTTATCATCATCATGAACGTGCTCAGTGATCTCTTATCCTGATGATGATAATAATAGTCATCATCATCTTGAAACGTATTAAATAACAGTCTTAGCATTTTTCAAGTCACCATGATGATCAAGAGGATAACATACAGGGTGTTAATAACATGGATGATGATATTAGTAACAATAAAGTCCCAAGTTAATTCGTAACTTGAAAGGTACAAGGAAAAAGTTTTTCCATTTTCTCTACTTGAATTCTGACCAGAATTCTGATATTATCATGATGGAAACTTTAGACAGAACAGAATGATAAATGTTGGGTGAATCAAAATTCAAATGAAATTTTAGAAAATAACAAAAAAAAACATAAAGAAAAAGGAGAGAGAGAAAGAGAGAAATTGTGACAATCATAGGAATAGAACTTGAAACATATTCGAAGCTTTTAGAACTTTTCTGGTTTTTCGAATCCAATTCCAAGTGAAAATTACTTTTAACAAATTTTTTTCTCTTCTTCTCAACAGAACAACAAATTCTAGAATATTATTATTATCCCTTATGACTATTATCATGAGGGCTCATCTTCATCATCATCATGCTTATTAGTGACTCATAATGATGAAGCTCATTAAAAAGATTATGAACTTTTTTTTCCATCTTCATCATTATCATCATGGTATTTAGGAGAGAGAAAAATGTTATTATCACTGGAAATATTTTGATATTCCAAGATAATATTACTACAAATTGGATTGGCTTCCAGGCATAACAACAACAAGAAGATTATATTTGTTTGTTTCATCATCATCTCCGTCATCATCCTTATCATCAGCTCCCTCTCACTTTTCATTCTGCTTATTATAACATCATCATCATCATCATCATCATTCCATGTTGCCATTAAGTTGGATTAACAAGAATGCTGAAGAGAGGAAACTTTTTTTTCGATTTCATATATATTTTTTTCATTACTATTCTTACACCAAGGAAGCTCTGAATGGTAAAGAATAGTAATAATAATGACAACAGAATTTTTTCTTCTTATTTTCATAGATTCTTCTACCTTTATCATGATGAATCACCATGAGTCTCTCTCTCTCTCTCTCTCTCTGTTTATTGGATGAAATTCTGGGAGAAAATATCACTCAGATTCATAAGTTCCATCTTGATGAAACTTTTATTTTGTTCGTTCCAAAATCGTGAAATTCACTTCGATATAATTCATATCATTTAATCCGATTTACTCGATATTCTTGTTATAATCTCATGAATTCTTCCAATCAATAAATAATCATTTAGAGATTAGAACTTTTCTCTCTCTCTCTCTATCTATTCGACAATTTTTTTATTCAAATCACTGTAAACTCGCAACAATTAAAGTCTAAATGATTAACAATCATCATGAAAATGGTGATTGTATTAACTCTGAAAGGTTAATATACAAAAGAGATTCTGAAAGTTCTGAAGGAGAAGAAGAGAAAAAAATAAACAAGAGTTAAATAAAGACGAACATAATATTAGTATGGAAAAAGAGAAAAACATTAAACTTAGAATGGAACTTTTTTCTTCTGAATTTGACAGAATTTTTATGGAACATATTTAGGAGAGAAAATAGTAAATATTCAGAATGAAAAAGAAAAAGTAAAAAGAAAAGGTTCAATTTCATGATTGAAAATATTTCGATGAAACAGAGGAAAAGAAAAATTTTTTTCGAGTGCTCTGTTTTCCAATCATGGAAAATGAATTCACTGAGTAACCATCGACATTTATATTCTTGAATAAAAAACTAACCTTAATCCTGATCATGTTAACGGTAATTTATTCAGAATTGAAACTTATGATATTGCTCATTACCATGATACCTGTCAGGATAAAGTAGGAAAAGTTGTGATGATAAAGATGGAAAAGGTTGAATATATGATTAAGGATGAGAATAAGTTCTGGTTAGAAGTTTTTTTTCATTCGATTGTTTCATCTCCATATGATGAAGATCATCATGACGATGGAAGATTATCATGAAGAACGGAAATAAAGGTAAGAATAAATTCTGTAAAATGTTTAGAGAAAAGAAAATGATAAATTGGATGGAGAAAAGAAAACGAAAAGTTCTAAAAATTACTTGGAAACAATTTCGATTTAGAATAATATCTTTTCCAAAATTCAAACTTATCATAATTTCTTACTGGTGGATATCAATTGGAAAGGTGAATCCACCGCAACAATTCAAGCTCCACATTGAGAATCCTGAGAGTGACATTTTCATGATAAATTTTATCCTCGAAAAATGAAAAGGAGCAAGAAAAAGTTCCAATTTGTGCCAAAGAAGAAAAAAAAATGATAAATAATATTGGAAACATGGTAATAAAAAACAAAATGAATACAATCAATATCATGAGATGAAAATGTTTGCTGAGTAATAATTTCAATTTCATTTCTATTTCCCTTGACCATCAAAACTATTCAGTTGAACATTGAGAAGGGCAAATATCATGAAAATGAAGAGAAAAAAAGAAACATGGAAAATAATGAGAATTTATTTCCAATATTTTCCAATACATTTCTCACCCGAAATTCATATTCAGTGAGAATTCAATTTTCTGAAGAAGAAGAAAAATTTGAAAGAAAACATCATGTTAACATATTCCACATGAAGAGAAATGATTTAAACAATTAATTCTATCGACATGAAAATTCTGAGTCATGAACTTTTTCCCTTTATCACTTACCATGTGTTCATCATTATTATCATCATGAGGAGACAGTTAGTGAGAGAGAGAGAGAGAGAAAAGTTGATTTTACTCATTCTTTCACCATTTATCATTATAAAAACATAACTTCAACAGAAAATATCATTGGTATTCATTCATGATCAGAATAATAATCAACTATCATGTAACATTGAAATCACAATCACAATTGGTTCAGATAACCTGAAATTCATTCAGATCAAAGATATTATTTCCCTGATTACAGGTAACTAATAGAAAAGAGATAAGAAAAAGTTCTGATAAGTAAGAGGAAAAAATTCAAAATTCTCACGATTGAAATTGATAGAATTCAATTTCTTCCTCCCTCTTAGTATAAACTTGCAATTAGACATCATGTAGCTCAATATTTATCGTATTTACTCAATTATGAATCTGATTTTCTGATCTCATGTAAATCTATCTTGATTTAAACATCATGAACAAACAGATAGTGTTCAGTATATACAAATACATATGAATATCAATTTATCAGTTGCTCAGTTTTTGCCTGATAATAAGTTCACAGTTTCCATGAAAATTGAATCCGAGGGATGAAAAAAAAGTATGATTACTTTCAGAATGGAAGATGAGATTTCCTATGATTCCTTGAATCAATCATGTAACTGTTAGATATTTATTTAGAGTTACAATAACCATGATAAGTGTAAATACTAAAAATGAAATCATGATAATAATAACAAAAAGGAAAAACATTGAAACTTGATCACGAATATATATGAAAAAAAAAAGTTCTGACAATCATTATCTTTCCATCATGGTAAATATTTTTGTTTCTCTCAATATCTGAACAATATCTTGTTTCATCATGTGGAATCCATATCATCTCTTCAGTTTCCTATTCTGTGTTTATAATATTTGCATGATTGTCAACAACTAAAGGTGTAACCATGTGACAATAATCATCATCAAATGATTACTTTCCTGAGAAATAATTATCTCAGATAATCAAGAAAAAGTTCTGAGTAAATATTAATAATAATGATAACATTGAACAATTGTCATGATGAAATTAATATTGAAACAAATGACAAAAAAGTATGATGATAAATAATAATGAAAATGGAGAGAGAGAGAGAGAGAAAAAATCTAATCAGAACTCACATGAAGATGATAATATCATTTCCATGATATTAATTGAAACTCATAACAGTCTCTCTTATCAAATATCCATCATTATTATCATCATCATGACATAGATATCATCATCAGTGAATCTTCATTAAAATGCTCCTTCAATCTATCCAATTATCAACAATATCTTCCCACCCCACTCCACCCAAATCCCACCCTCTTCCTTAGACTAAATCAGTTTTGTTTTTCTGCTGATGATATCACCAATTTTGTAATAGTTAACAATTAATGATTATATCTTATGATATTAATACACACACACAATGTTATCGAGTACAATAAGTAACCAAGAACGTGGGGCGAGTGAAATGTTTCAGGGTGGAAACTGAGAGAGAGAGAGAGAAAGACAAATGAAAGGAAGAGGAAACAAAAGGATGAAGATAAAAATTTACTAATCGATGTTTTCCTTTTACTATGGAAAACAAAAAAACTGCTCAATAAAAAGGCACCAGAATGAAATTCTGATGACGATTCATGATAATAGTTGAGTTGACTCTGAATAACAGGGAGGGAAAAATGAGAGAAAAAAACAAAGTTCTGATAATGATGATGATGATAAAGATAATAAGAAACGCCTTGTATCAATAATAATTGTCTTTTCCTTTCACAATCATTTGTTATTTCAATTTCACTTTCATAAATCTCCTCATCTCTCATGAAAAACAGGGTGGAAATGAGTTTTTTTCAATGATAACATGATAATCAAAGTAACAACTATCAATATAATGTATCAGTAGTTATTATTAAATCTATTATCATTATCATACTAACTCATTTGCCATTATCATTAACAAGGTTTTTTTTTCGTGTTACCCTGAAATTTTATTCTACCATCTCTGAATTATCATCAGATTTTTTCTCTTTCTCTCTTTTGATACATTTATCTCTCTGTTCATAGATTCATGTCACATAGAAAATTAAAGGCTTAAAAAGAAGATAATTTTTTTCTCTTTTGTTTCTCTATCATGGTTTTCAGAAAATCTGTAAGTTTATTGAGTTTTAAATCTTGAAATGAGAAAACAAAAATTTCATGATAACCTTTTGAAAAGAATGAACCAATTTCTGTTATCAATATCTTCATATTCACTTTATCGTTTTCGATATCAAGAGCAAGTTTCAATATCTATCGGATTCATGTAACAGGGAAAATGATTGATATATTATCAGATTTAATCTGATTGTTAATAAAACAATAAAAAAAAGGTAACCAGAAACTAGAAAGAAAAACGGAAACAGGAAATGAAAGAAAATGCGTCAATAGGTTTTAATGATTAGAATCAAGATGAAGATTAAAAAATTCCAACGAAACAAAAATCTAAAGATCTGATTCCTTTGTTACTATTGAGGAGATTCAGAACCTTTAAGAAGTTCCTAAACTTATTAGTACCATGAAGATGAGAGAGAGAGAGAGAGAGAGAGAGAAGGAAGATGAAGACAATTTTCATCTTCTTCAAAGCGGAAGTAAAGTAATGCCATGAAGGAAATGAGACAAAAACCACTTCACTTGAATATCTTTCAATACGAAACCTTAATCATCGACTCATGGGTGGAGGGGGGAAGATACGAAAAATACAGAACAAGAAGAAGAGAAAAGACTTTTCTTCATTTCCTCTTCCTTATCTTCCTCATCTTCATCTTCGTCTCTAGTCAATCCTTTTTCTCATCATTTCCTTTTCCTAGAAAAAAAAAACTTTTCTGATCATCATCAACTAATCAGTTTGGTTACCATGATAATAGATGTATACATGAAAACGGTTGAATAATAGTATAGTTACATTGACCATTTAAATGGTCAGTTTCAAGTTTTCCTTTTCCTTAATTATCAAGCCAAACGAAAAAGTGATTAGTCCTAAATAACAATGTAATAACAATAATCTGTAAATTACATTGTGAATCATTAATACTCACTAAATATAATCATCTGAAAATCATCATCATCATAATCAGAAAACAGAATCAACATCATTAACCAAACGAAAATACTCACAAACACATAAGATTAACATGTTGTCAATAAGAAAGTAATACAACAATTTAACTCTAATTGTAAGAAACACTTATTGTAAATAATCAATTGGTTCTAATTTAAATTGATTACCAGCAATAAAATTAAGAATAGTAATTGACCAACATTTAGAGATAGCAATGTAACGATGGTTTAAATGTAACGAAATGAATTTAGATCATCAGAGTACAAAAATCTAAATCTAAATCAATGGATCAACAATTAATCTAATTTCAGTTCTCACCTTTGGATTCACCATAATCAGGGGCTTCAACTTCATATTCAATTCCCCAAGCCTTGGATCGGTCAGTCGGTAGGACCACTTTTTTTATCAATTGTTCAGTCATTCTCTAGGTTTGGGAATGTGTGAAGAGGAAACGGAAATGATGAGTAGTTATCTAATTATTGATGATAATTGTCATTAGTGAATAACTTACATTGACAATTGCTCCCATTGTGCCAACAGCAAACATACAGAAATCAATTAACTGTTGAGGAGATTCAACTTCCAAGTTCGATGCCATGTTAATTGTTTTATTTAATAATCTTAGAACAACTTCTTTAGCTTCATTGTCAATACCCTTACCACGCCCTGAGATCGCTGATAAAACTGACCCAATGGCCTCAAGTGAATTCAATGTGTCCACATTCATTATACTCTCAACTGATTGAACCATTTTCGATCGAGTTCTAACTTCCTCCTCGATTTTAGCTTCACTTTTCTGGGCGAAAATGGTTCCATTACCGATTGATGGTTTAACTGTGGTTGTTGTGGTTGTTGTTGTTGTCGTTGTTGTGGTCATCATGTCCAGTAGATTCTCATCAATTAGATCAATATTCATTAAGGATGAGACAGCTTGAGATATCATTGACATTCTTGATTGATCACCGGCGGCATCAGCATTTTCAAATTGCTTCAATTCCATGAAAGCATCAAATTGCTGTTGAGTCGGTGGAATGAGTGTTAGATTAGCTATCGGGTGTCTTGTTAGTGCTCCTTCTTTATCTCGGATATCGACACCAACCATGAATTCACCTGGGGGCAGTATTAATGTCGCTGCGCGTGTGGGTCCATATGAGAGGAATGAAATTGAATCTTTGACTCGATCCCAGATCCAGAATCCATAATATTCAATTGGTTTAAATTCTGGATCATACCAATTGTAACAATTGATTGCGTGTTTGTCCAACAAAGCGTATTGACCAGTTGAGGTCATATTACAATCTCCGCCCGTTGGTGGTTTGTTTATATGAAGGAAAATATCTGATTCACCTCGATCACCACGTTCATTTATAACTGCAAGTTTAGCGAAAAAGTCTCCATATTTTGGATAAAACCGATCGAAAAACTCTTTACCCAAGGCCATTTTTACGTCATGTGCACCGACCACAAAGTCCGCTGCATCTTTAAGGAGATGTTCCTCCCCTGAAATTGAATCGATACCGAAAATTGTCCACTCATAGATTAACGATCCACCGCAATCTTCATCACAAACACCGATAAGTCCAACTCGAACCGGATTAATTTTCTGGCCTATCGGTACGTGTGGGTAACAAAGAGCTGGTGTTTGACATTGAATTGTGATTGAAGGTGGTGACCTGTCAAGAAGATTCAACTGAATACCTGACCAAGAAGGTTCACGATCGGGCGGGTCAATTTTGACCACAATCTCATAGACGAAACCAGCAGCGTAAAAAACTGAGGTCGGCCAGTCGATTGATTTATCCGTTATATTGATCCGACCTGGACCTTTACCAAAGCACCCGCCGAGATCCTCCATGTGCCGGTCGTTCCCACAATGGATTCGAGATTGTCAACTCTTCCTCTCCAGCTGAACCATTTTCCGTTGACCCTTTTGATTTGTCGATCCAGAATCGTTTCCATCACCTGGTGACTCATTTTCGGCATCTTCGTCCTCATCATCTTCATCGGCTTTCAATGGTTTCTTTGGTTTCATATTTTCCTTTTTCTTGTCATTTTCCGAATCGAAAAGTTTCTCACTGGGAAGTCGTCGACAGTACCAAATAAGGCTAAAGTTTTTATTCGTTTCATCATCAGGATCAACTGAATATAATCCTGGTGCGAGTTTCAATCGTTGACCCATACCCCTGATCGCTCTTGATTCGGCTCCAGCGGTCATTTTACCGATAAACGGTGAACGCACCACTCGAATATAAGTCTTGGCATAATTGGAAAAAGGTAACAACGGATGAGGCTCTAAATTGGTCAAGTTAACAACAAACCGAAACTCATAAAGACCCTGGGTAACATAAATGGCGGAACATAAAGAACCGTCTTTCGGTACGAGTCAAGTGTCGAAAGGTCAAAAGGTGCTATGATTTGGCCTGTAGCCTCATCGATTGAATAACATTCCCAGTATTTAGAGATTGTAATTGAGGCATTACAATCAACTTTAGCCAGTGAGTAAAGTTGAACGGGTTTCGATTTCCAAACTTTAGTTCCAAGAGTTCGGTTTGTTACTGGATTGAAAATGCTCACTTCTGGCATATAACAATCGATTTCGAGGACAGTTGTGGTCAATTGCGTTGAAATTGTTTTAGTAATTGCATTCCAAGCTTTTACCGTGACCACATAGTCCCCTGGTCCACCGGTATAATCATAAGGTGCTGTCATTGTTTCATTAATATCACCATGATGAGCTACCAGAATATCAGGAAAACCCTCTGAACAATGTTCAGGTTTACCAAATAGACTAGCCGACTTATGGAAAGGCATTAAATCACCATAGAGTATAGCGACACAAGAATCGGTACCAATCTCATTTAGGGTTATTTGGAAAATCTTATTCGCTGGTTTGGTAACATCAACACTAATATCGGTCAGTCCAAGGCCAGAAACGGGCTTCATAAAGTAAAGATCCCGAGTTATCGGTTCCGTGCGTCCTTGGATTTTATTATAAGCATAGAAGGTGAAATTATGCCAACCAGGCTGAAAATAAGGAAAATTGTTGGAAAGAAATTGAGAAAAGAAAAGTTTTGATATTAAATTGGAAGAAGAAACAATCTGATCGGAAACGGAAATGATGCAGAAGGATAGACACAACTATCAATATATTAATTGAATTCTAATTGCAATCTCTTGAAAATGTTACAGATCAAGATGATTAAATAAATCAGTAACAATTTATTGTTATTTTTGTCAAGAGGCAATTAACAATTTATCTTTGAGATATTAGTAACAAGTAATTGATTTGTTGTTTACTAAATGATAATAATTTCATTGATTATTCCTTATGATCATCAAGATGATTATTAAATGAGTATAAGTGGATTGTTATTATTGATGATTACCATGATATCTCAATATTGAGCCTGTCAATATCATGCTGTTTTCATTTCCTAATCAAAAGATGATATAGTTTTTCAGAATCAGTCTTTCAGATGATGATGATGATCATCATCATCATCATCATCATCAGGATGATAACATAAACATAAATACACTTGATCATCAACAGAAGATGAAAAGTATCAATGAATCTGAATTGATACAGATGAAAAGAGAGAGAGAGAGAGAGAGAGAGTGGGGTGGAAATAGATTAGTATGAGTGGGAAAAGTAAAGGAAACCAGAGGTATCACTAGATACAAATACTAAATACATAATATTATCATTATCGATTAAGTGAATTCCTCTTTTTCCTGTAATTTGCATGACAATCAGCAAGAAATTATATAAACTAAGAATCAGCAAGAAAAAGGATACACGAAGAAACCGAATCTGAAAATAGTTCAATCATTTCATGAGGCGAATCATATTAAGTGTAGATAATAAAATGAATACATATATAGATATGCAACATCAGACGACATTTTCCTTGTAACAATTATCTTCATCCTCAGTAATCATCTCACTCATGAAGATACAATTAAAAACAAACAATCAAGAGAGAGAGAGAGAGATATTCCCACCCAATCAGTTAAATCTTCAAGTGAGATGATAACATGTAATTACAAGAAAGATGGACTTGAAATCCTATCATAAATTACAATTCCATCATGTAATTCAATCAAAATATCTTCATGATTCAGTAAAAGATGATAATTTATCCATATTCATTAATATCTTTGATCAGATAGTGGACAACATGGTCAAGAATAAATTATCTTACGTTTATCTTCATCATCTTCCGTTCAAATAAAATAACTATCAAGATTCAAGAGATTCATGGTGATACTAAATTTCCAGTCACTAATTCAGTCTATAGACTTGGATTCATGATTAATTCTTGGACGATGAATCAATCATTAGTCCATTTTATAGATATATTATTATATTGTAAGATTCATGATGATTTAAATACTAATTAGAATGAATTAATTATCATCAAATTGAATTGTTAAACTAATTTGGGAATCGTTTTTGTTTCACTTTACGAATCAAATTGTTGAAAGACTTTTAATGTGATTAAAATGTTATAACAATTTAATTGATTTAATTGTCTTGATAACTTTTACCATGATGATAATTAACGATAATTAATGGTAAGTATAAGATAATAATTCAATCGTTTAACTTGAATATTAATCAATTAGAATGTTGAATAAATGTAATGTTAGTTAATTGATTGAATTAATGGTGAAACTTTTTTCTTCACCACCTTAATTGTTAATTCAGTTATTATCATAATCATATTCAATAGTTACCATGGAATAGGTTTTATTTAATATTCCACAATCACAGAATTGGAATCATAAGAATATTACAATTCTGACCAATTCTTGAATATTTTTCAACAATTAATCAAACGTTTTATCTTCCCCATGAAAAAGTTTTCATGGTAAATTCAATATAAATACATTCTATTGAATAATTACTGTCAAAATGTTAGAGAAAAATGAAAAGAAAATTTCATCATTAATATAATCATGGAAATTCAGTTGACAAGAGAGAAGAAAAATTCGCAAAACTATTGTAAGAACTTTTTTTTCCTGGGAAAAGGAATGAAAATTCATGACAATTGTTCATATTCTGTATCCACAATTATGATAAAAGAAAATCAATTTATCATATTTTCCATCTTAATCTTCACATTGCATCAGGAAAGAAAAGTTTTTTCGAGTTCTAACCACCACACCTTGATGAGAACATGATAAATATTCAAAGTTTCAAATTCGATAAAAGTTCTGCCAAAGGTAATTAGATATTCCCTGATATTTAAATAGCTCAATAAAAATAATCAGGTTCAGAATGATTCCTAAAATTAACTTATTAAATTTGTGATGAAAAGTTTTCACCATCATAAAGATTGGAAAAGTTTGTCAACTTTTGTTTCTTAAAAAATTGTTTCAAACATAAATCATTGTCTTATCATGACAATTATCATGTACTCTCATTATTATTATCATCATTATCTAAATTGAAACTGAATTATGTTGACAATCATGATCATCTTCATGATAATGATATATTTAAAATCATTGACCATAAGGGTAAATGATTATAATGAACTTTCATGTTGGTTAATATACAATATAAAGATGATGATCAAGATGATGAACTATCTGCAACTGAATTTTCATCAGAACTTTTTTCTACTAGTTTTCTCATTCTCTAAACTTTAATTATACTGATTAGCTCAATTTAATTTAATGAGTTTCATTAAATTACACAAGCAACAGAGTTAAATGTTGCATGAATACACATGGAGACTTTGAATCTATTTCAATCTTTTTCATTTAAATTGTAATCAATTTTAATCATCCAACAGGAATTGCATTTACAAAATGAACCAGATTAGTTAATTGCAAACGCTGATTAAAATTGTAAATCAAATTTTTCCTCAAAGTTAATTACATAAGAATGGGGGGAAGAGAAGCAAAAAAAAGTTCATTTTCTTCAATTTCAGATTAAACTTTGAACTTTTTGCAAAATCGAGGAAATCGAGAAAGAAAAAGAAATAAACTCGAATAAAAGTTCTGAACACTAGTTCGAGGAAAATGTTATATTTCCACAAAGAATACCCTTCATTTGACTATATTTATCTCCAAGGAGAATTCATCTTCTCCTTAAGGTCATATATGAGATTATTTTTTATTCTTTCTCTCTCTCTCTCTCTTTCTTTCTGTCTTCATGATGACCATCATCATTTTCATCTCTTCTCCAGCATTCTCATCATTTTAATGGATGAAACTATTATTCTCAGGGTACTTCTCATCCTGATCTATTTTCATGATATTTTGTCTGTTCAGACAATAATAATTCAAGTAACACTTTATATCTGAGCACACAATATATTTATCATGCACAAATATATATTGTCATCATCACCATCGTCATCATCCTAAATAACATTCATGTTATTTGAATTCTGAATATCATCATCATGAAGAAACTTTTCAGTTCTGAATATCTTGTTCTCTTCCTTATGGTAAAAAGCATAAGGAAAAAGCTTTTTTTTTATATTCTCAACTTATTTTCCACCAGTAATCATTATCATCATCATGGTATTCATACTAAATACCTCATTTTAGTCTTCATATTTTCAAATTTTATAAGAATTCATGATAATCATATTCAACAATTATGATTATCACCTAACCTGAAACTGAATAAATGAATATACACCTTGAATTGATCATCATCATGATAAAGATGATGTTCAATTTTACTCACTTTTCATTTGTAAATATACTTTGAACACCTTTTGGTGTATCAGGAAATTTATCTTCATTTTCATAACCAGAATTGAAAGTTCAACTTTCATCCATGATAAATACTCATGAGTATTACAATTTTTTAAAATTCATCCGAAACATTTTCTAATAGTAACTACAAATATCATCATCATCAATATTGTTATCATTGTAAAATTGTTCACCATGATGAAAAAAAAAATATAAATGCTTTCATTATGATAAAAGTTCATTCAGTTATTTATAAATATGAATTCTGGGTATTCAAGTTTCTGTCTTTCGTTTTTCTGACTTCATCTTTTTTCATCATGATAAAAATAAATGCTAGGAATGAACTAAAGTGGAATTTTCTGAATGGAAAACAAAAAAAAAGAAAACAATAATATTAATATTAATATTGATGATTTGAGAGTTGAGATTGAAAATTCTGGTTCATGTGAAGGAGATTGAAAAGTGTTCAGGCTCAAGATGAAAATCTAAAGAGAGAGAGAGAGAGAGAGGAAAAGAAGGAGAAAGTTATGAAGATGAACCTTTGTGTCTGAATATAAAGGTTATCTCTCTACATGGGAGAAAATAGAGAGAACGATGAAAGATGAAGTTTCCAATTCCGAATCTTTATTTTTCTCTTCCATGTTTATCTTCTTACCTTTTTTCCAATAAAAAGGAATCTGTTGTCAACTGTCTCCTTGATGGATTTTTCATTAAGATAAACAATATATTTATCAACATCACCGGTGGTTTGGTTAAAGGTAAATTTAACTTGACTTCCAATAGGTAATTTATGTCGATTCTTGTTGATATTATCATCAGTCATTATCTCAATTTCAATCCGTTTACCTGCATCAATCGATGATGATGATGACGATGATGAGGTAACATCAAGTTGAGATGATTTATCTGTTATATGTTTACCTGGTCCATAGGTAAAGGTTTCCAATTCAAAGCCATTGATACGTCTCAATAGGAAAATATCAGTTTTTAGAGTCAATGTTGAGACGAGATTGGACATTGTCACGATTACTTTATAATGTCCAGGATGCTTGTAACGATGGGAAAATATTTTCTCTCCATTTGGTAATTCTGACCATTTCTCTGGTATTGTCCAGTCGAGAGTTGACCCATCGCCGAAAAGTATTGAAACACTTCCATTGGTTGGTAATATCATGTCCGAAGTGTTTGACGAAGTTGGATAAGTTAATAGTAAATCAATTGTTCCTTCAAGGAGATAAAAATATTAAGACAATTAGTTAACGATAATTACGATAAAAGTGCCGATTCAATTTTCTTAAATTTCCAAATGACCAAAACAAACTCAATTTTCTCAAACAATCATGTTAACCTTTTCTCTCTGATTAAAATCTAGAAAATTATACAAAAAAAAAGTATCTCCATGGGAGCAAAAACTCAATTTCAATTTCACCATGGTTCTCATCAGATAGATTGAAATTTCAACTCTCTCTCTCTCTCTCTCTCTCAACTGTCTATAATATACACCTTGATATTCAATATACTAATAACTTCATTGAGAAAACCATGTTTGCATGATAACGATAGTAATAAGTATACTAACTGAATAACAAACACTGAATATTAATATTAAATGAACTTTGTCTTCTGGGAGTTTATTTTTTTCTGTGATATCACTTAACCTTTTTTTTTACTTCCATTACCTTACATATATATTCACTATCTTATCAAATTCGTTATAATATCATATTAGATATAACCAGAAATGGTAACGAGCAGATTTCATCATTTACTCTTACTAATGATAATGTTCATCTTTCCTATATATATATATGAATAGAATCAGTAATTATCTTCACAAAGAATGAAGATAATTAAGATTAATTTTAAGGAGATGAAGATGAAACAAACGATACAATTAATAGAAACCAGAGTTTATTGTAAATGAGACTGAAATTGAGATGGAAATTCTGACAAAAATCTCATTTGATTTGCATCTGAACATGATGAATGTTATCAGAACTTTATTATTCTATCTACATTATCACCCTGATTCTTTTATCATGATGAGTATTGTTTACTTTTTAGTAACTGAGTGTATCCAGAATGTTGAGTTTCCGTTCACTTTTTGGGTTCATATGTAAGGTGAAAAAAAAAGATTCAGTTTATCAGCTGAATCATTTTTTTCCCTCGTGTTTATTTTTTGATGATGATGATGATGATCAAGGATGATGAAGATATATATAAAAAAAAGATGATGAGAGACTGAGGAGAAACAGGAAACCGGAAGACAGAAAAAAATAGCAACAACAACAACAATCAAATATAATGTTTATGATGAAGATAAATTGATTACATTGAAATGCTCAATTCTGGTTGAATCAATCGTATCAGGGTATTATCATGATAAGATATTAGATATCATCATGTCGATAGGAAATGATAATTGTTTTCCCTATGTAGTTTTTTTTTTCATCTGCTTTTACAAAAAGGATGAAGACAAGGAAAATGTCATCTCTTATCATCCTCATCTTTATCAGGTACTCAGAAAAAAAATATATTTTTATTTGATTGCTGATGATGACAAAATGTTAACTCAATGATCAATAACAAACAAGACAAATACCTTGAGCATTAATCGTGAGATGAATTTGTAATTTTCATGGAATTGAACAAAATATTATTTATCATCAATTGATCATCATTATCGGCAGAATGAAGATGAGAGAGAGAGAGAGAGAGAAAAGAAATTCAATTCAATGGATATAAAATTCATTGGCAATGAATTAGTTTCCATCGATTCATGAGAGTTCAACTTACAACTTGATGAAATAAAATGGAAGAAATTTTCATCTCCCCAAATATTCAATTCCTGTAGGTTATTATCATCATGGAATTTTCAATCACCATGATTAGTCTTGATAATATATTCATCTGTGAACATGATAATACATCATGTACTTATCATGTTATTATCCTTTTGAGCTTCGTTTCAACAGATTCTTACCCATCCTTTTAATAGTATCACTATTATGTTGAGACTTTCACTAATTGTGACTCGAGGGTTTCACTGTTTCCATCTTCATCATCATCATTTAGCATTAAATGTCTCCCTTTTCTCCCTTTTCTCACTAACTCTCTCATGATCCTTTTTCTAACTCTTTTGGTTATAATCCAATAGAAGCAAAAAATTATGCAAACAACTAACGGGAAGCAGAAATTATCTTGCTCATCTCATCTTCCTCATCATCCCAAGTGCTTTGCATATTCATCTAATTGCTAATAGCGAAAATATTTATCTTCCTTATCGATGAAGATAACGATCAATGCTCAAAATGAATAACATATTCATTGATTTACCATGGAAATTTTTTTCTCCCTCTGTATCAACATTTCCATAAGAATTCATTATCAACATCATCACCATGCAAACATTAAACTGAGTATATTTATTTATTAACAAAGTTATGATGATGATGATTATGATGAAAAAAAAGATCTTCTCCCAATAATAATAACATTTTACTCTTGGAATTTGATAGAAAATTGTTTCAGAGATTATTAAGAAGTGAATTCTAAATCTTGATGAAACCTGAAACTTCAACTGTAATCTGAATAAAAAGACTCATCGACATGATCAATGATCAACCTTGTTAATATCCGAGAAAAATGTTAATAGCTAATTATAATTATTAACTCAATCATCACCATGATGATGAATCATCAGCAGCAGATTGAATGATTCAATTGTTGATGGAATTTATTTAGATAAAAATTCATATGATGCTGATAATAAATGTTCAATATTAACAATGATGAGGAAAAGGAAGAAGAGAAAATTTCATCATGATAACAATCAACTGAGAACAATATAAATGTCAGAATTATTGACAAGTGAGAGAAAAAGTGTCATAATTTTCATGATGAAATATGAATTTTCCATCATCATGTTCCTGAATGGTTCGGATGTGATAACATGATGAAATAAATGGAAAACAAGAGGAACAACAAAAAAAATAAAATCTGAGCAAAAAATAAAGATTATCATGAAAATCTAAATGCAAGAAAAAAGTTCATCTAAATATTACTAATTGTTGACGATCATCAGAATAGAGATAAACTGATTTCATGATGAATCAGAATCGATAATGTTTAGATAACCTTAGATTCAATAGGAAAAGTCAATTGTCTCTGATCAATATTGACTTTGGGTCCTGTTTTTCATGTTGATATTTTCATCATCAGTGGTCACCTTCATGATGATGATGATGATCATCATCATCATGACATATTGATGATGACATGATGACGATGATGCCTGTCAACAGGTAATTATTGAAATTGAATTCTTGCTTTACTGTTTCAGGGTAAAAGTTCAGAATGAGCAAGAAAAAAACTCAATAACTAACAGAAAAGTGTCTACATCTTACCAATGGGTTCTCACGAAACATGCCAAGAATTTCATGAGATTCTGAATCATAAATTCACATGGGAGATAAGTAGAAAAAAATTTTTTTCTCTCACTCTTTCTCTTTATCTTCTCATCCACCGTCATCATTATCATTAACATTATCATTCTGATCAACAAAATGGTTGGCACAAAAAGTAAGTTGATTGACTTGAAAGTAGAAGGAAAAATTTATCTACCTTTTTATTATTATTTTGTATATAGAATCATCATCATGGTATTATCATGATGATTCTGAGCATTGAACATTGAGATTCAGATCGGATCAAGGGAGGAAAGTGATTCCTCTTGATAATAATAATACTAATAATGATAATTGATGGTGATTGTGATGATTATATCTCTATAAGCTAATTGAACAGAAATGAATGAGATAAATGTTTCAAATGGTTCAATGAAAATCAGTTGAAACTGTTGATCAATCATTTAAAACACATTGAGAAAAGCAATCAGGTTGATTATCATTTGATCATATCAATAATTAATCAAATCATCCTGATGTTTCATGGTAAACACAATATTAACTATCATATAATACCTTTGGTAGATAAAAAGTACCCAAGATAATCAAATAATCATGATAATAGAAGTCTAATAATCTTGAAACAATTTAGATGATTGGATATAAGAGTAAAGAAAAAAAGTTCAACGGGAAAACTCAATGAGTAAGAATCAATTGTTTGGAGGTCAGTTAATTGGTTCATATTGGAAATTCAACCAACTCATATTCATGCAAACAATTAACTGGACATTGTCAACGTAACGATTGACCATCGATTGTTTCATCATCTTGTCAACTGGACGATTTCTCATCATAAATCATCAACTATTATCTTTAGGTTATCTCAGTTTATTTATTATTCTGATTATTATTTATCTTTACCATTATCATCATAATAATAACTGGACATTAGCCTTGTCAGGCCAGTTGACCCTCGTAGTTATTATTATTATTATTATGAAAATTGGCTTCATCTGATTGAGAAAATGATAATTTCTGATTTTTTTTTCTCTTCCACGATCAACTTTCAATTCAATATCATATTAATATCATGAACCATCATGAAAGCAATTTTAACCTTCATTGAACATCAATCCACAATTGGAATCAATTTTATCCTAACAATCAAAGTTGTACAAAAATGACCATCAAGTTATATTATCAAAAGGATTATTAGTAATGGTCAAGATAATAATAATAATAAAATTAATAATAATCATGATAAACAATCAGAAAAGTTGATCATAAATTATTAGTTATTGTTATTAATTAGTTTTGATCACTGGGCAGTTATTATTATTATCCTGCTCAGTTGATTTAGTTGTTTATTGCAATGGCTTCATAATTAATTAATGTAATATTATTGACGGTTAATTGTTGTTTCTTGATTGTTGTAATTGTTTTGGATATTGATTTATTTTTGTTATCTGTTAATGAGTGATATCTGATTGCTAATTAATTGTCGTTTTTACTAATAATTCAAATGTCAAAATGATTAATAGTTTGTATTTACGTCTAATGGATTAGATTGTTGATCGATTAGAGACAATTTTTTTTACGATCTGCTCGAAAATTGATCGAAACTATTTCATAAGTTATCTAGAACTTTTCGAACTTTTTTTGAAACTTTTTTTCTGACAACACAACTATCGCCATCTTTTGTAATTTGATTGACTGATGAACGGGAAGAGAAAAGTTTTTGTTCAGGAAGTTATTGGAATCGGGTCAGTTTGAGAGTTCGAAAAGTTTCATTTGGTCATTTTGGTGGGTCAAGATCGAAGTGGACAGAAAGTTAATTTTTCTCACTCACCTGGAAGAAGTTGTGGTGAATTTGATGCTAATTTCCAGTCACTTGTGATCGGATATTGAATTGTAATTGTTTGTCCGGTTGTGTACTTATTTTGAAGGTTCGAAGCGCCGACATTTATACGATAAACACCCGGTGTAGTGTATTCATGAGACTCGAGAAACTTTTGTCCCGTTTTGACGAAATCAACTTTCTTCGTGGTCTTGTAAGTATCACCAAAGTCCCAGGTAAGTTTAACATCCGATCCACCGTTGATACGAATCGTCGCTGATACTTTTTGACCGACCACAGCGTTGGGTGGGACTACTCGAAGTCTTATCTGATCAATTGGTGTTTGTACCGCAATTTTGGCCTCGTAAGTAAAATTTTTCACGTTTTCTAACCAAGGGGAGGTGAGAACTAATTTTACAGTGTAGTTACCGTTATCAGCGTATGGATGTGGTAGGTAAAACTCAGAATTCTCATAAGTTATCACTCGAACTAAAAGTTTTTTACTGTTCATGGGTTTCAATGATTCGTAGCCAATTATTGTTGGTGTTTCACGTTCTAATGGTACTGTAGATGAATAAATAAGGTCAAGGTTTGATGTCGACGATGGTTCAGTCGCTACAAATGCAAGTTTAGCATCAAAAAGTCTAAGAGCGATCAGATCACCAATACGAAAATCTCGAGACTTCGATAAATGGTAATAAAAGTAATTTCGAGTCACTGTAACTTTCACTCGTCGGGCGACCTTGTATTCTGGGAAAAGATCAATATGAGATCGACAGGAATCAGGTGATGGTACCTGAACCGATGGATCTGCGGTCAGTTTCTTCTTGGATGAATCTCCTCCGCCATCGACTTTTGTTCCTGGATCGATGCAGTTTTTATCCCGAAGGCAGAAAACTTTGGGCGGTGAACACGAGACCACTCCCAGAGAACAGGGTGTATTATTACCGCACCAAGGTCGATAAACAATCAACTCTAAGTCTCCGCCGAGTGTTGAATAACCTTCAAGGGCTCGAATGTTGGAATTACTTGAATAAGATTTTGCCGAATCTGATAGAATATACAAGCCATGAGGAGCTTCCTCATATGACATGTTGGCCGAATCAGCGATCAATGGACCAAATGGATTAAATCGAGTATCGGGAATAGTAAATTCAAGAAGCTCCGTTGAATCACCAAAATCAACTGTCGCATTTAAATCTTGTCCTGCAAGAACGGTAACATTACAGCCCGAATCTTCATCTGGTTCAATGACGGGGAAACAATGAAACTCAATATCAATCGATTCCAATCTGTCAACAATTTGAATGACCTTTGAATTGACCACAACCAATCGTTCAGGTTTAGCTGGTTGTCGGGCAAAAAGTTTGACCTTAAAATAACCTGAACCTTCATAGATGTGTGAATATTTTCTTGAACTATTCCATTCAGTTCGAGCTGAGCCATCACCGAAATCAAAGCTAAACTGTACATCAACACCCGTCTTGATGGAGATGGTAAAATTGACCACTTCTTGAGTGTAACCCACCGAAGTCGGGGTAACGTTCATTGTCAGGCCAGTGACGGCGTGAAGAATTTCACCCTTGTAGACTTGAAGGTTACCCTCAACGGAGGTCGAATTACATTCACTTGGTGTTAAGGGAAACAATGATTCCAATGTCGATATCGTTGTCTCATCGGCACACAAACAGTAGACGGAGGATACAACACCCGCCAGTGGGTATTCAGCATCCGCACATAAACCCGAACATCTTTCAGGTCTTAACGGTTTACCGTCGGGTTCAGGTTCGTATTGACCTGGAGTAAAGGTGAACAGCTCAAGGGTCTCATTTGAATAACAGGTCCCATCGGTTAGTCCATTTACTAGAATCGGTGTTAATATAAAAAGGTAAAGAACAGCAATTAAACAAATCAGTCCAACAAATGGTCTAGAAATTAAAGTCATCGCTTAACAATCAACGGCAACTTATTAGCACATCGACAAATCCAATAGCTGATTTAACATCAATTTGATTGTCAATTAGTAGCAAGGGTTAGATTTATGTTACAATTAGCTGATTGTTGTGGGAAAATAAATCGTCAAGTTTTTTTTCTTGTTGATTTGTGGACTTAAATTTAACTGATTACTAGCAAATATTTGGAGTTAGTTGGTTAATTAACTGATTTCTGGTCAATGAGTTTACCATGGTTACCTGAATTAATCTGATGATGAGTTGAATTTTTTGCCTTTCATTGTAAACAAATGTTAATTGTTGTTAGTATTTTATTTCTGGTTTAGTAAACAAAAGGGAGTTAAGGGTTAGTAATATGTATTTGCTTGGATGATTTTAATTGTTGTTAAGGTTAAAGAGGAATAAACAATTTAGTTAAATTACCATATTAGCTTATTATTAATCACTAGAAGTAACAAAAAAAAATCAATGTGATTCTATTTAAATGGTAATATAACAATTAGACCAACCAGTTGAAACGAAATACGTCAAAACGATTCAGATGAATTCATGAAATTATCATGAAAACTGATTTGGAAATGAGATAAAAAAAATGGTCAATCTACCGGTTGATTGGATTTTATAGATGACGATTGACCAATTAGTTGAATTAAACTCTGGTTCCAATGTTTGGGTCAATGTTAACCTTTTCTATGAAGGTGACGTTTTGTATGTCACCTTTATCTCAGATCTGATTAACGAGATTTCCAATTGAATGAAAGGCAAATATTATATAATAGAATCAGGATTAATTGTTGAGAGTTCACTAGAGAATAGACGAAAATTAATCTTTGTTAAGGAACATCGAGAGCAAATTGGTTGAAAGAAACTGATTGTTTGTGATTATTCACTTTCTCTTTTTAAAATAAAACAACAATAAAAATCAGCTAATTGTTTGGTTAACCTTTTGTTTCATTCTATTATTGCTACCATTAGATGGCGATAGTGAGTAGAATGTCATATCTTTGGTTTGGATTCGTTTTCAATCAAAGTTCTGTTCAATAGTGATGAGAATAATGAAATCATGGACACAGTTTATGAACAAGATACATAGATGATCGGTAAACATCGGTAAAAATAGCTGAATAGCCCTGTATAAGAAACTGGATCAGATCAAATGGGAAAGATGGAAACAAATTATCAGGCAAAAGAAAAATGCAAGAGTCAAGCGACAATCTCACTTATAGATTCCAAAAGAGTCTGAATAATCCCATGGTTCTTGAAAATATTCCAAGACAATTAATCTAATAGGAGATCTGATCAAAAGTAAATGTATCGATACAACGATGGATGAAATTCAAATCTCGCGGTTCTTAAACTCGACAGTAGAGACACCTGGTGGTTTTCGAAAACAAAACTGGTTTGTTTTCTTTTGTCTTTCTTTTTTCTCGCACATTTGATTGTTTGCCTTCTGCTCACTGATTGTTTCTTACTCTTGGAAGTTAATTTAACTGTTACTGTTTTTCGGCTTAAATTAGTTCCAATCAATGATTAACTTTGAAAATCTATGATTTACTTAATGATTTAATGTTTCTTGCCTTTAATCAGAACAAATAAATGTTGGTCCAATTTGAATTTGCCCTTAACGATTTGGCTCATCTTTTTCATCTTTAGACTTTTGCTTTTGTGTTTCTTTTGTTCAAATTAATTGTTTTGTTTTGTCTCTCACTTTTTCTTTCTCTGTTGTTGTTTATTTGTATTTATTCAAATTCTCTCTGTGTGTCCATTACTTTATTGTTTTTCTCTTTAATTCTTTTAACTATCCATCACATTATTGCTCATTATTCCTTCAACTTTCTTGTTCACCATCTTGTTGACATATTTTTTCATTGATGAATCAAAGTGACGAAGATGATAAAGTACGTGAAACAAATGACCAGACAGATTCTAGTGCCAATTTGGATCCACGGATCGGTATGAGATTGGAAGATCTTAACAAATGGACGGGTAGAATAAACGCCTTGGAAAAGAGTTTCGAAGAGGCCAATTCCAATTTTCGTTTAATTTTAAGTGAATCAACTGATCGTCTCAAATGTTTAGCCATTAAACTGGGTAAATCAGTTGAAGAGTCAAGGCCTTATTATGAAGCAAAGGAAAAACTGATCGAGGTTCAAGGAAAATGTCAACGAGCAGCGATTAACTATGAAAAAGCCTGTCAAGCCTATCTTGAAGCTAAAGAACGGATTAATTTGGCAGAGAAAAAGTTTCTCACCTCTTCCAGTGATGAATTTGACACTACCTGGCAAGAGATGTTAAACCAAGCCAATATTAAGCTAATGGAAGCAGAGACAATGAAAAAAGAAAGTGAAAGACTTCACCAATTATCAATGAAAGATTTTCATTCGGCTGAAACGATCCTATTTAATTTGAAGAAAAAGTTGAAAACACCATTACATCGATCAAAAGTCTATTTTGATGAAAAGAAAAGGTTAGTAAATATTGTAGAACAATTTAATTCAGTTAACTTACATATTCATCAATTCAATCAATTGATAATATTTTCCAATCAATTCTTTTTCTCAATTGTTACTCTTTTCCAATACCATCAACAGTACCGTTATTTTCACCTCTTTCCCCTCTTGCATCACACTTTCTTTACCTCTCTCTCTCTCTCTCTCTCTCTCTCTCTCTGTTCATGACGATAAGATTCTGGAGAAGAATCAACACTTGATGATTTTTTTTCTCATTATTCATGAAACTTAAGAATCTTTTTCTTCATCATCATCAAGGTCTAAACAATCAAGACCAACTCTTTCTGGGTTGGGTTAACTTTTTTTCATGTCGTTTCCTTGTAATAAGATTTTCCCTTTTAATCTTGCTCATCTTTCTTTGTTTAGAGAAACCAGAAAAATGTTGATTCAGTTGATTACGTTAATTTAAATGGTACAACAATCAACTAAATCTAATTGTAAGATTAACTGATGTTGATGGAAAAAAATTCTCTCTCTCTCTCTCTCTCTCTCTTGACTTGTTGACTTTTCATCTTCCCACAGATTTCAACCAATGTTGATAACATATTGAATTCCTCTAAACCCTTAATGAGTTTTCATGTTGATCCGAATCAGATTAATTCAAGGTTTCAGAATTTTCTTTCTTCATATTGATTACAATCATTTGTATACATTCAATAAGTCACATGTTTGTTTGATAAAAAAGCAACAAACTACATTTACACAATCTCACAATGGATTTCCCTGTGTGTAAACCTAAACCATCATGAAACTTATCATCATCATGATGGTGATTGTTGTTATTAATGGTTAATTGTTGTAGCTACACTCAAATTAAAATACTGTATGTATACATTTCCCGGTTAAATACGGAAGAGTCAACAATCAATAATAGAGTTTTTTTTCTGAACATTTTGATGTAGGCAAATATCATATTGATGTTTCCATCAATTCATTCAACTTATCCTGATGAAGATGATGATGAGCATCATCACCCGTTCAGTTATCATCTTCATCTTTCTCTCAGGTGTAAAAATCGATGAATTATTGAATTAATGATTAATCATTTAAATGAAACCACAAAACTATTACTTAAAGTAAATGAAAGTAACAACTTCCTGATGATTTTGTTTCACATTTACATTCAAATGATACATGAGAAACTTATTAGTATCTGAATGAATCAAATGAATCTCGAGTCAATTCAATTTTTTATTGTGTCATGTTAAATACAAAAACTACAATTAAACATCAACTTGAACGTAATCATTATTATTAACTGTTAATTTGAGTTGATAAAGATGATGATGCTTATGCTAACACAGTTTAACCATGATGATGATGATGATGATGAATGATGAGCATATTTTGTTGTATCAAAAAGTTACATTAATATCATTATAATACCGAAACTGAATCTGAATTGGCAAGATTCTGATTCTGAAGGTTTATTTTGCTTACATTTCTCTCACAATCATTAATTCCAGCAACAATTTGACTCCACTTAATTACAATCAAATGTACTATTTATATTAATTTTCTCTCTTCATTCATTCATCAAATTGATGTCGCCATTTTTATTATCATTATCATTATATTGTAGTTATTACATTAATTATGTTTATAGTATTTATCAAAAATTTACCATTGATTTTGCTTAGGGTTTTACAGTTAATCTTTAAACATTTACACTCTTTCAATCTCTTGTTAATCATCTTTTAGGTTTTAATGATTAACGTAAGTTTAATATAACAACTACCAATCAAATTGCCATTACGAATACACCATCATGAAGGTTAACATGTTGATTACTTACATAATGTCAATGATAAAGTCATCGACATTATGTATTATTTTATCATCATTTTAATCGAACCTGATGATTTATATCACTCATTCTCTTTTTTTTTATTCATCAGATTATTTTCATCCATTAACAAGATGATTATGATTACCTATGAGAGATTATAACTAATCGATTGATTTTTTATTCCAATCACTTGATCGAGTGAGAACTTTTATCGTTAGATTAGCCAATTCTCTCTCTCTCTCTCAGTTAATCTTTCGACCATTAACGAAAATTCAACCTTCGATTACCAAGCAATTAACTTGGCGATTTAAATGAACACAAATGATTCTTACATTTCAACATCTATCATAATCATCATCATGCACCAATCAAATGGAAAATTTTTCTCCATGTGATCAAAGGTTTTTTACATCAATTGGGAAAGAGAAAAGCAAAGCAACAAGAATTAATTATTTATATTTAACAAGCAATTAACTTGATTATCGTATTTGTTACTCTCTTGTTCAATTTGATTACGTTCTTGTTTTCAGATTTACCTGTTTAGTTTCAAGGTGAATCAGTCAACTATTTACAATCGTAAATTTATTTTTTTTTTCTCAATGATTTAATTTATTGATTAGTTTGAAAAAATTTTCTTTTTTTTTCTTTCTGACCATTGATATGAAACTAATTTCGATGACCTTTCATCAATCGTATTAGCGAGGTCACTTAATTAAGTCAAATTTACTAATCAAATGTCTGATTACTTTCTTATCATTTGAACGGCGTTAATTGTATCATATTGATTTCCGGTCAATTAGTTAATTGAAAGATTTACCTTTTCGATTACAATCTAAGTAATCAAGAGAGGATTTAAATTTTTGCTCGATTGCAATTGAAATTTTGTTTACAATCAATCAAACAATAACGATATTGATAATTAGTAAATTGTTGTTACTATTAATAGGTGTTGATGATTGCTAAATCATTTCATTTGATTTGTTTGTATGATTAAAAGTTTGCGAATTAGTTTCTCAATCTTTACCTGATTGTTGATTAACATGATTTACATTTATATTAATTATCATTATGATTATCTGTTTCTTTTACTTTCAAAATTTACCGTTACTTTTACTTTTTCAATTTAAACGCTCTGAGTGTTTCATACAATTCATTAATTTACTGTTAATTGCTATCGTATTGAAACTAATTAAGGGGAGACTCTTTTTTAGTGAATGTATATCTTGAATTTGAAATATTCTGATATATTTATTGTTTCAATAATTATGATAAAATGTAAAAATCTCTCAATGAAATGAGGCCAAAAATCACAATCTTATATTTACCTTTATATTGTTTCCATTATCAGATTGAATCTTTTTTTTTCTGAATAGTTTCCGGTTGACCATTTTTTCCTAATACTTTTTTTTCACTTACTTTTATTCTGAAGACTCGCATCATTCAGCATTTAGTTTACTCGGTCAGCTTTTCCTGTTGTTGTTGTTGTTGCTTCTGTATGGATAATGTGTTTGGTATTAGATACTGATGATGGAGATGCTGTTGATGATGATGATGATGATGAGCTTCATCAAGTTCAGTGCCAAACCCTTTTTTCTTAATGGTTTTCACAACTTATCTTGATAATCACCATCATTACTATTATAACACTTATTTGGAGCCAAAAAACTTGAACTTCAAGAAAATGATTATCTCCGGTTAGTGATGATGATAATCAATCTTTGTTATTATTTTGTTCATCTCTCTCTTTCTCTCTCTCCCTGTTTTTTTTTCATTTCTCATGATGTAATAATATCGTTTCCAGATTGATGAACATGTCAACGTTTTCCTCTATTTTGATGGTTTGAAAGTTTTCTCACTGGGAATCTATTATATTGTGTGTGTGTCTGTTTCTCTCCTTTTCTGATGTGAATTTTGTTTCCCATTCATTTGTCTATTTTTCCATTGAGGAAAAAAAGATGTGATTCTATTTGGCTCTTAGTTTGATAATAATTCTTTTTCTTTTCCATGATATATTTAGATTTCAGAAGAAATTGGTCTCATTGAAAGAAGAAATCGAATCAATCATAAGTCAAATTAACCGCTCAAAGGCTTGTTATGCTGCCACTCTCCGGGAATTGGAGGCCATTTCTGAGGAGATTCATGAGAAGCGTAATTGCTCCCTAATTAAACGTTTGAGGACACAACGAGAACCTGGTGTTGGATCAGATTGTGTACCTGATGGAATGAGTTCCATTGAGATGGTTAATTCCCGATTGTCACAATTGGGTCTCTCATTACCTGAGAATGGAGGATATCCCTCCTCCAAAGAGGAGGATGAAGAAGGAGAAACAGATGAAGAGGATGATGAAGAACTGCCCAGTAGCTGTAAAAGTAGTTCAAGTCTTGCATCTACTTCAACTGATGCCATGATTATCCATCCATCTAATTCTTGCTCTGACATTGATACAATATGTTCAATTAATGAAGAAGACGATCACTTGCAAAGTGAGAAAAGTGATTCAGATTCCATTAATCATCAAGATGATTATGAAATAAGAATACATAAAAATTGGAAACCGGATAATGTAATGGAAACGGATAAAACCATCCACAAGGATATCATTCATGTTAATGTTAATGGGAACGATGATGATGAAAGTCCGTTAACAACAAAGTTAAAAGATCACTTTTTCTGTAATCTAGAAACGAATGGCTTAAGAAATGAATCAACGCCCGATATCCTAAATCACATTAAATCAGCTGATAATAATGCATTTTTCACAAATTTCATGTAAACAACACTTAATGACCAAAGGATCTAATTAACCTGTTCCTCAAACTAATCATGATCACTACCACCAACGCAACAACAACAACAAAACAACAACAATTATCACTTCCTAGATATGAACAGGAAAAAAAGGGCAACAAAGAAAAAGAAACCAACCTTAATTGTTATGAGCTTCGTCTTCCCTAATTATGATTTAAATCATTGTTGATTACCAATTTAGTGGCGCATTTGTTTCATCCAATCAATGAAATCGTCCTTGTTTTTGGTCTGTGACTTTTTCTATGATCATCATTGTTGATTAACTAATTAGTTTCTGTTTCCATCCATGCATTTTAATGATCATCTCAATCACACAAACACACACACACACACATCCAACGACCTTACAATTAACGTCTTTCAAGTGCCAACACAGTAAACAAAACAATACAATCAAGGATCATCTCTGTTTATCATCATCAAGTTTATCCATCATAATTAATCCTTTGCTACTGTTTTCCCCGTCCTTCAACCTGCTTTTGTCTATCTACTTGTTAGACTCATTCATATATTCATCTATTTATCTACAATTTACCTTTAATTATCACCACGATGAACCAATTTAACTGATAATATTTAGAATATTTTTTTTTCTCTCCATTGTTAGTAACTGAGCCTTCCAATACCCTGATGATTTACTAATCACTGCTACTTACATATTCTCTGTTTCTGTCTAATTAATGATGAAAGAAATGAAAAAGTACAACATCTAAATTGTTACAATTCAACTTTCCAACTATTTATCTTGACTAACCGAGTTAGTCGGTAATAACTTTCATTCTGTATTGTACACAAAACTTTTTTTTAGTGACTGTTATTTTTTATATTCATACAAACAAGTCACAAACAAACCCAAATGATATTTTGTCAACTGTAAAGTTTTCCCAATCTTGTGTTTATAATCAGCAACTAATTGTGTCTTCTCATTCACTTATTGTAAACACATAAAAAATTAAGACGAAAAGAATGAAAAAAAAATCGTAATTGTATTTTGATGACAATTTTAACTGATCATTCAAATTGATTGAAAAGTTTATTGAATCAAATCTATTTTATCACAAATTTGTAAAGAAACGAACAAAAAAAATCTCAATCTCATTTTTGTATTTCTCTTTCTTTGTAAATTGTTAACCAATTGAATGGTTAATTAACTCGGATCGATTGTTATTCTCAACCATTAGGATGATCATCATGTTACAATTAACTCTAATAGTTAGGGTATTAATGAGCAGACCCAAAGAGAGACGGGAAAGAAAAACAACTGATTAGGATAATCAATTGATTGTAATTACAAAGTTAACATTTTGGTAGACAATTGATTTGATTGTTGAAAACATATCAAAAGGGAGAAAGGAAAACAAATGACAATTAACGATTCTAATTAAGATTATCTTGGATTAAAGTTAATCAAAGGAAACAAAAGAGACGAGATTAAGATCACTTTTCTATAAATAATTTGATTGTTAATTAACTGGAAACAAATGAAGATGCTTTTTAATTGTGATTAGTTTATTTTGTTTTGCGTTCTCAAACTAAACTAAAGGTTTACAGTTCTGATCAACAATCAACCATTGAAATCAAGGGAAACTTCAGCTTTAAACAACAATTAACCGGTAGTTTTAATAGCTGGATAGTTAATTTACTTTCTAACAGTGGAATTGAAAAGTTAATTGTTGACAATTAACAGAAAAAAAAATGTCTTCATTGAAGGAAATATCGAGTATCAAATTGTTCAATGGTTACCAGAAGCGATACTCACATTACAGTTTCACCAATGATTGGGAGATGAAATTTTCAATCTATTTACCGCCTAAGGCATTGAAAGGTGACCAGTGCCCAGTGATGTTATGGTTAACTGGACGTACCCTTGGTGAATGGGGGTTCACCAATAAATCGGGAATCCAACGATTCGCAGCCAAAGAGGGTATAATTATCGCAGCACCGGAACCAACACCAAGAGGAATTGAGGTTAAAGGTGAAGATGGTGAACTACCTTATGGGTCACAGTTTGGTTACTATGTTGATTCAACGGTTGACCCCTGGTCGAAACATTATCAAATGTATTCTTACATTGTCAATGAATTCTATCAACTATTAACTTCAACCAATTTTCCAGTGAAATCAAATTTAATCGGACTTTCAGGTCATTCGATGGGAGGAACAGCGGCCATACCGATTGCCCTTCGAAATCCTGATAAATTTGTCTCGGTCACCTCAATGTCCGGTGATTATAATCCAATCGCAACTGAAGGTGGTTCCAAAATTTTATCCACTTATTTAGGTGAAAACAAAGATAATTGGGAAAATTATGATTCGACAAAAGTTATCAACAGTTACACTGGACCGGAAAGAACCATTTTCGTCGATTTGGTAAATATCAATTCGAGTGAATGTCGATAACATTTTCTGATCAATTTTAAATTCTATTTATCTTTCTATCTCTAAACAGGGTGGTTCTGATCCGGTTCTCGATGATTTCTCTCAGGCCCCTTTACTTAAGGCCTGCAGGGGAACCAATATCTCACTTGATTACAGGATTCGCCATGGTTATCACCATGCATATGAATTTATTCAAACCTTCATTGAGGATCACTTATTATACCATAAAAAAATTTTCTCCACTTTAATTTAACATCAATTGGACCAATTAACTAATTGTGATAACTAAACAAACCAATAGAAAACATTAGATACAATTATTGGTTTTGATTGTGATTCTGGTAACAATTTAAACGATCCATTGATTAAACAACAAGTAAACAATTATCTTTAATCAATTGCTTTTGTATTCTCATCACAATTAGATAACAATTAAGTTTGATGATCAAAAATATCTTTGCCAACTGATCATTTATTTAGCAATTTTTTTTTTCATTCTGCTTTTCTTATTATATTAAATTGTTAACCTTTACATTAGTGATGATGATTATAATTAAATCGTTAATTATTATAACAATTAAGTGGCACAGTCGATGGAAATTGATAATTTAATTGTTTCATTTTTCCTTGTAGTATTTTGATTAGTTTAATTGTTTGAAAGATTAAAATCAAATCATTTGTATTTGTTTTTTTTTTCCTCCAATTGTTGTCCATTGATTTTCAAACAATCTAATTGGTTTATCTTGTTGTCTTTTCAAAAGTTAATTGTTTTATCACTTTCCAATTAATAAGATTTGATCTGAGGTTAAATGAGTTTGACATATTCAGTATTAAATCATAAATAGTAAATATATATATCGTATATATCTTGTGATTAAAAAGATCAAGAAAATTAAGGTAAGACAGGATTTAGATAGTAAAAAGATTTAACAATTAATGTGTATAAGGTTAATTAGATTTTGTTCATTCATCAACTGAATTGTTAGTTGATTCATGGGAAAAGGTTCATGATAAACAACATGATAAAATGATTTCTCTCTTGGAATGATTTTTTCATTAACTTAACAAAAACATAATAATAATCACATAACATTATTGATAATTAAAGTTAATAACTTTGCTTTTCGGTTTGAGGGATAATAAGATTGGTGATGATTTTTGCTCTTTCCTTTTCTTAATAGAGTCGCTTTTCAAATCTACAAATAGAAAGAGAGAGAGAGAGAAAGAAAAACATTCGATTAGTTATCGATGGATTAATGATAGTTAAGAGATTGAAATCTGATTGATTGATGATGATTGATATTTATAAATAGTTCGACTTACGAGTAAAGTCCATGAACACCACCTTCGACTTGAGCGGATACACTTCGCTTCTCGAATTTAAGTTCCCCTGAGTACATATTTTCTCTGTTTTCAGAAAGAAAAGTTGAAATGATGGTTATTAGTTCATTGATTGATTGATTGGTTTTGTAGAAAATCAACTAATTGTAAATGAAAAATAATTTTTACCTTAAACAATCTAAACTTTTACATCCAATGTCTTGACAACCATATCTGATTCCAGCGATAAGGTAGGGAACATATCGGTGAATTGATCCTTTATCAACGATGGATCCCGTGACTCCCTGAGCAACACGAACTTCATCAACATCACTAATTAGATTTTAAGATTATAAAAGGTAAGAATCATAAAGATAAATTAATTAATATAAATACTAATGAGATAGAGAGAGAGAGGAGATAACAATCGTGGGAGATTGATTTATGATTGGGGATAATGTTGATTAATTTACCCTTGGAAATATCTTTGTCGACTTCCACCTCCATCTTTTGATTCCATTGCATCGATTGAGCCCATTCCTCGATATTTCTTTAGACGAACTCCATTAGAGAAATAGTATTCCCCTGGTGCCTCAGTTGTACCTGCTAACATTGATCCCATCATGACGCAAGATGCCCCTAAGGCTAAAGCTTTAATGATATGTCCAACTGAGGAGATTCCACCATCGGCAATTATGGGTACTCCAAATTTACGAGCGTATTGTGCGACTTTATAAACAGCGGAAGCTTGAGGTCGACCACAAGCGGTCACTTCTTGAGTTGTACAAATTGAACCTGATCCCATACCAACTCGAAGTCCATCAATACCGGCATCGATTAAATTCTTAGCCTGACGCATTGTTACAACTACAATTAAATTAACAACAAACAGATCAATAAATAATAAATCTTTCTTCTTAATCCACAAAGGACAATTAAAAACAATTATCACTGATTATCTTATTGATTATCTTACCATTTCCACCGATAACTTGAAGTTTTGGATAATTTTGCTTGATAAACTCAATCATTTTGAGTTGATAGATTGAATTTCCTTGGGAAGAATCCTTTAATCATCATCGTTATCATCCAAGATTATCGAAGAGGTTTTTGAGAGAAAGAGAGAAACAGATTAAAAGATGAGGTTAGATAATTTTTCAAGTGATAGAATAGAAAAAAAAAGATAAACAATTAACTAATTATGATAACAATTAACCTACAAGAATAACAACATCAACACCAGCCTCATATAACATCTTAAGTCGATTCTTATCATTTTCTCGAGTACCAATAGCAGCACCAACAAGAAGTTGACCATTATCGTCTTTAGATGAAAGTGGATAATCTCGACTTTTCTTTAAATCAGTTCGTGATATAAGCGCAACCAGTTCCCCTTTATCGTTAACTATGGGCAGTTTTCCCTTCTTTGATTGTTGAAGGATCTCATTGGCCTCTTGTAATCTTAATCCACTTGACGATCCTTCGGTAAGAGTAACTAAATCGTTACCTTTGGTCATCACTTTAACCAACGGTGTATCTAAATCATCCTTCTTGATAAAATCGATGTCACGAGAAGTGACAATGCCCAATAATTTACCACCTATTTTACCGGTTTCGGTTATCGGTATACCTGCGAATCCTTTTTGTCGTTTAATATCAACTACATCACGAACAGTATTATTTGGACCCATTACAACGGGATCACGAATGAATCCATGTTTATATTTCTACGGATAAGAATTAAGAATGAAAATTAAATTGTTATCAATCCAAGTAAACTGAATAGAATTGAGATTATCTCTCAATTCATGGAGCTTTCAACTTACTTTTACTTTCTCAACTTCGGCTGTTTGAAATTCTTCGGAACAATTGTGATGAATGATACCGATTCCTCCACAAAGCTGAATGAGTTTAAAATTGAAGTGAACAAAGAAATCAAATTAAATCAACTAACCATCTAAACAACACAATCAACTGATTAAATAAAATCAATTTAGTGATTGTAACTTACAGCCATAGCTATTGCCATCTCAGATTCAGTGACTGTGTCCATTGGAGATGAGACAAGTGGAGCTTGGAGAGTTAATTTTTTGGTCAATTTAGATGTTAATGACTATAATTAAGAGAAGAAACAATTAACAGTAAGATTAATTAGGAAAAAGGTAAAATTGTTATGGTTGAGAAAATAAGCAATTCGTAACTTACAACACTATCCGCTGGAAAATCAATGTAACCCGGAAGAATTAGGATATCACTGATGAAAGAGTGAGATAAAAATTGATTAGCAATTTAGGAAATTAAAGTTAATCATTGGAGGTGCGAGAAAATTAAGAAAACAATTAATCCTTTCTGATTAAGTAGATTATTCAACTCACTTGTAAGTCAATCCATCACCGGCTCCAAATAATTGTTTGGCAGAAAAACCGTCATCAAGATCAATGTCCGACATTTTGAATTATTGGTTAACAGATAATCAGATACACTAATTACGAAGAATGGTTAACAATTAGTAAATTGTGATGGAAATTATAATTTGATTAGAAAATTAGACTAATTGAAAGAGAGAGAGAAAAGGAGAGATTGAGAGAGAGAGAGAGAAGACACGCTGAAGATAAAAAAGAGAATAGAAAATGTAAACAAAAATGGAAACCGATTGATGATTAAGAGCGAAAGGTAATTAATTGTTGATTATTTGATGACCAGATTCACAGTGTTGATTAGATTGAGGTTGGTAACTGGTTTTAAATGTTAGTTTATCATGAAAGAGATTAAAAGATAGAGAGAGAGAGAGAGAGAGAGAAATATGTACACAGGGAAAGAGACACAGAGATTAAGGTAGACAGAGAAAAAAATAGAAAGAGAAAAATAAACAATTCGACAGAAAAATAGAAAGAGAAAATTATTTCATGTTTAACAAAATGGAAAATACAAAGAAAATAATGATGACTAGATGATTAGAATTGATAACCAATGTTGATCAGATATCAAATCACAATCGAAATGTAATAATCACAATCTCTTAATTAAATAACACTAAATAGAAAACAATCTAATCTCAATTATCTTTGATAATTTTTTTCTTCTTCACATTTAAGTTACTCTTTGTATCTTTAGTTTTTTCTTTCCCTCTTTTTTTTCCCTCTCACCTGTTTTTCTTTTAATTTTCAATTCTCTTGATTACTTTTCATCTTATTATCTTAATCTTAATTGTTATTCCATCATCAATTAGGATCATCCAGAGATTATCAATTAAATGATAATCTAGTGAAAGCAAAGTTTCAAAAAACATAATATGAACCGAACAAACAAAAGAAAGAGAAAAAGAAAGTAACTTATTTTTGGAACTCGTTGTTGTTGTTGTTGGTTTTGTTGTTCATCTTCACCACCATCACCACCACCATCGAGATTATCATCATCTGAATGGAGACACAATTTACTAATTTACTAATTGTCATTTGGAAAATTAATTGACTTTCAAGTGAATATTTTGTTCGTATAGTTTGAGAGTGAAAATTGTAGTTGATTGGTTTGAGTTGATTGTTGTTTCATTTTCGATTGATTGTTGGGTTTAATTTTCTTTTCTCGAAAAAAACTCGTTTCTTTTTCTAACATGAGTTGGTATATGTAGAGAGTTAATTGTTGGTGGAAATTAAGATCATACTTCAAAGGATCATTTCTATAGTATGATTGGGACGATTCGTTGACAAAACGAAGTCCAACTCAGCCACAATGAGGATTCATGGAGCTTTTCCCTGAGCGGGAAACCGAAGGTCCAACATTGACCCTGGTCAATTGTTGACTCTCATTGATGACCGTTTCTGTCTGGGGTAACATCCAGTCAGGAGGGGATCAGCTCTATCTGAGTGGTAAACAAATAAATAACAATTCAAAAACAAAAGCACCTTCATTATGAAAGCATCGATTCAGATTCTGTGATCGAATATTCAATTTCTAATTTTTCGATTGTTTTGTTTTCTAGTTGCGAGATAAATAACAAGATGATCAATTGAATTGTTTTGGGTTCGATTACGATTGTAAATAAATAGATTCTTTTATATATTTAATAATTGTAATAATCTTTTGAAAAATTGTAACATTCTGTTGATTGTGAGGATTTTGTTTACATATAAAAGTGTTTTAAATTTTGTTAATCCATTGGATTAACTTGATCATTTGATGATGAAGGTGATGGTGGATAACAAAACTTTTCAATTATTTGATAACAAAGTACTAATCTATTGTGATCATCTGGATGTACCAATGGGAATATCCTCTTCTCGAAATAATCTTCAAGGGAATCCTTGTAATCGGTTAGAATTGTGATGAAATTATCATTTTTGAAAATTCGATCTGCAATCATTTCCACATCATTAGTTGAATCGGTTAACAGGAATTCAAGGTGAGTTAGATAAAGATTAATCAATGGAAGTGAATATTGTTTTCCAAGGGTTATTACGATATTGAATATTTTATCATCTGTTGTCATCGCTAATCCAAGTAAAGTGTCTGAACGATAATCAATCTCAGATGCAAATCTATCGACATCAACACTTGGATCGATTGAGGAAATTGTCTCACTTTGAATGATATTACAATAAGATTCAAAATATGAATCAATCAATTGTTTCTCACTGGTACCAAGATAATTGTTACGTTTACAAATTTCATCTGATTTACTGATAATTGCGCTCATTGGTTTACTTGCTGGATTATCGGGTAAATCATCATCAGGATAGTTAATGGAGACATTTTTTAAATACAAGATTAGAGAGTAAAAATATAATCCAATGTAAATTATTGCCGGAGGCTGTGGGCTAATTGTTTTGAATGGAAGCTCATCATTTTTACCACCAAGAGGTATTATTGTTGATAGACTTAGAAGTGTATCCAATGGTAAAAGGGTTTCACTTAATTGTTTGGATAAATTTTCAACTGATAACCAATTGATTTGCGATTTTAACATTTCACTTCTTAATTGTATCTGTTGATTAGATAGTTTTAGATTAAATTGATTCGTGTAATTGCTGCCAAATCCTAGGTAATTGTAGTCGTAATTGTTTACATTAAATTGGAAATGAGCACTTTTACCAAATGCATCTTGATAAAATGGACTAATATTTATTGAATTGTAACAATTTGATGATGATGATGGTGATTGTTTTTTAATTGTTACTGTATCACTTTCATAAGGATCTAATTGATCATCTTTTTGATCAGCAGCCAGACGAGTCATTGATTTGATCAATTTACTTGTTATCTCAACTGTTGGTAATGATGAAAGTAAAGATGATGATGTTGATGTGAGAGAGGAAAATGTTGATTCTTGTTGATCTGAAGTTGATTGTAGACAATTTAATGATTCCTCCATAAGAAGTAATTTCAATTTTCGTATTGAAGATATAATTTGAATAATTAGATAATCATCACAGTGAATAACCACAAATGAGAGCAATTTAAGACGATAACTGTAATTTTTAAACGATGAACAATTTCCCAATAGTTCACACAATCTCCAGCCCGAGGTATAACCTTTGTCCATAATTAATTTACAAAGTGACCAGCAATGATTGTAATCATCTCGTTCATAGGCAACATTACCCAAAATTGACAACAATTTAACTTGATTGGTTTCATCGGAAAGTTTTGTTTCCTCTTCCGTTGAAGTGAAAATGTTCAAAATTTTTGATAATCGTAATAGTTGAGCAGTTTTCTTGTAAGCCTTTGGTTGACTTGAGATAATCTGATGGATTAACTCAATTTTAGAATCTTCCATTAATCTAATCTGAATTGGTAAAATTTTCAGATCAAAATCATTCGCCAGGATGGATAAAGCTTCAATAAAATCCTTTTCTCTGGCAATTCCTGGATTAGTGGAAACATTTTCCTCTCCAAGTAGATTGAGACACTTTTTCGCTGTTTCAATAATCTCATCGTTAACCGAAGCCGCTGAATTAACGTAATGTTGAGCGGCTTCCAATATTGTTTCAACTGATTTCTCGAAAGACATCAACTTTTTCTTGCTAGAATTTGGTTCGAGTTGCATAAAATTAGAGGCCAATTTAAATTGTTCCAATCGACCCGATGTTAGGATTCCTTTTATAAAAACTTCATAAACGTCTTGTTGTGGTAAGAATTGAGAAAAACAAGCGACTCTCATTCCTTCAAGGTCTTTAAGAAGTTGTAACCAATCTGAATCCTTTAGAATCGCTGAATCAACTTTACGACAAAACTCTCGAGTGATCTTATTAAAGATACTCTTAACACCTTGTTTATCCTTGGATTCAACCATCTCATCTAATCTTGATACGGTAATAAAGTGATTATATTGTTCCAATATCTCGGCTACTTCCAATCTTTTGTATAATCGATTAACTTGATTGTTTCGTTCTCGATCCATTTGGAAAAATGAACTCTCATCTTCGGGAAAAGTTTCAACGATATTAAGAGCAGCATCTAGTTGATCGGTTCGTTCATTTGCATAGATACATTTTATCCCATAATCAATTAAATCTTCATCTGATTGGATTATCTCTTGACTTGAAACGGATCCCAATTCTTTGGCCATTTTGTAATCGATGAAAATTTTCTGTACAATGGTTAGTTTATGTTTCGCTGAATTACATATAAAATCCCAGAGTAATTCTTTCTCTTCTTTGCGATTTTTAGATATTTTATGTAAATAGGGAAGAAGAAATCGATTAAGACAATTTAAGAATCTATTCTCATCACCGGTTGCTCCCAACATCAATAGATTAACTCGTTCTTCTTTCGATAATCTTTCAAATTCACTGAAACCAATATCATCAAGATTGTACATGGGAAAACATTGATAGACAAGAGTCGCATAAGTATCAAGATCATCTTTAAATGAACTTAATTCAGGTATATTCCGATCAATTCCAAGCTCCAATAATTCAATTGCATTAGATACAAGTGATGATCGATTTTCAATCTCACGAGCACGAACAAGAAACCATGAGGAAACTACAGTTGAGTTCAAAGTTGACCTTCGAAAATCGGTAAAAAATGAATTTCGAGAGTAAAAATCTTCAATAAATGAATTGGCTTCTTCTTCCAGTGATAATTTATCACATAGTTGATAACACCAATCAATATCATCGTAAACATCAGACTGACGTTTATGAGAATTCTTGAAACTTGGATAGATAACATCGCCATTTTCAGTATCAACACTTGGAAGTAAATCTTGGTACAATGAAGGTTTCAATGTTTCAGGAAAATTGGACAAAATGGATAACCAGTGTTCCTTGGTATCGGGTCCATGTCGTGAGAGTATAACTTTAATTGATCTCCATTCACTTTTATGGGCAAGATCAATTAGTATCTCGAAACAAGAAGCCGATCTAAAGTGTAACCAATAGTCTTGATTAATACAACCAGTATCCCGATTATTTGATGATAACATTTTCTCATATGATTTAAGACGAACAAGATATTTAACAAACAAATATCTTGCAGTGAGTAAAGTTTTAAGTCTATCATCAATTGTTGAGAAATTAATCTTATCCAAATCTTGCCATTCTAATCCATTGACAATTGATGATTCTTGAGATGAATAAGTTGAACTTTCTTTGGTTATCTCATCGTAATCTTCATCTTCATCTCCATCATCACCATTGAGGTTAACAGTTTGATCATCTTTAGTATTTGTAAAAGATTTACTCTTGGAAGAATCTGTAATTTCATCACAATCAATTGATTCTTTTGGCTCTTGATAAGATTCCAATAGTTCCTCAGTTAAAGATTGACCAAATTGTAACAATTCTCGGTTAGCCTCAAAATCGGTTGGAGTACAATTTAAACACTGATCAATCACCCAATCGGTATTTTTAATCGGTGTTAACAATAGTCTAATTGTATCCGTTGTGATCCTTGATTTGGACCATTTCTTTTTGTAAACAGGATCAGTGTTGAGTTGATATTTTCTAGCCGTTTTCAAGGCTTCTTCATACTCTTCATTTTCCAATAATTCATCAAACTTTTCCTGTGGTGTTGTTGATCTAATTGAATCTGCTACCAATGAATTATCAGTAAGAGCCGCAGTTGGTTTAATTTTACGTATCCATAGAATAATAAACGTTACCAATGTGGAAAACCAAATGTTAACATAATTGATTCCTCGGTTAATCAAAGTCATTTCAGTTTCTTGACCAACAGATTTAAGAGTCACAAACAAACAGAGTAAACATCTAAACACAAAGCCACATTAAGGATCATCTATAAAAGATTATGAAACAGTAGAAATTGATGATTAGTTAGAACAAAAAATAAAAGAGAAATTAAGAAAATTAAATGACAACAATCACAAGAACTCAAACATCTGACTGGAGCTTATGAAGAACACGTACCAATGGTAACCATGGAAACCGAAGAGAGTAAACAAATATGATTGGCGAAAAATTCAATTCACTTGGTTTATTTTTCTTAATTGTTCCAATTAGTGGAATTGATAATTTCTAACCTGTTGAATAATAGGATAGAAAATCGATACTTGATTAAGAAAATTGGAACTCGTTGTTGTTGTTGTTGGTTTTGTTGTTCATCTTCACCACCATCGAGATTATCATCATCTGAATGGAGACACAATTTACTAATTTACTAATTGTCATTTGGAAAATTAATTGACTTTCAAGTGAATATTTTGTTCGTATAGTTTGAGAGTGAAAATTGTAGTTGATTGGTTTGAGTTGATTGTTGATTCATTTTCGATTGATTGTTGGGTTTAATTTTCTCTTTTCGAAAAAAACTCGTTTCTTTCTCTAACATGAGTTGGTATATGTAGAGAGTTAATTGTTGGTTGAAATTAAGATCATACTTCAAAGGATCATTTCTATAGTATGATTGGGACGATTCGTTGACAAAACGAAGTCCAACTCAGCCACAATGAGGATTCATGGAGCTTTTCCCTGAGCGGGAAACCGAAGGTCCAACATTGACCCTGGTCAATTGTTGACTCTCATTGATGACCGTTTCTGTCTGGGGTAACATCCAGTCAGGAGGGGATCAGCTCTATCTGAGTGGTAAACAAATAACAAAAAACCTAAATAATTATTAAAAAACAGACTTGATTATCTATTGAAAATAGATTAGCCCTCAAGGTTTAATCTTATTGGACAAAGTTTCTTCTCAAAGATAACCAAAGCTCTTAGGTAACTCTTCACCTTTGCTAACCTAAGATTTGCTTTGCTAAACCAAATCTTAGTTACTCTTAATTCAATTTCTTTTTCATTGTTTCTTCCAGTAGGGTTAGTACACTAATTCCCATTCTAACACTTAATCTATTATTTAATTCATATTTTCTCTTCAGAATTAATCAACATAACCCTTAGTGTTTCAGGGAAAATGATTAATGTTCTAACTAAGAGAAAGAGAGAGAAAATCTAATATATTGATGAGAAGAGAAAAAGTTTTTCTCTTCTTCATCTATTGGGTTAACACTTTTGTATATGATTCTTCATTAATGTGATAAACAGAATGAAGATGATACATTTACCTAAATGATATAAGAGAGAGAGAGAGAGAGAGAGAGATGATGATGATAATGATGATGATGAGAGAGAGTGAAAAAATAAATGATCTATTGGCGATGATCATCAATGAATTCTGGTTAACCATTGGAAACGTTAACTTAGTTTTCCGCCAGAATATGATCAACATTTTCTTTATCCAATTAATACCTCATCGATTTCACCATTATCATCATCGTTCCTCATGACTTAATATTTACCCTGAATTGGAACAGATGATAAAGAATAAGAAAAGAACTTTCTTCTTTTTCTTCTTCTTCTTTTTGTCTCTTCTATTCTCTTCTCCCTGGAAACCTCAAATTCTGAACAGAAACAGTAACTTCACACATCTAATGTTTTTCTTTGATTATGATGATACTTAATACGATTCCATGTTGACATAATCATCATCATCATTATCATCATGTTTGTGTATCTCTATTAAAAGATACTCAGTAGAAAATGAATCAAGTTTTTTTTTTCTTCTTGTGGTCAAGATATTGACCCTTTTCCTCCTTGACATTGGACATTTTCCTTCATGTGATAATCATGATAACGAGAAACAGTTTAGTTGACCGAAAGTAATTCCCATGATGAAGATAATGATGATTGTTGTTATTTTATCAATGAGAAAGTGAAATCAGATAAACAAATAAGATTGAGAATAAGTTATTTGTAATCTAATTGTATTAACAATCAGATTGATGCAATAACAACAATTACTTTCTGATTGAATAATCATTGATTGTTATTCAAATTTATTTACGGTTTACCTTTAATATTATCATTTGATTTACAACATTTTGAATAAGGTTATGACTTTGGTGACTTGTTTACTTTTCAATATCAACCATTAGCATTTTATCATCATCATCATCATCGTCATACTCATCTGAAGATGATCATGAGAATCATGATAATATGAGATCTGGAACCGATTGGTTTTGATAAATGGATAATGTTGGTTATCCTTTTAAATACGATGATGATAATGATCATCTTTCCATGAAATCATGAAGCATAAACAATCATTGGATGATGATAAAGAAAAAGTTATCATCATAATAAACTCATCATCATGTTGAAAATTCATTCGGAATTTTTTCCTCCTCTCTTTTTTCCGATAACTCAGAGTTTCCCCTGGAAAAACTGATTCAGTCAAATCATTGGACAGAATAAGTCATTGAATTTAATGAGTAAAGGTAAAGAAAGGTAATCATGATGATTAGGATGTAAATGATGATGGTAATGATGATAATCATCATCTTCTTCATGATATCCTTTTCATGGGGACAATAGGAGGTCTGAAATTTTATTCTGAAACTTTGAAAGTTCATTTGATAATATTAAAAGTCTCGGTGAAAATTGTTACTTCATCTCCTGGGGTTAATCATTTGGAATCAAATTAACTTTGACACTTTGGTTTAAATGGTCAATCATCAAAAGTGACCAGTGGTTATTGTTGTAGGCTTTTATTGTTGGTATTAATTATAATTGTACATTTTGATTTGAACAATCAGCTGATTACGAGCTAAGATTTTTTTTTGTGTTTTTGAGCTGATAGATGATTCTGATGGTGATCATGATAAAGATGCTAATACAAGGCTTAATGATGATGATAATCATTTTTAATTGACAGGCAAAAAAATTTCACAATTAACACTTGATTTAAATTCAAAAATTTACTGATTAACATTTAAAATTAAGGTTCAATCCTTTGGCTGTTAATTGATGATGTTTTTTTTTATTGTTGATAGTTAATGAAAACAATTTTTTCTTTGTGCCATTAGTTGATACTCATGTTGATTAAGTAACAATTTACTTAATTACTGTCGCTTATTAAAGTTGTTTAATCTTAATAATCATTAAAATCCATGTTAATTGGCAGATGAAAACTGAGGAATACAAAATATTATTATAATCAATTGATCCAATTGCACATGAAGGTATTGATTCAACTTTGGCTGTGGAAGAAAAAAATAGAAACAATTAAGAAGCAATTAGTAACAATTAGACAAGCAATTAGACTTTAATCATATGGAAATCGTAACAATTAGTAAATCAGTTGAGAATCAAAATTTTGGCCAAAAAAAAACCTCTCACATTAAGAAACTACATTAGTTTGAATGGAAAAGAAAATTTTTTTTCAACAGAAAAAAAAAACTTTTAAATTGAGAAAATACTTGAACTTTCATGATAATCTGAATACTAATGCTCATAATCATGATCATCATCATGGAAATGACAATATTACCTATGCTCTGAATTGATAATTCTGTAAAAAAATTTATCCGGTTGACTGAATTAATCTTGTGATTATTATCATGTAAGTGGTTTTGTATATAAATGTAACAATATAAATGGTTAACACGAAATGAGTGAAATCATTATCATCATCATTGATATTGTCTTTATCTTCATAATCATTATGATAATCATGGTAATTTCATGATAATCATAATGATCATGTAATAGACCATGTAATTTAACCATAACAATCACAATAATATCCATGATACTATTTATCATGAAACTCTGAAAACGTTTCAAGATTTTTAATCAAAAAGAAACGGGAAAAACAATAAGTCCCAATCAATTGATTATCTGATTGTTTTATTACAACATGATAACAAATTGATTGACAGCAATTAGAGTCATTGATCAGCTGTTGATCATTGACATTTAGTTTCCAGTCAGTTAATTAGTAATTAATCACTTATACTCAACTCTAATTGTTATTTTTCAATCGATAAATTAACCAAAAATTGAAACTAATTAGTTAATTAATGTGTATACATTGGATAATATTACAAATGTAATAATAATTTTTTGGGTTTGATTTTTTTTTTGGTTAACAATTAAAATTGATTATTATGGTTTACCTTTATCACCTTTGACCACTGGTGCTGGTCAATTATAATGATTACTATTATTATCAACATTATATTCATGACAAGAAAAATGTGACTGACCATTTTAATCACAATTAACTTTAATTGTTACCGATTATTATGGTTCTCTGATTTTTACCTGAAACTTTATCTAAAAATAGATTGATAATAATTATGATTTTGTTTCAATCTAATGGTTACAATTGTAATTAATCAGTCAACCAGTTAATCATTAAACCTTGTATACATTATATCACATCTAATATGATTTACAATTAAACTTACAACAATTAAAGGTTAGTAAACTTATTTCAAAAGGAATTGTATTGATTTTTGTATTGAAATTGTCAATAAATGTTAACTCGAGCTAATTAGTTAACCATTTACAATCAAATCAACAAGTATCTTAATCATTGTTTGTTATTGTATCGAGTTGAATGTTACTTTGGATTTAGTTTCTTCCGGTTTCCAGGAAGTGTTGATTATTATGGTGAAAAAAATATCAATACAAAGAAAAAGGATGAAGATGAAAAAAGAGGAACAGGAAAGGATGATATTAGAATGATATTTCATCGTTGAAAACATGAAGATAATAATATATTATCATCTTGAGAAGATAAATCATCAATATAAGAATTTTTCTTCTCCATGGTTCTTTCATATATTTGCAATAATAATATATCGTAACATGATTATATTCTGGATGAAAAGTTCTGATGATGATGAACAGATTATCTCACAAGGTTGATATTAGCATCAAACCTTCAACAAGATGCGGAAATAAAGTAACAAATAATGTTACTTATTGTCCTCTAGTCTTTTTATTTATTATCAATATTTGTCTTCCTCATCTTCATCTTCATCTTCATCTTCCTCTTTAGTTTATATATATAATTAACACTGACATTTGATGATAATAAACTAATCATCTTCATCATCTTAAATCATCTTGTTTATTTGTGTTATATAATATAATAAATCTTGTTAATCACACCGATTAACAAGTTACCTTTTAACTTGATTTTCATTTTTCGCCAAATGATTTAAGATTAATGGTCTAATTGTAGTGATGATTAACTGTTATTATCATTATTATTGTTGTTTAATTTACTATCATCTTAATTATGATTGTCATTTTATTGTAGATTTACAAATTGTTTCTCAATTGTTGGATTTACTTTTCGTTAATAACGGTTAATCGTAATCATCATTTTGATTTGATTACTTACGTATTCTTGTGCCCATTATTGGAGATAAATGCTTCTTGCCTCCGGCAGTGACCGTCCAAGTGGACATGATATGATAGCCCGAGGAAAGGGCAGCGGTACACTTGAGGTTCATAAGCCCACCCTGTAAGTGTAACTCTGTCACCTTGAATCTTAATCCTTTAACTGAGCTTTCAAGGCGATCAGGATAACTAATTGTTGGATAATCATATTCATATTCAACTGGAGCCTGGATCAGGAAAATAAGAAATGTAATTGAAATTTATGATTACAAATCAATCGTCTTGTTGGTCAGTTGAATGGTCACTTACCGGATTATCATTGATGTACCACTTGAGGACTGGGGCAGGTTTAGATTTGGCTGATGTACAATTAACGTAAACAATATCATCTAAATTGAAACGGGTTTTAATCTTTGAAATGGATGGACCTTCTTGAGGTAATACTGGATGGACATTATCATGTGGTGGTCATCATCATTATCGTCATTTGGGAGCATCAAGAACAGGAAGTTAAAGAGTAGAAAGTGAAACCAAAAGGAGAAATAGGTAAATGAAAGTTAGTTTATTTTGTTGATAGAGAAGAAGAAAATTTTTTCATCATTGTCTTTGATTCCATTGACCATCTTATTGTTTGTTACAGAAAATTTATCAACATTATCATCATCATTATCACTTCACCACAATGATGATGATAATGAACATTATCATTACTCTTTGTTTCTTGACCATTAAATGGCCTTCAAAATGATCTTATCCATGTACACTATTGACTCCTCTTCTCAGGAAATTCAATGTTTTTCCGTCAGAACGTCGTCTCTGAGGATTTCATCTTCATCTTTTTAGAATTTCACTTTTCATCATCATCATTTTTATCTTCTCTATTTACCTGGGATTTTGTTTATTGAAAAGAAAAGGTATCAGAATAACAGTGATTTGATTTCGCCGAGAGAGAGAGAGAGAAAACTAGAGTGGAAAAAAGTTCCAAGAGAAATCGAAATAACATGAAAAAGATGAAGAAAAAAGAACTTAACATGAGAGAGAGAGAGAGAGAGAGAGAGAGCAGGTAAAGGTGGAGATGAGATGGAATAGAGAAAAAACAAAGTTCTGAGATTAAGATTCGTAAATCCTCATGAGAGTCTTAAAGATTTCAACTGATGTATTTCAATTGTCATCATTGAGATTAATGATTTCTTATTCTGAATTCATCTTAATCAATTGATAAAATCAATTTAACATGATTATTTCATTTAATTACTTCAATAATCAAGATTGTAATTAATCAAATTGTTCATCTATTATCATGAATAACGATGAATATTATGTTAGTTGTTTGTCCACAAGTAAACATGATAACATCGTGTTCCAGGATCTTCATCATTGTTTAACAGATTGTAACATTTGAAGATGGAAATTGATTTCTCTGTGTAAATTTATACAGGGAGAGAGGGAAGAAAGTTGATTTCCAAAAGTGGGTGGGTTTCAGGGAGAGTGGGTGATTTATGAGATTGTCATGAGATTTGAAAGATTTTTGGAAAAGAAAAAACAAAAATTTCAACTCCCATCGAAAATACATAAAAGATGAATGAGAGAGAGAGAGAGAGAGTAAAAATCGGAGCGGTTTTTTTCACCTTCCAGAGAGAGAGAGAGAGAGAGAGAGAGAGTAAACATCTATGATGAAGACGATCATTGAATCATCATGAACATGATATTTTTGTATTCACCATGTTAACCATGATAAGATTATGATGAAAATATGTTTACTTTACATGTAAAAATTTGGTTGACAAATAAGTTTTTCTCTCTGAACTTTTCCTGTTCCCTCCATGCAACCTTTTCGCTGACCATGCAAAACTTACCCACTGCCACCATCATGGTGAAGGGGCTAAAGTTCAAGAACATGATAATCATCATTATGATCCATGGTCAGGTAACCATGATGATGATTGTTCCAAATTCAAGGTTCATTTCGTATTAAATAAAACAAAACCATGAAAGTCATCATGTAAATACATGATCATGATGAGAGACCAAACCTTTCAAATAAATTGATATTTACTTTTTGAAGGTTGATCTATTTCAATGAACAATCAAGTTAATCAACAATCAAACTTTTATACCTAAATAATTGCATTCTAAAAAGTTATAGCATTTAAGTTTTCACCTAAAATCAAATTAATCTGAGATTTAAATTCAAGAATCGGAATCAGAACTTAATCTAACTTAATTGTCTCGTTTTTCATTGTTATCATTGAATCACAGGTAATCGGAGATAAGGTGGGATTTCACTTATGATTATTATGAACCATTCGGTGTAAATTATTTAGCATGTTGGATGTATTCAGATAAAAAAGAGAAACTCTGAATATCTGTCAGAACTTTTTCTCCATCTCTCTCTTTCATTCTTCTCCTTCTATGGATTATGTTCACCTTGTTTATCTGAATCTCTCAGGAAAGTTAAATATTAATATGGAGAAAGATTTACAAAGAGAAAAGGTGAAGAAGAAAAAAATGGATTCAAACATTTGAGAGAGAGAGAGAGAGAGAGACCATGAAATATTCACCATAGATTCAGGAAGGAAATTCTGATGATAATTGATATCATGAAGCTTCATCATCATGTAATCAGAACTCGATGTTAACTGGAAGTTGAATATCACCACAACTGATATGATGTAATAAGAGAGAGAGAGAAAAAGTTGATCCTGAAAAAAGTTCTGAGACTTTCAGGGTGTATCATGTATTTGAAGGTTAAGAGAAGTGTCATCAATGTTAGATCAACATTTTCAATGAGATGGAAAATCAGAGAATCAGAATATATTATAATTTAAGTTGGGTGATTTTCTCGAGCTTTTCAATTTGGAATAGAAGGCGAAAAAAAATTCGAAAAAAAAGTTGATTGTTCTTCTTTTGAGAAAAAAAAGGTGGAAATTCATTGTTTCTCTCTTTAACTTAATGGTAACTGAACTTTTTACGATTCCACGAGATTATCAGATGATAAACGATTATTTATGTTGCCTCATGATAACAATTAACTATTCTTTTCATGGCTACTAAAAGCTATTCACTGACCATTATAAGATCGTAAATCTTAATGATAAATAATTAAGATGTTTATCTGAATTGTTGGTAAAAGTTAAAGGAAATAAATTTCATCTAAAATGAGGAGTCAGAAATTCATGAGAAAAACATGAAAAACAATGACCATTGATTAGAAGATGATGATAACAACATGTTGGAAATTAGCGAAAGTTTTGATGATCAACTCAATTCAGAATATTATGTTATAAGTGCTGGAAAGAAAAACCCATGAACTGTTATCAGAACTTTTCAGAAAACTCGAAGAGAAAAAAATTCGACTCCATCCATGATAATTTCTAATATTATTCAGGAGAAATTTGTTCTTGAATGAAAAATGTTTCAATTCGTAATTTTTTTTCTTCATGATTTAAACTTTTCATACGCTGTTACTTCAACCATATGATATTTATCATCATCATCATTGATGATAAATATGATTTCTTTAAATAAACATGATGACCAGTACAAAAAAAAGTGTCACATTTGAACCCCACCCAGTGAACTTATCTGAAAATTCATGGAAAGTGACATAGAGTAAAAAAAGTTACATCATGAGTTTTGAATTCATTCATATTATTACCTGAATGATTCAGGCTTGAGTTATTCTGTCAACTTTATATTACCTGAAAGTTTCAAGATAAAAACTCACGAAACTGACCAACAAAACATGGACACTGTTTTTTTTGTCGGTCTGATTATTTATTTTCAAAATATCATCAAAATTATCTCATATTCAATTCAATTAAATTCAACCTGAAAATCATCATGCCGACAGATTTACACTTGATTCTCATTATTATTAGCATTTGAACATTCAGTTCAATTCAGTTTCCATGATATTAACTGAAAGGGTAAAGATTCAGTGTCAACATTAGCTCATCTCATTATCTTTTATCATCATCATGAGGATGATGACAAAATTAATTAACACCAAGTATCACCTCCCATGGGGTAACGCCTATTTCAAATCATTCTGGTCATCTGGAGATTCATATTTTTCTGATGAGTTCATTTTGATGATAATCAGGGAGACAATTAGTTGGAAATGGTTGATTATGATAATGATGAAATTTCAAATTCGAATTGAAGAAAAATTCTTACCGATAACTTCCATGTCTTTCTCCAGCTCTGCAGTCTTAAATTCTGGAGCTTCGGTGGACACTTCACATTTATATGTTCCCTGAGATTCAAGTTCAACTTTCTTCAGGTAAACACCTTTGGCTGTTGATCGTTGAGAGAGAGAGAGAGAGAGAGAAGAGTTCAATTAGATTTTGATACTGAAATTTTGTTCGAAGTTCATTGTTTACATTGTGTGGATCTTCAACTCTCAGTTTATTCAATTAATTTTCTGTTTGATTTTAGAATCGCCACTGGTTATCATCATCATGATTCGATGAAAATTAATCATGTAATTGATTGAGTTCTAGATTGTTTTCTTATTTTTTCATTGAAAGCGATTCGAAATTGTGTCAAGAATGTGAGATTGTGTCAATGGAAAGATAATAATGTCCAGGGAAGAGAAAAAAAAGTTCTAAAAAAAAGGAATTGACATTTATCTCTTCTTATCTTAAGTTCATTTTTCATCCATTTTTTCATCTTCCGTTTTCATCATCCCCCTGTTGCTATCATCATCATCATCATCATCAGTCTGTTGATTCCCTTGTTGACCGCAAATTGTGGTGACCAATTCATTTATTTCATTTACTTTCCTCTCTCCCTTTACTTTCACTCCCACTTTCAGTTTCCATCTCTCATGAGTCTCACTCTCTCTATTTTTCTCTCTCACCTTAAAAGTTGATCCTATTTGGATGATGATGGTCATTCTCATGATGACCAACATACTTTTCAAGATGAAAATGTTATACAATAAAATACAATGAAATAATAACAACCTTTTTTCCAATCCTATTATTATGAGTGACGAGATTTAGTAACTCACCCAACCATGAAATTAATCACAACTCACTTTCCCACCTTCCACTTTCCTCTCCATCCTCTCAGTTCACTCCCAATTGCACCTTCACTTTACCAACACTAAAAAGATGTACCAAAAATGATGAAGATGAAGATGAATAAGTTTTTCATCATCAGAAAATCAACTGATTGGTCCATCAATTTACCTCTCAAAAGTCACTTTTCTCAGCTCACCTCATGCGAATCATCATGTACCCACCTCAGTTCAATCTCCACCATTATCATCGTCTTTCAATTTATCATCATGATTGTGAATAAACAATCAAAAGTATTCATCATATTAAGTTTCTTGAATAATCATAAACACTGAACTTTTATTGTTACTTTGAGGTGAGAGTGTGAAAAGTTTTCCACCGCCGAGAAAAAAACCATTAATTTTTTTGGCTCATTTGATAATAACGATGAAAACTTATCAACCTTTTTTTGACCAGTGGTCAGTTAACAGTCAGCTCGAGGTCAAATAACAACAACAATATAATACTTATTGAAAGAAACACTTGATATAATAGTTAATATCTAATAATAAGCTTAGTAGTTGGACAGTGGTCAGTTTGGGTGTGGTAGTACATGAGATGACTTGAGAATATCAATTTTATCATCACAGTTTCCACATTATTAGAGTGACTCTTTTTATTATTATTTTTTTTCATCTTCATCTTAATCTGTCAGTTTATTGATTCAGTTTCATCAACCGATTCATCATCAAATCTCATGTTGTACCTTTACTATGACCACTGTTTACTATTAGATGAGTATATTAGTCATAATACTTACATCAACTTTGATCCCATCAATGGGTAATGTTTGACCTGGAGGCCAATCGTTAGGGACAAAACGGTAAAATTCAACTCCATCTTTGTACCATTTGACCGAGTACAATTTATCATTGTCCAGTTCATAGCTACAGGTAAGCTCAACAGCCTCACCCAAGATGGTGGGTGAAGGAATATCTAACATTGTAATCCGGATACTTGAGCATAAATTAACTTCTAGTAATAATAGTATAAAATCTGTAAGCAAAATAAATAAAGGATTAGTGTTAAAATCGGATTAAAGGAATATCTGAACAAAAAGCAAATTAATAACCAGATTAATCTGATTGAAGACTTAATTGGTTTGCATTTATATTGAGTAAAGATGAGTAAGTAGTGAGTCTTTTGTGTATTTTTAATTGAGATGTCATCATAATCATCTTCATCCTCATCCACTATCATGATTATGATGATAATCTTCACCATGATGAGTTAACCTTATCATGGATAAAGTCAACTCCCTGTTATCAATTCATTCAGTGTAACTATTATCATCTAACTAAACCTCTCTCTCTCTCTCTCTCTCTCTCAGTGGTTTCCACTCTCATCATAATGCATACTCACTGAATCATCATGATTGATTGTTCCCAAGTCATGATGCTAACAACTTAAGCTCCTTGGAAAAAAATCGACAAAAGTTTCAAGCTCAGAATTGAAACTTGGTGGAAAAAAAGAAAATTCTGAAAATTTCCTCTCACAATCTAACTCATTTTCTCTCTCCACTGAAGATCCCCATTGAAATCATTGATTATCACCATGATAATTATGATTATATAATAATAACAGGACAGGAAAAAAAACAAAGCCCATGGTAACTCAGGGTAACTCATTGACTCATTTGATAATTAGGCTCAAGTCTATGGTGACATGTTTAAGTGATTCTCCTCATGCATGTGAAATCAGCCTCTAACTTTACTACTGTCCCACTCCCACCCTACATGCAGGGTGGGAAAGATAATACTCATTTTAATCATCATCATAATCTAATCTCAATTACAATTTAATTACATGACACATACACACACATACAAAGACTGAGGTAAACCCAAAGTTGATAACGAAAAGTTTATGTTAATCATAATCATCTTCATGATTATAATCAGTTAAAGTTCATCCATTGATACATTATATCAGTTGAAAAATTGACTCAACATGATACATGAAACAATTAACTTGATTTTTTTTTATTCAGTGTAAGTATCAGATGATTGGGATAACTTTTAATTTGAAAACTTTGATTGTTTTCGTAGTAACTTGGTCATAATTTATATGATATATTTACCATGCTGAGAGCTTTCAATTATTTATATTGTCATTTAGTTAATTGTTATCAGTGGGAGATGATTATTTCGTCATGGAAATCAATTGATGGCATGAGACTTTGATTGTCTTTTTGTGAGTTTCAATTAATGTTTCAATGTTAATATATTGTTATACTCATGATATGATTAGCTTATTTTGTAATCTCATCATGTGTTTGTTGCTAAGTTTTTCATGATGATGATTTCATTGATTCAATATCAGGGAAAATAGCCTGAGGTGTAAATTTTGTTGCTTGTAAATGAAATAAAAGGTGGGATTTTCAAGGTTTCCCTCTTGGTGGAAACTTTTTTTACCAGGTTAACATATCGTCTCAATTGTTATTGATACTATTATCATGATGTTATCCCATGAAAAAAATTCATCAAACTTTTTTTCCTCAACTTTTATCATCATCATCATCCTGAATTTCATTCTTAAAGACTCAGGAAGTGAATCAGAGAGAGAGAGAGAGAGAGAGAGATGATTAAGTTTCACCATGCACTTTAATCAATGTGTTCATGATGATGATGGTGAGTAAATGATTTTGTCATGTTATTGATGAAAATATATATTTGTCAATCAATAGTAACATGATATCATCATGATATCACACTGATGATGATGATGATTGCTGAGGAAGATGATAAATCCTATGGTATTAAACAATGAAGATACAAAAGTGACTCTGTTGACCAATTGGAAAGCTAATTGAAATCAGATTTAAACAGAACAATGAAGATTTATCATGAGATTTCATGGAAATTCAGTTCAAACGGAAATGAAAAAAATTTACCACTAAACTTGAACTAAATTGATTCTAATCTTTATCTATTTTGATGATAATTCAATCAAATACTTGAGATCCGACAGGGGAGGTTAAGGTAAAGTTCATCATACGGAATACTTGTATTCTGGTGTAAATTCAAGTTTTAGGTCAGTTCTGTGAGAGGCTCTTGGAATCAGAAATTAGTGTAAAAGTTACTCTATCCTTCAGTTTATCATGGAAAAAAAATCAAGAGAAAGTTTCAGGTTCCAGGAATCAGTGTTTTCTTTTTCTGTCACTGATTACCCAGGGGAGTCTCATGGTGAGTGAGTGGAAGAGGTGAACAAACAAACAGGGAGAGAGAGAGAGAGACAAGTACCAATAGTAAATAAACAACAACAGAAAAAAAGTTGAGAATCTTGAGATTTTTAGGAAATAAGAATTGATTGAATTGATTGTTTCACAGGAAATGAGCGATTTAAGGTGAGGTGAATGCTGGGTCAGTATCTATATAAGAGAAAATCTCTGTAAATTAAATTCAACCAGGAGAAGATGATGGAAGAGAGAAAAAGAACAAAAAATTCTGTGAAATTTTCTTCAAGTCATCATCATCAAAGATTCTTACAGAACTGTTTCCTTTTCATGATCAGCATCATGAAAATCAGACTCGATTCTTGAGATGAAGAAAACGAATAATATAAAAAGAGAAGTAGAATATTTTTTTTTTCTTTATTCCATATTTGATATTGAGCTCAAATTCTGAATACAAGGAACAGCTACTAAATCCTGAGCTCTCATGATGGTGTGAAAGCTTAAAAAGTTCAACCAGTGTGTTCAAAGTGATAAATCAACATTTCTTGCACCAAGAGGATTAAGATTAATCTTTGGCAACAATTTAGATTTTTGTTTTCGTATTGTTGTTAAATCATAATCATTAAATCACAATTTGTAACAATAAGCAGCATCTAAGTAAATCGAGTTACTTATTATCAAGAAGGAAAAACTTTTTTTCTCTGATCTAATCAAAAGTTTTCCCTTTAATATGATCACGAAATCCAGCAAAGTTTTGATCCATTTTATATTATCATCTTTACATCACAATTTAAAATTGATTATCAACAATTTACCTCACTTGTTGGTACAAAGATGATGAAAAAACCTCACAACAATTAAACTTAATCATCAGACCAACAACAACAACAACAACAACAACAACATTGAGGATTAAGCGCAAAAACTGATCATAAGGAAAACTTTTCAATCACAATTTAAGTCTCGAGATAATTTAAATCGTTGACAATCATTAAATCACAATCAAAGAGAGAGAGAGAGAGGGAGGGAGGCTCAAATATAACCAACAATTTAGAATTGAAATTGTCAAACTAATATCAAATTTAGAGGAAACAATTTACATAAGAAACTTTTTTCTATGTAAATTGTTTCGACTTAATATCAAAGTAAAATGAGATCACAAAGTTTACAGGTAAATGGATCAAGGTGGAAGGTGGGATTCTAAGTGGGAGTGGGATTTTTTGAGCAATAAGTAGCTTTTGAGACTTAGAATCATCAATGATTGTAATCATCATGATATCCAATATAAAACATATTCAATTGTGATTATAATGATCAGTTAATCATTACGTTAACCATATCATTATAATCAGTTTACCTTTTATAAGTATTGATATAAAACCTTTTCAATGGGTATAACAATTTACTGATGATGATTATATTCAATTTCCCAAAGTTGATTGTGATCAACTCAATTGGTTTCCAATTGTATTAATAATTTTCATAAACTTTAATCGTTGATGAAAATAATCATTTAATTGTCACTGATTTTCCAATAGTTATTATTGTATTAGTAATTAGAGTGCCCATTGAAGGGAAAGGCTTAATTGTTACCAATCAATTTCATCATTAAAAGTAACAAGTTTTCATGATTATATTGATTAGTAGGAAAAGTTTGTCTATGTAAACTTTTTCCCTCTGATAATTTAATCACAATTAATCAATAAATTGAGTTTGAATTAACTTAATTTGCCTTAAGTCTTAAATTTGTTTTCAAGTAAAAATAATGTATTTAAATTGATTTGTTTTGATTATTAAGACCTTGAAAAGTAATCATTTTAAATTTAATCAACTTGTTAAAGTTAATTTAGTTTATTATAAATAAGATTGAATAAAAAGCCTTAAGGTTTTTGGTTAATTCAGTTCTGGGTAAATTTTAATTACGACACTTTGGTAAAATTTTTAAGACACTGAACAATTAAGGAAGTAGAAAGAGACACGGCAACAATTTAAAGTTAATTAAGTAAAGAGAAAATTAAATTAAGTCTTTGTGTGTGATTAACTAAATGATTTCATTGAATCAATTTGAATGAATGTGTTAATATTAATTCATCAGTTTTGTAGTTTTATCATTTGGATTTCAATTCAATTTCATATGGTGATGATATAATGATGATGATGACAAGGTAATGATCAGGGAGTGATAAATATCACTCTCATTCCCACTTTCCCTTCAGGATAAATAATAATAATACAACACTTTTGGGAGGAACCGGAAGAGAAGCGTTTTTTTTTGGTTGTTTGTGTGTTGTGATGAAAGAGAAAAGTTAATCATATGTTTCTGACATGATGATGATGATTATCATCATTATCTTCATGTATGTATGTTTATATTCAGAAGTAATAATAATGGTATTAATCAATAGCATTCTATGAAATTTAGAACAAAGAAGAGAAAAAAAGTTCTAATCTTATTCAGAGTGAAGATTTTTGTTTGGAAATCAAATTTTGATCGATATCGTTATCGATAATATTGTTTTCCTCTTTATGAGTAGAGTAGGAAGAGGTTGAAATGGAGGTGGTGGTGGTGTGGTCAGTGTTGGTCAGTACCTGATCAGTAGATGAAAGTAATGGTCAAATGAGTTGATGAAGATGAAAAGATTAGAGTTGAAGAAAATGTGATTCTCAAGATTTTTGATAAACTTTAAATCGGATTTGTGAAGAAGGGAGAAAAAGATGAGGATGGAATAGAAAGAAAAAGTTTCAAGGAAGTGGAAGTGAGCTTTGGATAAGAAGGTGAGAAGGTAAAAAAAGAAGAAAAGAAAAAAATGGAGACTAAATTTTATCATCATCATCATTTTAATTCTTCATCTCTCTCTCGTTTCTCTGTCAGAATAGGAGTCAAGGCGATCATCTAGAAACACTGACCATTGACCATCATCAATGAAGAGGAAGGTGATATGATGATTATCATTATCAAAAGGTTCTTGGGATGCTGTCGATGAAGATGATGATCATCATCACCAACAGAATCACCATGATGATGATCACTTGAATGCTCTCTTTCTTTTCCTTCTCACTTTTCATCTCTCTCTCTCTCTCTCTCTCTCTCTCTCTCTCTCTCTCTCTCTTTTCGTTATCATCGTAACTTATTTGTACTCTTACCATGAATGAAACCATAGGTGGTAATATAAAAGAGTCTGTTCCTGTCATCCAAAGGGAAGACATGATTTATTTTCCTTTCTTTTTCTTAAATTTTTTTCTTCCCACTCCCACCTCGATCATCATCATCATCATCATCTTAAAGATTACCTTCCGATCCTAACTTATACCCTCATCCACTCCTATCGACTTCATTTCTGCTTCTAATGTATTGATATTTACACTTTAAAAACACACCAACAATCAAATGTATTGACAATGTTTCGCTTTTGATTAGGGTTATCAAAGTTGTCAATTATTATCATGACAATTTACTAAATTGTTACATCTAATCACCTTTCAAATAAATTTGTTACTTTGATTATGTTTACTTGATTGATTAGTTGATTTATTATCTTCTTAATGGTGTTAAATTATTTAGTTGTATTTGTATCATTTGTTGTTTCAAATTAGCATTAAACTGAAATTAATCATTACAATTAAGATGTTGATTGTAAGACTTGAACTGATTAAGTTATTGGTGTTTTCAATCATTTGCTGAATTGTTCAGTAAATCATCATGACTCCCGGAGGAAATTGAATTTAAATTGAGTTACAATTGAAACTTGATTATTGATCTTTGATTTAATAGTTTCATCATGATTGGAATCAACAATTGTAATCAAATGAGACAAAGTTAATTGTAAACCAATTGAAATCACCACAATTAACCATGAAAAAAGTTTATAAAGTTTTAAGAAATAAGTTAATTGTTGGTTTAATTACCTATAAGATAAAAAGCTCCTCTTGGTGAATAATAAAATGATTTAATCATGATGATTGGGACAATTAAGAAACGATGGCAACAATTGAATCAAATTATCCATTTGGTTAACAAGTAATTAACACAATACAATTAACCACATAGTGTTTAAAGATTAGATTAATCAACATAATAGTTAACTACAATTGAGTCTAATCCTTGATTATCACTGAACATGTTTTACAATTAGGCAACAATTTAGTAAAACAAATGAAACTTTTTGTTGACGTTTGAACAATTTACACTTTTGAGATGAGAAAAAAAAAGTTGATCAATTTTTTTGTAATTTTCTGAAACTGGAAAAGTTAAACCACCAAATTGATTTCAGTAAACAGTCAGATAGGAAGCTGAGTTCATGGAGAGAGGGTGAAATTGACACCGAGGTTGAAGTTAACCAAAATACAATGATAATGACACTTAAAGTGTAAACATATAAACACCATAGACACAAATGGGTTTTTTTTCCTGGGACAATGTAAGTTAATAGGTTGTGAGGTTTACCTTTGGAGGAGTTTAAATAACATGAAATAGTTTTTGGGATGATGATGATGATGATATCAAGATGATAATGATGATGTTATATATCAGAAAGAGAGAGAGAGTGGGAAAAAACCCTCCGAGTGGAAGATAGGTTTTCATACAGAGAGATTGTGATTCTAAATGCGCAGAGAGGGAAAACATGATCGTCTATGGGAGAGATGAAAGTTACATGGGAAAAATATTATGATTCCTGTGTGTTCATTGTTACATCATTTTCATGAGGAAGAGAAGTTTTTTTTTCTTCTCTTTTTCCTGTTCTATAAAATTTTCCATGAGAGAGAGTGGAAAATATTGCAAAATGGGTGGGGAAAAGGGTTAGAACTTTTTTCTCGACTTCTACTATCATAATCTTTTTGCTTTTCGTATCTTTATCATTGGAACTTTTTTTTCTTCTCTCTCTAACTTCATCTTCTTCCGTTTTGTTTCAAGCTCAGCTTTTCCTCTTTGTTTTTGTATTGATGGTGGTGGTTCAAGGGAGGACTTGGGTGTTGAACTTGCTGATGAAGATGAGGATGAAGATGAGGATGATCAAATGTATTTATGTATTAATTTGCTTGTTGGCTTTTCTTTGGTGTATTATCAGAGGGTTAATGTTAATGTATTTATGTCAGATTGTGTTAATCGTGTTAAAAATGTTACGATTATATTTGTTGCCCTTTATTATCACTGTTATATTATCCTTTTGATTATCATAATGTTACAACTGAATTAATAACCTTTCAGAACTTTTTTCTTCATCTTTTCAGATACATAATATGATTATATTTACCTTTCTGTGATTATATTGTTATTGATGGTAATCAGATTTAATGATGATCATGATAACTAATTTCCTTGGTCAATTGTTTATATTACAATTAAATCATTAAGAGTTAATTTTTAATGTTACTTTGTTGTTATTGCTGATAATCAATCAATTATTGATATTATCCGATCACTAATTTTCACGTTTAATCATTACAATTGATTTACATTGTAGTTAATGTTGATTCAGTTTGTTTTTCATGATATAAGAAAATCAATCTCAATGAATCGGACTTTTTTCACTCAGCTGATTGTTGCCACAATTTACCAAACATTTTGTCTTTTTTAATATTATACAAATGATTAGAATTGTGATTTATCAGTTAACCGATTGTTAACCATTGAGTATTTTTGTTTTCTCTAAAAACAAAAAAGTTCTGAAACCAATGATTCCCCTGATAGACTATTAAATTTCAATGATTCTTAAAAGTCTATGGGATTTTTTATCTACCTCCTTATATACTGAATCCATTTTTCTTGCTCCCTTATCATCATTTTCAATCTTCCACCTTAACAATTTCCACTCCAACCTGAGTGTGTAGTGTGTACCTTAGATGATCATGATAGTTTATGATTATTATGCTCTTTAAATTGATTGGATATCATCAGTTGATTATATTGTTTCCGAAGAATAACCTTTGTCTTTGTCGATTGGAAATTCCTTTTTTCGAATAATAAAAAATTCGAGATATGATTTCTCTCTCTCTCTCTCTCATCATATACTTTTCTATCATTATGGTTCACTTGTGGTTCTATTTAATCATTGGTTATCTCGATATCAACTGAATCATTATCTCTCTCTCTCTCTCTCTCCATGAGATGATACTCGAAATGTTAATCTTCGAGAGGGTAAAATATTATATCGGTTAAATGATGCGAACTTTTTGTTTCGAAATTTTCTACTTTTTAAATCACGAATTTCTCATCATCATTGAGAATCTTTTATCTTCATTCTGTTGCATCCCATTTACTATCACTCACTATTATTATCATCATTATCTTCCTTCCTGTAACAGGTAAACCACTTTTCTTTTCCCAATTTTAGAATATTTTTCTTGTACACTTTCGAAGTCGAACTTTATTTCATTTGATTTTGTTTTTTCGTTCTTGTTCCAAGTATCTTTTCATTTTTCTTATTCTCTTTCATTGTCGACCATGATGATTAAGAAAATTATTCTAACCACAAATTAGATTATCAATCAATTGAAGTTGATTGTTTTCGTTGAATCAATTTTTTACCGGGTTCAGGTTTATTTAACATCGACGGTCAAATATGATAGCCAATCGAAATTGATGGAGATTTTTTTTCTTCTCATCCTCTAGTTGATATTTCCAATTGAATCATGACTATTATTTAATTGATTTGATTGATTTTTTGTTCCACCATCAATTTTTGTTTGAATCTTTTTGTCTCATTCTCTTTGAGGGATTGAGTTGGATTGAATGGATTCCAATGGACAGAGTTTGAGAATCCTCAGGATCCATCAATTAATCTCAATATCAAGTGTCAAAAAAAAGCTCTAAATTGTTGATTGTTGATTGAGATTAAATGGGAATCGTATTTTAAATTGAGAGAAATTAGTTAAACATAAAGGCTAATGTGGTGTTGGCTTTTTCCCGTCAACGTAAAAGTTTCTAGTAGCCGGTGGAAGAGTAACTTCAATACCATCCAATTCATCGGTAAGAATAATTTGACAACCTAAATGTGATAATAATTGAAGAGAAAAACAATCAATCAGATATCGATTATTGGTTAATCAAATTTTCTAAAACAAAAATAGGAAAATCAAAGTAACTTACTTAATCGAGAATTGGTTTTCAGAAACGGAGCCATATCTAACATATCATCTTCCCTGAGAAGGTATAAAAGATTTTTCTCGGTAAAATATGAGTTAATTAACTAATCTAATTGCTAACCTTTCATCTGGAGTTGGTAGTTTATCGAAAAATTCATCATTTACATAAACATGGCACGTACAACACGCTAACGAAGCCTCGCAAGCTCCTTCGATTGGAATATCGTTTGAATGGGCTAAATACATAACATTGTCACCAAGTTTTCCCTTGATGGTGATTCTTTCACATTCCTTGGTAATATATGTTACATGGATTCTTTAATTGTTGAAGAAAAAAAAAATGGAAAATCAACTTAGCAACAGAACAATTAAATTCTTATGTCAACACTTACCCACCGTTTTCCTTATTTACTTTGGTTAGATTAGAGTTTTTTACACTAGAACAATAAGAAGCTATTCTCATTCTACTTCGACTAACTGATGTGAGAAGAATCGATAAACAAAAGTTCATAACTGTTATGAATTAACAAAAAAAAACGATCAGTAATCAAAGAAAAGGTTAATTAAATTTTTTTGTTTTTCTAAAATCAAAACAAATCAGAAAAACGATCACATGTTTAACTTTAGTTCTTTTCCAATTAAAAAGATGGCACTGGAATCGCTTCGAATGTGCTGCCATCTAGTCGCCAAATTCTAGAAATTACATTGTGAGTTGTTTGTTTATCCTGACAAATTTAATTTTCCAATTTAATTAGTTGATTAAGTTTACAATTTAGAAAGATTATTTTAATTAGATTTTCTTTTTAATTAGGTAAATTTTAAGTCTATTTATCTATTGTGTTCTAATTGGCGGTTGTCTTGTTTTTCTTTTTTTATTGTTTCTATTTTTCTATTTTTTTTCTTCTCATTAATTACCAGAGTGTGGGAACTTGGACTTCCTATTTTTCCAAAGCCAACTAAATGACTAAAAATGAGCGAATTTTATGTTTATTTGATGTCGATGGAACCATTACACCTCCAAGATTGCGTATTGATCCGAAGGTCGATTCTTTTCTAAGAAGATTACGAGAAAAAGTTGCCGTTGGCCTCGTCGGTGGTTCCGATTTGTACAAAATTTTAGGTACATTTACATACCTAATAACCTTTTTCTCATTTTCTCTTTTTATTTTCTCTCTCTCTCCCTTTGCTTTTATATTTGTTTTTCTACCTGTTGTCCACCATTTTGTTTGGAATTTACTTCCATATTATATTATTTCTCTTATTTTATTAACCCTCTTTCCTTTTGAATGTATGACATGTGTTCTATTCTTCCCATCGACATTCAGCTCAGTGGAACTTGTTATATTCTCTGTTGGTTTTTATTTTCCATCCAAGTTTTTTTTTTCATTCTATTCTATTCAATTGTGATTGCTGATTTCGCTAATTTATTCTGTCTCTCTCCCTTTATTTTCCTCAAAAGAGCAATTGGGATACAAGCCTGGATCAGGTGGCCGAGAGGATGAAATTTTCTCTAAATATGATTATTTCTTTGCCGAAAATGGTTTGGTCGCTTATAAAGATGGTAAACTGCTTCGTAAGGAGAGTATCGTCAATTTCCTTGGAGAGTTAAAGATTCAGATGTTTATTAATTTCGCCCTTCGTTATATGAGTGAATTAAGATTACCACGTAAACGAGGCACATTCATTGAATTTCGCAATGGTTTGATTAACCTTTGTCCGGTTGGACGAAGTTGCACCCAAGCGGAAAGGGAAGAGTTTGCCGTTTACGATGAGGAAAACAAAGTTCGCGAGAAATTTATCGAAGCTCTAAGATCAGAATTCTCCGGTGATTTTGGCCTTTCCTTTTCCATCGGTGGTCAAATATCAATCGATGCTTACCCGGTTGGATGGGATAAAACTTATTGTCTCCATTTTCTACCAGTTAAATCTTTTGATAAAATCTATTTTTTCGGAGATAAAACCGATGAGGGTGGAAACGATCATGAGATTTATATGGACAAACGGACAATAGGCTTTAAGGTTACTAGTCCTGAGGATACCATGAGAAAAGTTTCCGAACTGTTTGACGTTCCTATTGAATGAAATCCAATTCCTTCAACCAATAGTCGTCCACATCAAATATTATTATTACATATTATTATTATATTATATACGATATATATTATACATATTTTCCACTCTCTCTCTCTCCTCTCCTCTCTCTCTCTCTCTCTGTAACTCTCATCTTCGCCCTCTTTCCCTCCTCATCTTCTTGACTTCTTCTTATTCTAATGTTAAGTTTCTATACTTTTCAAGTGATTAACAACCCAAGAGAATCCAATCAGATAGATCATATAAATGTCCAAGAGGAGAATTAATTTCTTGTCCATTTAATCGGTAAATTGTGCTAATTATTTAACGATTAGATTTCAATATAGAAATTACATTTAATTCTTGATTCGTCTTTCTCTCCCCTTTTCAATTGACATCTAATCACTTTCACAATCAACTTAATCATCTTTCCATTGTCTTGATTGTTACTTTTGTTTTTTTTTATTTCCTTCATGTTTAAACAATTTCCTCATTCCAGTTAACATCATTTAAAAGTCTAAATTGTTTGAATGAAAGGAGACAATTAATTTCACAGTACAATTGTTTTTAATTGATTTTTGTTCTATTCAAATAGTTTTGTCTTAATCATTTTGGTTTATATTTTTCTGTCTTTGATTTGTACAATCAACTAATCATTTCTAATGAGGAGACATTGATTCACTTTTGAGATAAACAGAATGTAGTTAATTGTGATTTGTCAGCAAAAGTAGAAATTGTTTGCAATTGTGTTTACACATGAGAGAAAGAAAATAATAAGTTAATTGTTAATTATAATCGTAAATTAAGAAAAAAATTTTGTTAATTGTAAAGTTACAGAGAAAGGTAAATAATTGTAGTAAATCAGAATTTGTTAATTGTTGTTATATGTATATAAAAAAAGGGAAATGATTAGAAATGATTCTTAAATCAAAGTTGTCAGAGAGTGAAAATAATCAGATGCTGAATTGAAACAGTTAATTGATGATTGGTTCAATTAACTGAATTAGTTTTTTTTTCTTTGACAAAGAACATTATTACCATTATTATTAACAATGACTATTTGATTGTCTTATTTGCATAGTTGATTCAATTGAAATAATAATAATGGTAATAATATTAATCGGCAATTTGAAAATATATCAAATTTTGTAATGGTAAACATAATTGTGCCTTTGGGGTTGGGAGGTTGCAGTTGATTTTCACCTTAAAGGTAAACACACACAGTAAAGGTTAAGGTTAGAGGGAAAATTTTGATTAGAATCAGATTGGTTGTCCTTAATCAATTGATTAGATTTTGGTCGGATGTGAAGAAATATATAACTGTAGAATAAATTTTCGGTAATTTGTTTCGTTGTTTTGTGATTGGCACTTGAAAAGGTAGTTGAAGATGAAGAAGACAATAGAAAATTAATGAGAGAGAATAATAATTGATTTAAAGGTGAGCAAGGTGATGATTTTTGTGATGAAGTAAATAATTGTTGTTAAATTGTTGTGTCATAAATAGAGAGAGAGAGAGAGAGAGAGCTTCAGTTTCCATGTGAATGTTTTGTGAGTTTGTGTTTTTGTTTATCAAATTGAGATTTCTTTTTAAACTTGATTATTGTGATCTCATCATGGGTGCGGTGCTTTGATTATCGGTGATTTGATTTTTCTTTTGGTATTTTTGTTTTTCACTTTTGATGATATCATGTTAATATCACCGGTGGGTAGAAGATGATGATTATCTTTCAATATTATTCAGCCTTGTGACCATGAACACGGAATCGATAAAGGCAAGTGTACTCATTATGTCCATGGTTACTCAAGACAATTAATGTGATGTAATTGAATGGACGGGCTTTGTTATTTTGAACTTGAAAATGTTGAAGTGGACGATCGTTATCTTGATAGATATAATTTCCAAGTAAAACACCATCGAAATCATTTTCATCTCGTAGACCACGAATTTGTATCGCCTTGGGTGCTGATGAAATGTTACCATCACGGGAAATTTCTTTGGCGATGTGTTCATATGAGAATTCAGTTGGAATGATTCGAGCAGATAATTTAATGGTAACATTACCCATGGAACCGGGAAAGCCCAACATTCACCGGGTGCCATTGATGCTTGAATCATGGTTCGTGGTGAATTTGAAGTGAACCAAATTGGAATTCCCCAAACACTATATTTGATTCCATGAGGATCGTAGGTCTCTGAACATCGAGATGTAACAATTGAACCACCTAATTAAAAAGAAGCAAAAATTTTAAATCATTGGAGATAAGATAGAATAGTTTAAATTAATTTCTTATTACCTGATGATTCCAAAGCGTAATCAGCTTTACCCGTTTTATCAGAATCATATAAGTAAATTGCTTGTTTAATCATCTCTCCAATTCCTTCAACTGTTGGTGTTTCCTGACTTTTAGCGACTTTGATGTTCACTTCGATAGCATCTTCAATTTTTTGAGCAATAAGATCAAATCTTTCATCGATTGAGGCAAAATTTTTACGATTTTCTCGGTCAAGAATAGAAACTTTCTCATTAACAGAATTGATAAACTTTGTTCCTTTGGTGTTTTCATCTGTCAGTTTGAGAACAAGTTGTTCCAGTTTATCTAATCGTTTGTTGAGAATGACAATTTCTTCTTGTGAAGGACAAGATGAGGTTAGATTGCAAAAAGATTGACTATTTGACGATGGTGTTATCGGTGGGGAGAAAGGTGAAGATGGTAAAGGTTGACCAGTAGGTGAAGTTGATTTAGGTAAAGAAGATGAAGATACAGATGAAAGTAGAGCGGCTTGTTGAGGTGTTTGATGTTGAAAGGGTGAAAATATCGCCGGTGAATAATCATAATAATACCAAGAGAAAAGGAAGACTGAAATTGGCAGTAAAAGTGAGATAAAGGCAAGTTTAGTGAAACTTGGATGAACTGAGTTCATTTTACGACTAGAGATCTCAATGGAAGTCATTATTTTATTGGTTGTCCGTCTGATCAGAGTAATTTCCTCATCTGAACTATCATCATCATCTCCTCCTCCTCCAACTAACCGACGTTTTGTTATTCTTCTCTGAGTTTCTTCCATATCATCATCATTGTCATCCGACATCTCAGCCAATCCTTTACGTGGTTCAACCATATAGGGACTTTTATGGTAATGGTGATGAAGATGCGAATGATGCTCATGATGATAATGATGATCGACCGGAGCACTAGGGGTAGTTTTTCCACTTTTCTTTCTCCATCCACGTCCAGTAAGTGAATTAGAAGCTAAATAGAATTAAATATTTCCATTATTACAGAACAAGAAAAGGCAACAATTTAATTGTAACGGTTGAAAAAAGATCAATTTACTTACGACATTCCCCTGAACACATACTTCTGGTCACCATAGGCGGTGACTCCATTGAACTGACCTCCTGTGGTCTCCTTGAAGATGGTGAACTGGGTGAAAGAATTGAAGATTTCGGTGGATCTTCAATAAGACTAAACTGTTGGTTTATTCGTGGCATAATTGATAACACAAGGAAAACAAAAAGAATAATAAATAAACAATAAAAATAGAATAGAAAAAAAATATAAACCCAATGAATTGACTCTTTCTTTTTTTCTCTTGAATCTTTTTCTCTTCCACTCAAAATAAACTCTTCACTTTAGATCTCCAAACATCTAATCTTTTAAAAGAAAACTTTCAGGATAAAAAGACTCCATAGATTAAACATTGAAAAGAATAATAAATAATTATAATTAGTAAAAAGTTAACAAATTTAGAGACAATTAATTAACTGTAAATAAGAAAACAAAAGACAAAGAATCAACTTTTGTTTTGGAATAAAAATCTCTAGGGTGCTGCCATCTGGTGGAAAAGAAAACAAGTTTAGAATTTTTGTTCGATCAGAAAATTTTTTTTTTCTCTTCTCTTTTCAGAAAGAAAAATTTTCTCACTTTGATAAGGTGAATATCTTTTTATTTTGTTACTTTGATTGCAATTTACTTTTACCTTGTTAATTGTTGATCTTTTAATTGATTGTTACTCATTTGTCAGTTTGTAAGTTTTATCAATGTGAATATCTATTGGATTTTTTATTTGCTTTAATTGTTTCTTTTTTTTCTGTGACAATTGTTGATTGATATGATTTTGAATTCTGTTCGTTGGAGCTGTTGGAGTTACCATGTAATTAAGTTATACTTGAGTTTATCTTATCTTTTAATCTTATCAAAAGTAATTAATTCTTAATTTGATTGCTTCTATTTAGTTTTTACATTGTTATACTATCACATAGACACACACAAATTCATTTCAGTGATCAATTGTTTGTCATGTACCCTAATCACCTTTCAATCACCTTTCAATCAGTTTTTCATCTTTTACTTTGGTCATCATCATATCTATTATTTCAATTCAATTTTCCATCATTGTAATATCTTCATCATCATCACCACCATTATCATCGTCATCATCATGGTGTCATCATTTTCAGGCTCATCAATCTTGACCATGTTACCATCATCATCATCATCATCATCATCATAACTATTTATGAAACTTTAACCATCATTGGTTATCCATTTTTTTTTGTCCATCATCTCTGTCCATCTTTAAAACAACAATATCTTCATTGGCCTATTTACTTCAATTTTCATATTGTCTACATCATCTTCCACCATCTTTGATCATTGAATTGAATTTATTTTTTCAACCTTCTTATTATGGCTCCATTTAGATTGGATAATCAACTAACCGCCATTTTAACAGCCATAATTTTACCTTTGCTTCCGGTAAGTTGCTTTTCTCTTTTTCTCCATTAAATGAAAGTCAATCAAAATCTCTAGACTTGTTTCTTCATCTCTGTCTCTTTGTGTCTCACATTTGACTCGCCACCAAGTCAGAATCTTCCCACCTTTTTGTCTCACCTCATTTGTCATTAAACGAAAAAATGGAAGATGAGAGAAAAAAAATGGCCAAAAGAGAAGAAAAAAGAAATTCTATTCCAAAAATATCATCATTTTCTACAAATTATTATTTCCTTTTCTATTCGTTGCTTATTTTTCTAAATTTTCGTTATTTTATTTTACTTTTTTCTACAGATCCAAGTTGTTTCTGTTAACTCAGAAATAACTAACGATAATATTTACTGCCGAACCGAAATTGGCTCATATTTAGCTTTGGATATTTACAAATTAGATACTTGTGCTCGTTGTTACAATTATATGCCAGCCTGGGCCTTTAAAAATAAACTTCAGTAAGTCGCAATCATCTACAACAATTAAATCAAAACATCACATACACACAATATTCATATTCAAATAATAACTCACCGTAGAATCTTAATTAACAAACTAATCCACCCTAAAACTACCTCATCTACTAACATCTAAAACCCTTTAGCACACTTATCAATATCAACAATTAATTGATTATTTCATAATCTTTTAATTGCTCATCCTATTGTTTAACCATTTACTCTAATGATTAACAATCTAGAAGAAATCATTAACTCTACAAGCAAAAGAAAAACCGTATTCTTAATGGATTTAACTTCCTGTTGTTGTTGATTTTTTTTCTTCTCTTTCTTTGCCCTTAGTCTACTAATTGAGATTATTCAGTTAATATTATCTCTTTCTGAGTGATTAACGGTTATGTTGATTTTATTATTGATCGTAAACAATTATCATTGTCTGTCTTGTCCACTAAAAGTTTTAACTTGTTTTAACTGATCAACATACAACAATAACATAGGAAGAATAACCAAAATCCTAATTGACTTAATGCCATTGACCATTGATCAGTAATTATTATTATTACAATTTTATCTTTGTAACAAAATTCTGACTGAAAAAAATTTACTTCAAGAGATACTCATTGAATTGAAACCTAGTTAATAGTTTCAGTCTCAATTCATTTAATCCCAAAGTGATTTAACTTGAATGTAATAGTAGTTACATTTACCAATAACAAGTATCATAATAATAACCATGATAATATTAATCCAATCGAGGCTTTGTTTTTATAATCAAAGTAAATTGTAACACACTAAACATTATAATCTTTCTGGTCAAGTTTCAATTTGGTCTGCAAGTATGTTAAAGGAATTAAACTTTACTAAATACTAATCAACAATTAATGATGATAATAATCAATGTGAATCTGATTTTAACCTTACATTAGTATCTTTCCTATTCTCAGGTTAAATCTAGATCCCAAGTGATTTTATTAATTGTTATACTTTGTTATTAGTTTATGATTAATTCTGATTGAACTCACACTTATACACCTTGATGATTATATTAATTACCATAATGTTTTCCATACGTAAACACCAATTCTCTAAATAGTAATTAATATCTTTTATCACAATTAACCGTTATTATTATCCAATATCAATAATTACGATATTAATTGAATTATTACTTTACTACATATCTATGCATCATTAATATTAACCTTTTTATATTCAATATCATGTGCATTTCAGCAAGAAAGAGAAAACAAATATTAATCAATATTAACCATGACTCTGAATTAGTTATCAAGTCATGATAATGAAGAGAAAAAAAAATCTGATCCTATTTTGTGATTCTAAATGAACTTATATCCATATATATATATATATAGAGATCGAGAGTATTTTGTTTTGCCATTTCTACAGTTGATGGACAAAAATCAACATTTATCTCCGTAACACTTATCATGAAAACTGAAATTCAGCAGAAAAAAAAATTAAAGTTCTGTTGGATTCTCAGGTTATTTATAAAACTAAGCATGAAAATAATTTTCATGCAACTGTTTTATTTTCACTGTCTAATATTTCATTCAATTATTTACATAATTCTAGTCATTATTATGATTTAATATGAACAAGGGTTTACCTGTCGTACACCTTATTATTATTATCCTCTAAACAATTAGTATTGAAATTTGATGTGAATATTGTGTTGAGTTGATTATTAACAATTATGGTTATGGAAAAAAAAAGTTTCACTATATTACAAGATTTTCTTGCAAACATTTTATTGTAATTTGTTGATTTTCCTTTGTAAATCTCATGATAATCATGATGATTTATTATCGTTTTTCTTTTGTTTTTTCTTTTATATATTTTATTTCACTATTTTATTTTGCAAATTAATTATCTCCATTATTTATTCATTTTTACAGATATATTACTCATGGGATTTTATATGATAACCTTGAAAATCGGACAGTTTTGTCCAATGAAACGGTTTACCTTGGTTCAACCTTCCTGACACCACCAATGTATCAAAAATGGCAAGATTGTTGCAGTAAAGCAGTTGATTGTTGCCTTAAATATTTAAGATATGACAAGAGATGGGAAAATCAATCTAAATATGGTACCAATAAATCAGATTCGTGTCCAGTTACCTGGGATGGTTGGTCTTGTTGGCCTCAACCCGCTGACCCAGGGACAGTTGTTGAAATTGAATGTCCAGATCATATATATTGGAATGATGTTTGGGCCCCACCTTGTCGAGGTAAGGAAAAGCATTTCGTTAACATTATCCTCATTCAACTGAACTACTATCATTATTGGAACCATATCCATGTCATTTTCAGTGATTAGTTTTAAATCAAATAAATGATAGACATTGTAATTTATGATACACTGGATCATATCATTGAAAATTGCTGTTATTATTATTAGTATCACTAACCCAAAGAAACCAATAAGTTAATAATATACCATGAAGATCATATAAGAAATGATGATAATAATAATAATAATAATTCTGTCAATGAACTAACTGAGAATATAAAAAAAATATAAATGATCTCATGAAAAAGCAAACGGAAAATCAAATTGACAGTTGATAGGAAAAGGCAACATAAGATATTGAATAAATATTATCTTTCCATGATATCGGTTGATCATCTGATCATGATAACTGAATTAATGATAAGTAAATTAATAATAACATTACAGTTTATCTTAAGCAGCGGTAAATGTAATCTATTATTATAACATGTATCTTGTGACAAGTTAATCAGCTAAATAATTATGAGGTTCAATTGAATTTTCGGTTAACTGAATCTTGTCATGATGTCTATTCAGAATGATAATATTTACACAAAGATAACTATTATTTTCAAATCTAATGATTACAAGCTAAATTGTCTTAAATGGGTTGAGGCAAATTATTAAAATAAGTTACTTTCAAAGTTATTAATGATGAAATATTCATAACATGAAGATGCTACGAAAAATTTTCCAACAGAAATGATAAAATATAAAAAAAAAGTTCTGAGGAAAAGATTATGATGATTCACATGTACGAAGTAGGAATTGAATTCCCTGGAGGATGAGTATGAATGGAGTAAATAAACTTACCTTTTTTATTTATTCTAATCACAAAATAATCTAATGATTTAGTCATTAAAATAATTATGGTCAAGTAATTAAGATCAATCATGTTAATTGCTTTTCTCTCTCTCTCTCTCCGCAAGCTGAATTTTTGCCTCGCCTTGTTGAAATCCTAAAATTGTCATTAAACGATTGTAATTATATTAATAATTTAATCTATAAATTGACCATTTGATTGACCTACAATATTGTTATTATTATGGTCACTTCCTTTTCTGATTTATTATTTTTTTTTCTCATGTTCTGTCAAAGGGTCAGCAACAAAGGCTTGCAGTCCATCCGGAAGTTGGTTCAAATTGGGTGAAGGTGAATGGAGCAATTATACCAATTGTGCTAGAGAAGACGTAAGTTATTTCCTAATTGCGATATTAATCATCTTTCACAATTAAGTTAATTGTCCTTTCATTGACAAACATGACAATATAATCCTTAACTAGTTTCCAATACGCTGACACAATCAATTGAGTTTTCATTTAATTTCTTTCAATCATTATTGTTGTAAATTAACTTGTAAAAGTTGATTCATGATTATAATGTTAGAACATTATCTTGATTATTCTGAGTAAAATTCCCTTTTCCAATATTAGGGAATTGAAAGTAGATTAGTTTTTTTTTCGTTTCCATGAATTTTGATGTTGAAACTTTGAGAATTTGTTGATGATGTTGACACAAGATCAGGAAATCTATTGCGCTATCTATTAATAGTAATCTATATGATGAATATCACATAAAAGTTTTCTTTAAAATAATGAAATAGTTGATTGAATGATTTATCAATATCATGAACTTTGCATGATAAAGGTAATAGTCTTTTTGATGGATAAACATGATTTTTTATTATCTGTAAAGTTTAAGGTTGACCATCACCATCCTCTTTTCATCAGCTATTTACTTATCTCTTTTATTTTTCTATTGACCATTGAATATCCTTCAATTCTTGTTCCTTGGTCAGACTATTAAATCATCTAAATACATATACTTAACTGACTTTGTCCATCCCAGGTTCTGTGGGTAGAAAAGGTCTGGTCATTTGATGACCAAAATGTGTATGTATTAATAATATTGACCATGAGAAAAAAATTCTTGTTTGAATATTGTCATTTTTTGGAAAAACTCTCTTAGTCTGTCAAGCCTCATATACTACATCATCTCATGCTCACTCTCTTTCTCATCAAAACTTCAATCATGTAGGTAACAACAGTTTACCTCATATTGATGTGAATACCTTACATCCGTTTCCACATCTTCATTGTCTTTAAAGTCTGGTTCTCATCTCATTCCTAGTAAACTAAATTATATTAAACTCTTAAACTTGGTTATATTATTTGATATTCATGTATTATATGATAGTATTACATGTGAATCTATGAGCTTTGTTATAATGAGACTTTCTTTGTGTGTAAAACTAAAGGATTTCACTTAATTTGCCCATTTTCAGATTGATATTATTTAACATGCAATCCAGAGTTTAATTAACATTTAAATGTGTTAATTATTTTCTGTTTATTACATTTACTAAAATATCCCTCATCTTGTTAAACTTAATTGCTTACTAACCTTCAGACTGTAGCATTATCATGTCTTGTTTCAATTTTTCATCTTAATTATTATTATCATTTCAGAGTAAAACATAAATACATCATGAGAATCTCCTGACTTCATGAATCTTTAGTTTTTCATTCAAGTAAAATTGTAAATGAGATTCGACTTTACATGTTTTTTTTATAATTTACACACTAATTTACATAGAATAACGAATTACGGAATAACCCATAGTTTAATTTGTCAATTAATCTTCTCAGTCTGGAGAAGTGAAAAATGGACAATTAAGATTAATCAGTTGATTCTTATCCCAATGTGATAATATTTACACCATTTAGATGAACGTTGTCATAAATATTAACCAACAACGGAAGTCTTAGTTGTATCATATGTAATATTTTGATTTGCTAAAAATAATCAACCATGAAATTTTAATCTACTTTACATAGTTATCATGATACTTGAACTAATCCACTCTCAATGAACTTTCATTACTTAAAATTCATGTTAATACATCAACAAAGTGTTACCATGAAATCTAATGATTAATCTAATCCATCAATATCCTGAGATTGATATTCAAATATAATCTATTGATTAACTGACAATTAAGGTTAATGTCAATTCATCCTAAACAATCTCGTCCAAATAACATAGCTATTAGTTGTTAACATGAAATTGTAATTGCTTAAGAAAAAGTAAATTGTTATTAGAATGATGATCATGATGATGATGAGATAATGAATATTACATGATAACATAATGATGATTATCATGATTATTATCTTTACATTGTTCCATGTGACAATTGTTATTTATATATATAAATTTGTCTATTTCTATCATCTACCTCTTTCAATCTCGTTTCCAGGTCACCAATTGTGATACTAAACGGATAAAATTTCCCTTAGGGCATTTATCCAATGCTGAATTTATCTGATGATGAATTTTTCTCTCCTTTTGAGTATTTTCTTTGTTTTCTATTGTCAATTATCATCATCCAATTGTTATCTGGTCATTTTGTGTATATTGCTACAAATTGTTATTGTAACTATTTCACCTTTGAAACTTCAGCTTCCTTTGTGAAAGTGCTAGTATTATGACTTACATACTGATTTCTGTTCATTTCTTTTACCACTGCTCGTATATCGGACCAAGATTGTTCATGATTCTAACTCCTACTCTATATATCCGATATTATGAAGATGTAATATGAAAAAAAAGAAAAATTTCTCCACTGTTTTTTCACTCTGAGGCAGATTTTCCACCACCATGAAACCCACTTCGCCTTATACGTAGATACTGATGTATCAAATATTCTTGGTATTCGTTAGGAATTCAACTAATATCATTCTCACATTCAACTTAACCAATTTTTCAAGCAGAAAGAAGCATCTTTTGTCTTCAATGACGATGATATTATTTGCCATCCTCATCCTCATTCTCTAGCTTCCTGATTCTTTATTTCATCCTGAACAAAAAAAATATAAACAACTGAAAAATTGAAACTCCAACTTTTTTTTTCAAAACTTTTCTTCCTATTTGTGTGTTATAATGGAAAGAAGAAGCAAGAAGAAAGTAAATTTAAAATGTTATTATTTCATGATAAACCGAGATAACAGTAATAATACCAAAGAAAGGCTATTATTAATCATTGAGAATCCTGACTTTCTGAATTTAGAATGAAAACTTTTCATTTCACTTTTTTATCCCATATTAAAACCATCATGTTTTCTGAGGAGAGGAAGAAGAAATTCAATATTTAAATTACTATTACATGGATCTCTCTCTCTCTCTCTCTCTCATCTTATTGTAGAAGATTAATCTATTCACTATCCAACCCATGGTGAAATAACATTCATTTCCGTATCCTATTATTACATCCGAATAACAATAATTATCAATAATGATTATAAACGACTAACTTTTATTACTAAGCTTAAACACTGAGTATCACATGTTTGATCTATCGAGTTTATCGGATTATTTCAATATAATTCATTTGAAAACGATAATCATAACCATGTAATTGAAAGAGTGATAATATAGAATGAAGAGAGAAATAGAGGGAAGAAAATGTTCGCAAGATTTTCATGAAGAGAAAAAGATCGAGTAAAGAAAGAATATGATAAAATAATGATAGCTTAATGTTCAAATAATGAAATATCATATTATTTATTGGTTTGCATTGAGAAATATTCGGAAGAGGATAAAAAAAAAGTTCATTGAGATAACATTGACATGTAAGCTGAATAAACTTGAAGAATAGATTGGAAATTAGTATAAGAGAGAAAAAATTGACAATAACTGACAGAATATGAAGAAGGAAGAGAAAATGAGAAGACAAGTTGATAAATTAACTCTCGGTGCAAAGTTAATCTTCAAATTTTCTTACTAATCATGAAGAGCTGATTTCTGGACATGTAACTAATCCTAAAGAGCCAAAAAAGTTACTATTTGAAATTATGTTTATCCATGAAGATTTCCTAGGATTGTGCTGATGAAATGTTTGTTATCAACTGTCAATTGATGATTTAGTGAGAAAACACTTTAACTAGTATATTATTGATGTGAGCTTTCAGCATCGATAACAATTTATCGTTGAATCTATGATTGAAATTTATCTTCTTCTCTCTTTTCTTAAACTTTTCACCAGGAAAAGAAATTCGTATTTCTATTAACAGTTACTAATATGAAAACTCAATGGTTTTCCTGCTGAGGTTGACGAAAAACCTTTACAACATTCTAACCCATGTTTCCAATGAGATTGTTACTGTTTCCATGTAACATCTCATTAGAACTTGAAAAATTTTCACTCATCATCATCATTATCCTTTCAACTCTTTTATTGGCAACTCAATTCGATGTATACTTAACATGAATCCTTTTTTTTTCTTCTTTTAATCTACATCATATTAATAGTATTACTTATTTTCTTGGGGTTTTGCCATGAAAACAAAGTTTTCAAGTGAATTACATGGATAGTTACATGGCGATTTTATCTGAGAGGTCAAGACATTTTTTTTTCTCGAAAATAAAAGAAGTACAAAGTTTCGAGGATAAAGGATAGAGTTGCCTTTGTATTATTTTCCACAGTTATAAGATATATTTACGTTTGTGTATATCAATCATTTATTATTCTGTAAATTTATTTCTCCATCTTATCTCTTGATATGATTTATGTGATTTATTATATTACCTCGATAAGATCTCTCACTTTCTATTCTCAACAACGTCTCCAAATCAAAGTCTAACTGTCAGCAGAACAGGATGAAAACCCATAAGAGTAACATCGTGAATTTGATAAAACATGAACCATCAGAATCTGAGTGAAAATATCATCATGGAAAGCGAAGGAAACAGAATCGAAATCAATAAGATGCTGACTTGATACTCGAACATTGAATTCGTAATCACATATATAAATGTATTGTTTTAACACAGTTTCAAATACACAACCTTAATAATAATCAGAATATCAACAATTTGCTTGATTGAATTTTGCATTTTGATTGAAGAATAATATTAATAAGTTTCAATTGGGATTGTTCATAAGAAAATTGTACTTCATGATATTTTATAAATCTCTCAGATTTTATCATCTATTCTGTTAACTGTAACTCGCTTGATTTAACTAATTGTGATTATTTTGTATTCTTACAATCTGATAGCGAGTATTCAGTGTTAAATGATTACGATTCAATGAACTTTTGATTGTTGAATCGATTCATTTAAACTTTTTAAGTATATTTTTCTTATTGAGAAAAAAGCTATTAATCATGATGACGATTCCAAAATCATGATAGTGAACTTATGTCCACTCAAGTGAATAATTTTCGTGTATAAATCTCATGAGATTTTGCTCATTACTCATAAAAGTATCAGAAAAAAAGTTCTAATTGAAGGAATCACTCAAATTCATGTTAGAATTGTTGGATTTTTTGATAAATCATCAATTTTGATTAGTTTCTTTCCGTTAATCGTTTTGTGATTTTTTTTCTCATAAGCGTAAGTTGTTTCAATAATCAACTAATTTAAATATCTTTTAATTACCTATTTACACCTATTTTTTTGTCACTTACGATTAATTTAATTGTAGTGATTATCTTTTCGGCGAGAAACATTTATTATGTGTTATGATTATGGTTATGGTGATAATCATATTTATCTAAATTGTATCAGAACTATTTGCTTGCTTTTTTATTGTTATTATTAATGTTTATTTGTTTTTCTATTATTGATTTTGATACAAAAGCAAATCAACTGATTACCTTTATTAATATTAATGATTTTATTGTATATTAACCTTACAATTGAAAAGTTATCAATTGATGATGATTATTATTAAATCTTAAATGATTAACACTTAAGGGACACATTGTTGATACAATTGATTTGTTATTATCAACATGATCATTATTATTAATATGATCGTTATTGTTATTAGTTTTATATTGATAAACAATTGTGATGTCCAGTTAACTTCCTATGGTCATCAATTGGTATCTTCAACATAATATATATTTAAGGAACATGATTATCATGATAATCTTGATAACTTTTGATTCAGTCTCTTCCTTCAGTAATAATAATCCATAAGTCAATTGGTATTATGATTATTATACTCAAGGATAGTATCAGATACCATCAATAACAATAGTTGTGAATAGGGTCAGTGAGAGAGAGAGAGGATTTTTGGAAAGGGAGGTGTAGAGATGTCAGAGTAACACGATAAAGTAAAATACATGAGATGTTAGCATCATGGTGATAAAAAAGAGAGCAGGAAACTCTTGACAATCCAGAGTCACAATTAATTGTGTAGAGACAAAAAAAGATTCAGTGAAATATAAATCAGATCAATATACTCACTAGATTTTGGTGACACTTTCGCAATACATGATATGTAATGTTTCACAATTACTACTATTGTTTATTATTGGTAAATTGTGATTTTTGGATGGACTTCAAAGTACTGGAAAAGATTGAGAAAGGGAGAAAATGAGAGAGAAAGAATTGTATCCATGATATTGGTCACTTTACCTTCTCAGTCTATTTCCTCGATGTTGATTCTTCTTTAATCAACTGACCTTTCACCTGTTTATATTATTAGTGAATCTATTCATTATCTTTACCAATTTACTCATGAACTTCTGATTGACTCATTAGTGGAATCATTTTCAATATCTATTACATTGAGAGTTTTAATTAGTCTATGAAATTAAGTTTAACCATGTAATTGGAAAAATTGTCTTGATTGAATTTTTGTCTATGTAAATGTTGACGAAATTAACTTTATTTGAAATTTGAATCGTTTATCCTTAGGAGATGATAAACAATTTGATTAACTTAATGTCAATTCAACTTAGTCAATGAGTTTTCAAGTTTAGCTCAATGAAAATTGAATTTTATTTCAGATCTCCCTGTATAATGAATCATTACCCGTTTAATCATCTTCCATGATTAATGCTGAAAACTTCAACAATTAAGATTCAAGCGTTGTCTCTATGGGTCTGTGTTCACAAGTAATGAATTAAGATTAAATAGAAATCAGAACAATAATGAATGTTTTTCTTTTCGTTATTTTCTCCAACTTGTTACTTGTAATCATTTTATTTACATATGAGATAAGCTGAGCTTCCAGGGTAGAAAATGAGTAAACCTTTCCATGTGATTTGGATATTTAAATTTCGAGTATGAATCCATGATGTGATATAATTTGAATTTTACGAGATTGAAACTGAATCCCATGAACTTGATAGTTGAAGAGAATGTTATTTTTTATTCATTTCACTTTGCCTTCTTTTTTTTAGCCTTGAGCCTAATTCAAAATTCAAAATATCGAAAACAGTTGATTAATTTTGTTAATCTTCATGAGAACAAGAATTCAGTTAATCTGTTATTTCATCCTCACTTTCTGTCGCCTTTGAACTTTTCCTAATCATGTATCACTTTAAACCTGAATAACTATTTACAATCAATGATTTTTAATTGAATTTAATTGTTAATTAACTCATTCTCTATCTCTTTCTCTCTTTTAGATTTTTTTAAGACGAAATCGTTACCTAATTTTTACTCATTTAACTTCAGTTGCGTTTATAATTCCCGCTCTTTCTATTTTCTTATATTATCGGTAAGTTGTTTTCTTATCAAATAATTAAACCATTTGATGAATTTAATCGAAATTATATTTAGCTCATGAATCGACAAAAAATTGAGGTCAAAAACTTTTGACCTCTAAAGGTTTATAAGGACTAAGGTTAAGGTTCAACTCGCTAGTTTAGATTAATACACAATTTCCTTTGAGATTCTGTGTTAAGAACTTTTTTATCTTCTTTTAGATATTAGGTTAAGAATCATTGATGAAAAAATTCTCATAATTATCTCTAAGGTAATAAATATTTCTATCAATTTTGTAGTTACAAAAAAAGCTCCTTAAGGAGAATTGGAACTTTTCTGAGTTATGGGAATGATAAGATAATATTCTTGAACAATATGAACAATATGAATATTAGTGCATGAGTAACATGATTTCACCAATCCTATTACCTGTTGCTTTCTAATGATATTCATAATTTGATGAAATTAACTTTTTCTCAACTAATCAGCTGAATGAATCAACAATCACCATGGTCATTAGAATAATCAATTGGATTTCTGCCTTTGTTTTCACAACTTTTTCTTTTATCATGAAAATCACTCAAGATGACAGAAATTTCGGTATTAATATTGGAAGTTTATGTTTCCATGATTCCATTATGTGAGAACCATTTAAGAATAGTTTTTCTCCTCTGTTCAATAACTATGGTAGCATGATAGAATTCATGATATTCAGAACTCGATTCCACCCAAACTTTGATTTCTGTTATAAATATTCTGATGAAAAATGAGTATTTTCTGATGATTTTCTATGATTGATGCATCTGAAATTCACTCTTTCCACACATTATAATGATGCGAATATGGTAAAGAGGAGGTGGACAATTCTACCACCCTCCTCATCATCCTTCTCATCTTTATCTTCATCATCCTCCCATATCCTTGGATAATTCAATAGCAATCGTTTTCTTTTCAACAATTGTTTTTCTCAATTCAATATTACAATTTAATCTAATATTAAGATTGATAATGTGACTGATTTCTCATCCTTTTTTCCAGCTCTATCTTAATAATTTTCATCTTTTCTTTTCTTTCTTTCATGATGATGATAACGATCATCATGAAGAAGATGATAAACTTTCCCTTTTCAATTGTGTTGCATCAATAGGATCTTTTGATATTTTCTCCTTTCTAATTCAACACCAACAACAAAAGACTTCAAGATAACATGTCAACATTCAGAGTATAGCACCATCAACATATGAAAAGAGATCGAAGTAGAGAAAAAAAAGTTCTGAGTAGATTGAATGTCAAAATCTATCAATTTCATGGCCTGAGAATATGCGATTCAGAAGTTATCATGGTGATATTTTTTTCTTCTTTCACAAGCAACTACTCTCTCTCTCTCTCTCTCTCTCTCTCTCTCTGCCTATGTTTCTTGGTTGATTTTCAATTACTTTCTCATCGTCATCATCATAATCAACTTTTCGTTATACAATTAATCTCACTTGGGAATCGATGATTTTGATCAGATTATCTCAGTTAAAAATAATATCATTATTTTATTAACCATCCAGATAATAAGATATTTTTGAGATAAATAAAATACGTGATGTGAGATTAATAACAATTTCTCATCAATAAGCTTCCATGAATTAATAATTTAATTGTTGGAAAAAGATGAATTATTAACTTAAAAGTGGAAAAATCAATAAATGTTCAACTATTATCATACAACCAGATATTAGAAGATCATTGAAAAAAGTTCTGAATTCGTTTTGTTTTTCAGTTGAAGTTCTAAAATTTTCGTTCCGATTTCTATCAGATGAGAAAATCGGAACATTTCTTATTATAAATATTGAGATAAATGAGTAGAATTGTAATGATTCATTAAACTGATCACTAAAGTTAATTAGGTCAACATTTAGTAGGATAATTTTCAAACAAAACTGATGGTCAATTGATGGTCATCACTCTTACTCCTTTTTGAATGTGTTTACATATGAAACTTGGAAAAATTTGCATCCATTAAATTAATCATTATCTCTTCTGAATAGTTGATTGAATGAACTTTTTTTCCACTGTGATTTTCAGGTTAATTATTATACTTATTCATTGATCTGACTCCATCAAGATTCAAGGTTTACACTTGAAAGGCTCAAAGGTTGTAAATGACAAAGCAAATATCATGAATATCATGAATACTCAAGACTATGGCTCAGGGGAAAGATGATTCTGTTTATGAACTTGATCATGTTGTAAGCATTCATATGCATAACTGATCTAGATAAACATGTTGATATTTTTCAATCTCTTGACTCTCAATCTTTCATAATGATAACTCTTGATACAAACATGATCATCTTACATGGTAATGATAACACTTGATGAGAATTGCAAGTTTAATAATAATGTTTCAATGGTATCTTCATGATGATCACGAACTTAATTGAGATGGTGAACCAGAAAAAAAACAAACATTTTCATATACAATTGTCATTACTGATTCACGATTAACTATTTTATATTGTTCATGAATCGATTCAGGAATCATTGAGATGAGGAGTTACATTTGGATTGATGGATAATCAAGTTATTATATTGTAATCAGTTTCTACTATTATAATCATGGTGATCTTTTATTATCTCATCATAAAGTTGAAAAAAAAGCCTTCATGTAATAATGATGATGAGATATTATTATTGATAAGTTACATTGTTTCCAGAACTCAGAATTCTGAGCTTAATATTATTCTGTTTTTTTTCCTCCTCTTCATGTGGGAAGATTATGAGTTTTTTTTCTCTTGCTTTTCATGAAGAGGTTTCATCATCTTCCTTGATGATAGAGAGAAAAAAATGAATTGATGACATTATTTTTTTTTCATAAGAAAAATATTCCAATCATGAAATATCATGATGACTTTATCAATCCTTTTGTTGAGCTGAACTTTGTTCAATTTGTAGTGTTGATGACTTTGTCTATTCACAAACAAATAGTTTTTTAAATGGAAAGTAAACTTTTCAAATCATTGACAGTCAATCAGCTGATTGTTTGAAATGAAAAAAATTCACCATGAATTTATTAATATAACCATCTGAATCTGAACTCATTCAAAATGAATGATTTTTGTTTTCATGATATCTAATTCTGTGTAAAAGCATCAAAGTGAATCTATTTATTAATAATAGTTTCATATCATCCCACTGTTGATGTTTTACTTGATATATTGGACTGAATAGTTGCTTTCATGGCTTTTTCATGATAGTCTTTTTTTCATATCAATTGAAACTCATATCATGTAACTTTCTCACTGAAACTTTATCCTTTTTAATTTAAACCTCGATCATGATTAAGGTTATTCTCATCATCTTTGTATTCACTATCAAGGGAAAAGTTTACTTTCCTCCATCAAGAACTTGATCTACAATTCATCAGCTAATTACCATCTATCTAATACTATTGACCAATGGTCATTATATTACAAGAATCATTAACAATAATATTAGGAAAACCTTGAAATTAATCTTAACCTTGAATAAAATCATGAATTCAAAGGTGATATGATTAAGCTGATTGTTGCAATTATTAGTATGCTATAGTTTGACTGTTTCATTGAACTTTGGTGAACTTTTTCAACAGTAATCAACTTGATCAATCTTATATTCTTGTGGATTAAGCTAATCAATAAATTGTTTCGTTTGGTAAAAAGTTCATTTCTGTTTGATTTTTTTACCTTCTTGTTGCTTACTATCAGGTCTCCTGTGGTGATTCAATTTCAAAGACATTTCTAGACGGTGGGTTTTTATTTATCAGGGAGGTTAAGGTGCTATTATTATCAACATGGTAGTTTAATCAGTGGTTAATCAGTTACATGAGTATAAAAATCATCTTTCATTTCCATCTCTTGGTCATCAGAATAATCGATTTTTTTTAAATTTATTCAATTTTCGTGCAAAAAAATCATTATATGAATTTGAGTTTATCATGAAATCTCAATGAAAACAGTATCAAGTTAGATTCTGATTCTGATAATCAGGGAGAAGCAAAAGTAAATATAATTACAATCAACTTATTATTGTACTAATATTGTTGATGATGTGATTATCATAATTATCCTAAATTGTATTGTCTGCAATTTGTGTGTGTTGAGACAACAATTTGCAAATTGAAATATGAGATGACAATTAAAATTGTTAAAAATGTAAATTCAGGTTGATTGTTATCATTAATTTGATTATAATGATGTGGGTTAGGTGGCTGAGCATTTGAATTATGAATATGAAATGAATTTTGAAATTATTTATGACATTATCGTTGGAGTGATATTTATATCCATCCCCTCATCCTCCTTGCCACCGTCTATGGATGATGCTACTCCCACGATAATAGTTATTCAATATTCTTGATGATATTTTAATATTATTCTTAGGTGGAAAATTTTTCCATAAACATTGGTCATTTCACTGACCATCAGGTTCTCATAACTTTAGATAATCATTAGCGAAATGATAATAATTTATAAATAATGTTAGTGAACATAATTCATTAGCTATAAATGTACATTATTAGTGTTACTTTGTTGTTAATTAATTTTTTCTGTTATTGGGAATGTTAATTGTGTTTGATTAAATTGTGGAATAAAAGTAAAACTTTCATTTCTTTCAAGATTTTATTGATTATTCTATTATTATTATTGAGTCTAAGTTAATTGTTAGTTAACACTTTTACTTAGGAATTATATTCCAGTCTGATTATCAAACTCTTACAATTGAAAGTGGTGAGTTATATCAATTGATTATCAGAATTGAAAGTTTTATTGTTATAATCATGATGAGGATGAGGATGGATTTGAATCTTGTCCGGAAGAGGAGGAAGAGGATGAGGATGAGGATGAAACGGAAATATCCATTGTGATGAGCTTTCATCGTAGGGGCTAAGTAATGGTATCGAAAGCGGCTCGATCCATATGGTCCGTTATTGAGAAATGAATAATAATCACGATCTGGTGATGAAACGATTGGCGATTGATATGATTGCTGTTGTTTGGACTGGTCTTCCGATCTTGGATCATATAATGATTCCGATGATGATGCTGATGGTGATCCTAGCGAATTGAGTATTGGTCTAAATGACCTTTTCCCGTGACCACCGAGACAAGAATGACCATATTGTTGGCAACTTCCTCTCAAAGTGTTAATATATTCATTGGCTGAATTACGTTGATTACGATTTTTGGTATCACGGCATTTAACTTCATTTGGCCAGGTCAATATGAAAAATATGATCAACAAATTGACCACAATAATTGAGACTCGTATCATTTTTCAAACTTTATATTCACAACAATTAACTTGAAGATCACAAATCAATTAAATCTCAGCACAATCTAAAATATAAACTTTTATTTTTCTTGCTCACTTAATAAAGTGTATGATGTATCCTGGAAGATTTGACCATTAACTGACCATTAAGGTGATATCAGTCTATTGTTTTATACAATTTGATAATCTTTTAGCCGATTGATTATTTAATCATCATGCAACATATCAATTGATTATCTCTTTTTAATCATCTACCCTTAATCAAATAATCAAATAGTCACCATCGCATGTCTATCTGTTCAGTTTGACAATCAGTCTAAGTGATTGTACACAATTTATTGGATCGTTAATTGTTGATCATTTTTACGTCGTTGAAAATTATCAAATGATTAACCTAAATTGTTATCCTTTGAGTTGGAAATGTTTTCCTTTCACAATTAATTTCCCAATGAATTTATATTATCCCTTATTAACTGGATTGTAATAACAACGATTAAGATGTTAATTGTTGTAACTCTTTGAGAAGTGTTTTCTTTTCATCTTAATTTCATTGAAATGTTGATTGATGTTGATATTTAAACGTCATGAACATCGTCATGATGTTCATGAATAAGCTGAATGCATACACAATATGGATAAAGAAAATGTTATTTTCAATTGTTTCCTCTATTTTGGTATCATAATCAATCCCGAAAATCAGTCAACCTTAAATTAGATTTGTTTGTGACGTTAATTGTTGACAATTATCGTATTAGTCTGGTTTAGGTCATTTGTTTACTGAACATTTCCTATTATCATTTAACTGGTATCGAAAAATTTTCTTTGACAATTATCACAAATCAATTGTTATCATTCACTGATTTTCTTGTGATAATTAACTGATTGTTATCTTGCAGAAAAAAAAACACAATAGCATAAATTGTTTATTACTCACCAACAATTAACTAACTTGGCATCAATTAAGATGACAATTAACTTTGCATTTCGATTACAATTTAAGAGGAAGAAAAGTTGATCCATTGATTATCATAACTCACAATCGATTCAATTGAATTTGATAGAATCTCGGATGATTTACTTTCTTCAACACTCTAATTAATTGTTTACATTATAATTCTCGCTAATAGTTGATTGTTTATTAATTTTTTCCACAGACAATTGTCTCAAACCAATCGAGTTAAAATTCATGTCCATCTATTGATTTCCCTGTTGTCATATTCAATTCTTATGTCATTACTAATTCTCAATATGATCAATGGATCAACGGAGACAATTTATGATTCAAATGAAATTGATTCGAAAAATATATCATCAAGTGCACAAAAATCATCAATAATTTCGATCTCATCATCATCTAAAATAAAGACTGGTCAGTTTCGTCTTGGGACAATTTACTGTCTATTCCTTTCCGTGTTGGTCAAATATTTTAGATCGACAACTTATTTTTGGATGTTCAATGAGGCCTTTTACCTTCATCAATTAATGGCCCGAGTATTTGCCACTCCACACATGAAAAGTTTAATCAGTTTGGCCTATGGTGTCCCCCTGTTGACCAATACCTCTTATATTATTGTCCGATCCATTTCTAGTTACTCTTCAGGGTCTCAAGGGTCAAGTCGTGATTCATCTGGAAATGTGATCAATATTCCCGATAATCAATTGTCCGTTCAAGGTGATATCTGTTGGCTTCTTCCGTCTCCCAGTGCATGGCAAGAGTGGATCATCAATGCTCCAAACTTGTCAATTCTTGTGGTCAGTATTTTGTTGTCTCTGTCCTTCCAAAATCTAATTTAATCATCTAAATTCTGTTTTTATCTCTCCTCTGGTCACTATTTTCTCACCATCGAAATTAGTTCATGAAACTTGATCATTTTGTACGATCCTCAGTTAATTAGATTGTTGTTAGAACTTATTTTTTTATCATCTTACCTTTATTTTCTCCTTCATCTCTCTCTCTCTCTCTTTCTCTGATTGTTTATCATTTTCGATATCATCTGATTGATGACCAATGAAAACAAGAGTAAAATAATAATACTGGACATAGAAATGTTGACCAACTATTAAAAAAGTTTTTTATCTTCTTTTTTCCTCATTTAACTTTTATTACTCTGCTTTTGTCATCCTTTTCATCATCATCCTTTACTTTTTTCCTCTCTCTCTCTCTCTCTCTTACTATATTTCTCCATCAATTCAATATCTTGTTCCTGTTTTATCATCAATACACAAAGAAATGAAAAAGAGTCGATGAGTAGGTGTTGGAATGAAAGTTCTGGGTCCAGAAAATTGTCCACTTTATGTCCACTAATTTTATTAGATTTATCTTGAGTTTCAATTACAGTTATACTCAGAATTATTTTGAACTTTTGCTCAATATCATCTGATGAATTTCCCTGTTCCCTGTATCTACTAGAACGATGATTTTTTCCATTATCTATCCTCTTGTTAATGAGCATTCTTTCATGATGATAATCATCTTGATGATGAGAGACTCTAGTAGTTTCATTATAAGTTCATATTGTTTAAGTTAATTACTTCCGACTAGTGATTCTTTTCATGATAATGATTACAAGTTGATCTTAATCTGAAAATTTGATTTCTCTTTTGTCTTAATTGTCATTAAAAGGATAAGAGATTATGACAAAAGAGATGATGATGATTTCTTTTTGTTTTGTTTCATCCATTGCGATATTTATCATCAATATGATGATGATGATGATGATGATGATTAATGATCTTCTTCTGATTATCACTCCCAAATCTCCCTCCTCCCACTTTACTCTCCTCTTGACACTAAAAGCTTTCGATGATTATTTCAGCTGATATGATTGAGCTTTAATCATCATCTTCTTGACAATTAAGATCATTTAATCATCTCGATATCAATGATAATCAATTTTACAATCAGATTCCATTTCTTACAATTCATGGAATCTCAAAGTTTTTGTCTTCCGATCAAGAGGAAAACAAAAGTTCTGATCTCATTCTGAGATTTTAACCTTGAATTATTTATGGTGAAAATCATTTCCAATAATCTGACAATAAGTGTTAACTAATTTCGATAATCAATTTTTTCTTATACTTTGTTCACTTTAGTTAATTAATTACTTGTAATCGTTAGAATGATTTGTTTAGATGTCAATCAGATATAAACATTAATTCTGATAAAGATTAATTGTTATCCTTTTTACTTTATTAATCTTAATCTTCATCAATCATTACGTCAATTGTGATTAATTAATCTGATTTAACTCTATCAATATTTTTTTCCTCTCAACTGAATTTGATATAATCATTTGAATCACTTGGTCAAGATCAACAATCAAGCAATAGCAATTAACTTATCTTTCAAATAGATTTTCCCAATCAACGAATAATAATAATTAAAAATTGACCTAATTAAATTATTATTCTACTGATTAACATGGTTAATTCTGTTTTAATTAATCAATCATCACCAATGAATTCACCTTTTCTCTCGTAATTTGATTTAGACAATGATGTTCAGATAATCAGTTGATGATTAATTCAACTAATTTCCTTTTTTCAACCAATTTTCATGTTCCGTTTCCAGGTAAACATATATTTCCAATCCAACTACTAACCATTAATTATTTAATTAACATGATTATCACCTTAATGAATGACCTTTAGCTTGAAATGTTTCGTTGGTCAAATTTGTAGTAATAAACTTTCATGGTTATCATGTATTTCTGAGTAAACCAATTGAATCAGAATAGGAATTTAATTGGTCCATTTTTTTTGTAGGGAAAAAAATGCCACTCAATTAGCTAACAATCTAATTAGGAGACTATGAACTTTCGTATATTTTAATTGTGTGATGTTGATCAGTATTCGTAGAGAATTTTAATTAATTTTTGTTCGTCCAAATTTACAGATAAACTTCATCTTCCTCATCTCGGTTTTACGAGAAATATGTGCCAAAGCCGCAGCGACACCCGCTTCGTCCACTTCGACACCTTCGCCCCACCAGATCCGTCGGAATCTATTAAGAGTTCCCACCTCTCCCGAAAAGGCTCCGATCACCAGGGCCAGTTTTCTAGTTTCCCTGCGAGCGGCAAGTTTACTTTTACCGCTCTATGGACTTCACTATCTATTCATTGTTTATCGTCCAGATACCAGGTAAGATAATCATGTTAATCTAATCTCATCCTGTTAATCCGATAAGCAAATCAGTTAATTAGTTAAAACCATTTACAATCTATAGATGGCATTACTTTAATTACTTTTCATCATCATTAACTTTCAATTAATAAGAACCGTTTCCGCCTCCTCTTCAATTAACAATTACCTATTTGCGACTTTAATTGTTTAGAATAAGAAAAGAAAATGATTAACTAATCATTTTATCTCAGAACAATAATTAAATCAAAGAAACTTATAAATATGTTTCAATATAACTTTTAAATTCAATCGAAATGATTAGAAACTCTGAACTTTTTTAATGTATTTCGACAACAATTGCAACTTTTTGCACGCTGATTGTTGAACTAATTGTGATTTAATTTTCTTTTTTTTCTTAATTGTTTCATAGTGTTTGCTGGTTATCAGAATCATATCATTATGCTTCAATTACACTGGATGGATTACAGGGAACAATTGTCTCAATACTTTACTGTTTCCTAAATAACGAAGTAAGTTTGACAATTAGCGACAATTAATTGATCCAATTTATTGGGCAAAAGTATCAGAAAATCAATTATTTGCAAAGGTTAATATTAAATTACACGATTTAGGTTTAATCATTTGTTTCAATTCAATTAACTCTCTAATCAATTTGAATCAAATTGTCACTTCCTTGTCAATTAATTAATAAAATGGATTACTAATTAAATTTACTAACTATCATTAGCTTAGGACTAATCATCATCCTTTAGTTAATCAAAACCATTTTTGGAGTTTGACAATTAATAATCCCTGGTAATTAATTACCTTAAAAATTAATTGTCACCAAGCAACTTGAAAATGATGAAAACAATTTATTAATTACAATTGTTAAACTAATCAACATGAAAAAGTTTTAATCCTTTTTTTATTGTAGCATAAAAGTTACATAATTTAATTAAACTAATCATTGACAGTTAATTCAAATGTTAACCCTATATATAATCATCTTATACTTGGAACTAAATTAGTTAATTGTTAGTTAATTTTTTTCAATTCAATCAAACTCCAACTTGATCAACAATAAACACCAAATGCCCGTGTGATCAATGAAACGCCCCAACAATTAGCTTAAACTGTTAACTGTTGTAACAATTATAATACTCAACTTGATGATATGATGAAAAATTATGTCGTCATTACAATTAAATTGATTCTAACAATTAATCAATTAACAATCTTCAATAATTTTCCCTGTGTGTGAGATACTTTTTTGTTTTCTAATTGCAAATGATTAAAATCAAGGTGATAATTTGATTAGAGTAACAATTGTCATTTAGATCCTGAAAACATATAATTATAATCTTGATTAGTACCTTTGGTTAATTTATCTAGTTTAATTGTTATTATTGATCAACTGATATGTTAATTAAGTCCTAATTGTATTGATTACAATGGTGTTTATATATTAAAACAAACAACATTAATTTTCAATTGTTAATTGATTGTCACGATATTAATATATTATGATATTAGCTTTAATTTGAATCTTTTATATTTTACTTTCAATTACAATTTCTTAATTGTTGATATTCAATAGTCCCAGGTAATTAAATTGTAATTGATAAATCAATTGACTGTTGATTGAATATTGATTATTGGAGTGAAAAACTTATGTATTTTTTTGGTTCTTTATTTGAATCTGATAATATGATTTTCAATTGATTAACAATCAATATACTTTTTTTGTTGATAATCAACTGATTTCCAATAACGATCAGAGCCTAATTTACTGATTATTGTTCAGATGATTAACTTAATCATTCCCATATATTATCATGATAACTATCATTACTCTGAAACTTTGTAAAGATATTGAAAAGTTCATTGATGAAAATTTGATTGTTCATTTCAGATTATGATCTTAATCTCAATCAATATCCTCATAGTTATCTTATCTTAATCATTGACAATTTAACGTTACAATTGAATTTGATGGTTTCAAATTTAATCGACTCAATTGTTGGACCATTAACTTTGTAACAGTAAAAACCTTAATGACGATTTCTTAATGATCGTATTCATTGAGATCAACTGTAAATAATGCTAAAAGTTTAACAATTGGATGACCATTTAATGGAAACAAACTGACCAAAGTTAATGTTTATAATAATCAGCTGATTGTGACCTTGACTCAAAATTGAATAACATTGATTTATTTTCATCTTGCAAGATTATAACAAATATCACTAACTATTATTGCCCAACAATAATCATCAATTATTAATCTAATCAATTGTTTGCATCGATTCTCATTATTATCTAATTAGGTTCGAGCTCATCTGAAAAGATCATTTTTCAAGCGACAAGATCAAACCATCAATTTTACGGAAATCGTAGCCACTCATTGAGACATTAAATTGGAAAATTGGGAAACCGCAACAATGGCCCATTCGCATCTTGAAAGTTAATGATGATAATGATAACCAATGGGTCAGAATTTGTCGATATCGATATTGTATAATCCGCAAACTTGAACCTGGAATTATATAATCATTAGAACTGTAAATCGAATTGTAAATTGAACAGAGAATCGATTACAAATCAATCACATGTTGGCCTTTTGTTTTTGTTTGTTTACAAACAGAAAATGTAATCAAAATGATGTTCGATTACAATTAAAGGTTACAAAAACGTTAATTTAATCAACAAATTGAAATCAACAAATTAACAATGAAAAGCAAAACTGATTACAATTAAATGAAAGGCTTGGAAAACAGAAACAAAAAGTTCAATCATTGCTCGTTGTAAAATGATGAAGATGATTGAAACAAAGATGATGACTGAAGATGATGATGATCATCATAATTATCAGAGGGAAAAAATTAAGGTAAACAAAAGATAAATCTTCCTTCGGGGAGACGAGGAGTAATATGACACTAAGAAAACAGAGAAATCCTTAACAATTAACTAACCAAAACAATCACAATGAAAGAGAGAGAGAGAGAGAGAAAGAAACAGAATAACAATTAAATAACTAATTAACTAATCACGTTAACCAGATATTTCAACTCTTTCTTTTTAATTTGTTGATATGTTAACAGACACCAACAAACAATCAGCCAACAATCAACAATCAACAATCAATTGCAACACACAAATTGTATCCTTTTTCTGTTCTATCCCCAAACTGATTGATTAAAAAGTCTAAAGTCTAATCAAGTAAAGTGGAAACACCAACACAACACAAGCAAGGAGGGAACTTCAACCCAACATCAACACAACAACAACAACAACAAAAGCATCAGAATCTTTTCTGATGATGATGATGAAAAAAAAAAGTAACATTGGTGCTTATATTTTGTTTCCTTATCAACCGAGAAATGTAAACTCACATTTATATATATTGGAATACATTGTTTACAGTAATTAGATTGAGAGGATTGATTAGATTATCTGACTAACTGTATATTGGCATCACCAGGCATTTTTATTGATAACAATTAAACCCCTCGGATTGGGTTCCCTTTTCATCATCATGGTGATGAGGATGATGATGATGATCGTCAATATCATTTATTTATCAACCATCAACCAAACACATTACAATTTTTTCTGCTCTTTCAAGACTTTAGACTTTAATCTAACGGTTGTTAACACCCCTTGTTGTCCTCTTACTCTCTCTCTCTCTCTCTCTATAATTCCCACTGATCTTTATAACCTCCTGATAGTGTTTGGTATCTACCAGAAAACGAATTTCTGTCCACCTTTTTTTCCTCATCTTCGACTTTTTCCTCTCTCTCTCTCTCTCTCTCATCCTTCTCATCTCTCTGTATCTCACTCTCTCTCTCTCATCCTTCTCATCTCTCTGTATCTCTCTCTCTCTCTCTCTTTCTCTTTCTTTCTCTGTCTTTTTCTGTTTGTTTCCATTAATTTACCTTTCGATATCATCATCAATATTTATCATCAGTTTTTGTCGTTCTTGTCGTCGTCATCATCATCTCATCTTTTACATCTCATCTCCTTCATCTTCATCACCATCGGCAACAGTAACTCCAACATCTTAATTAATTAATTATTACGACAGAGAGAAGAAAGTAAAAATTTCTTTATCTTGATTGTGATACTTATGTCGTTGTGAAGAGAAAAAGAAAGAAGAGAAAGAAAGTAAAAAAAAAAAGAAAAAGAAAGAGAAAAAAGAATTAGGAAAACAATTAGAATTGTTGGATTGTTCTAAATTGCTTTTCCATTCCATGGAGACATTTACCGAACAATTTATTCCACTTTATTCAACTGATGGTAATGATGGTACTTCCAATGGAACCAATGGAGATGGTGGTGGTGGTGGAAACGCCGGTGGAGGTGCAAGTGGAAACAACGGTGGTTCGAGTTCATCTGTGATCAATACAACGTCGACCGTTACTACGGCGACCGCTGCCGCCGCCGCCGCCGCTGCTGCTGCTGCTGCAGTGTCATTCAATTCAAACAATCCAACGATTAATCCTTATCAAGGTTACGCTATTTTTAATCAAGTTCATCATCATCCGATTGTCTCACCAAATGATTTGGGTCGACGGTTAATCAATGATATTGATAAATTTTCCTCCTCAGAGGGAAGAGAGTGTGTTAATTGTGGAGCGATACAAACACCGCTTTGGCGTCGCGATGGAACAGGTCACTATTTGTGCAATGCTTGTGGACTTTTTCATAAAATGAATGGTTACAATCGACCATTGGTCAAGAATCAAAGACGATTAACAGTAAGTTGTAAATTGATTTCCCACCATAATAATCAAAACACTCCATTTGATTATAATCGCTCATTTTGTTTTCTAATTGTTTCTTTTATCTTGCAAGTGGAAACAACGGTGGTTCGAGTTCATCTGTGATCAATACAACGTCGACCGTTACTACGGCGACCGCTGCCGCCGCCGCCGCCGCTGCTGCTGCTGCTGCAGTGTCATTCAATTCAAACAATCCAACGATTAATCCTTATCAAGGTTATGCTATTTTTAATCAAGTTCATCATCATCCGATTGTCTCACCAAATGATTTGGGTCGACGGTTAATCAATGATATTGATAAATTTTCCTCCTCAGAGGAAGAGAGTGTGGTGTGGAGCGATACAAACACCGCTTTGGCGTCGCGATGGAACAGGTCACTATTTGTGCAATGCTTGTGGACTTTTTCATAAAATGAATGGTTACAATCGACCATTGGTCAAGAATCAAAGACGATTAACAGTAAGTTGTAAATTGATTTCCCACCATAATAATCAAAACACTCCATTTGATTATAATCGCTCATTTTGTTTTCTAATTGTTTCTTTTATCTTTCTTGTGGTTGTTGTGTCCACTCCACTTTTCTAGAGCTCTTCTCGGCGAACGGGTCGTAAATGTGCAAACTGTGGGACGGCGGTCACTTCGTTATGGCGGTGTAACAGTAAAGGCGAATCGGTTTGCAACGCCTGCGGCTTATATTTCAAATTGCATAGTATCCCCAGGCCACTGACCATGAAGAAAGATTCAATTCAAACACGGAAAAGGAAACCGAAATCCCATCAATCAGGTGGAGGTGGCGGTGGACCATCACAACTACAAGTGCAGCTACAACACCAACACCATCAACAACAACAACAACAACAGGTTATCCAACATCATCATCAGCAACAACAACAACAACACCATCAATTGCAAACACATCAACTTCATCTTCATCAACAACATTCCTCTAATCATCATCATCATAATCAACAAAATCCTCATCATCACTCCCAACAATCAAATCAATTACAGGACAATGGTACCGATGGGCCAATATCCCTACAACTCCACCACCCCCAACCCTCAACTTTACAAAATCACCTTTTATCGTTATCAAAGGAACTGTTAATTACCAATGGTCAGCAAACTGTTATCCAATCACACCAATTAAATAATTCCAGTCTACAAGATGACCCTTCAGTCCCATTAGAATTAACCTCAACTAATCATTTCGACAATTAAGTCCACAATTGCAATAGCTTTTTATCAACGCAACTAATCAAATTAACAAAAACAAAACCTCAATTTACAATCAAATTTTAAAAGCAACAAAGTTGTTAACTTTTTAGTAACAATTTAACAAAACAATTGCGACAAAGGGTTAAAAAAGCAATTAATTTATCATTCAAAGCTTATTAATCAAAATTGTCAATTTGATCAATGATTTTTTAAGCGAAAAAAACCAATCAATTTGTATACAAACAATTTATTGTCTTTAATTATATTAACTTTTTTTTGTTAATCAAAAAGTATCAGCCGTTCGTTTAGAGTTTTATTATAAACGTTATTCTGTACAATAGTTGGTGTTTGTAAGGATAGTGGAGTTTGAACTTGGATTTGGTGTTTGGTGAAACGGGAATTACAAAGAAAATGACCAGTGGCCGTTTGTCTCCATAACGAAGTAGCAGTTGAAGCACAATTGACACAATCTCGACCCGTTGGGTCACTCAAATCCATTTCATTGTTATTCGCTACTTTAAGTGTTTTCAAGTCAACTAAAGTGGCAACAGTTTGATGCTGAGAGTGGGGAGATGATGAATTTGAAGATGAGTGTGCTTGTTGTTGTTGTTGCTGCTGATGCTGCTGTTGATGCTGCTGCTGGTGATGATGATGATGATGATGATGTTGTAGCTCAATTGGTTGACTGTGTTGTTGAAGAACTTGTAAATGTTGATGTTGCTGTTGTTGTTGATGAGAAAGTTGTTGAAGAGCGTGAATAGCAGCTACAGGAGATTGAACTTGATACCCATTGTTAGTTATAGAAATAATTTTAGCCTGATTAATACCGCCAACACCACCACCGACACCAACACCAACACTATCACCACCAAGAGTTGATCCAATATTTACACCACCACCACCGTTAACAATTGTACCAAAATGATTACCAAGATTATTGTGAAGTATATTAACATTACCACCGCCGTTTGAAACATAACCACCATTAGAAACACTTAATTGTTGCCCTTCGTTAGATAAATTTGCCAAATTGGCCCAAATAACTGAATTAATACCATGGGAAGCATCAGAGTTAATCCATTCATAGTTGATAACGGGATTTATTGTAGTTGTTGTATTCAAACTGGACATTGTCAGAATACTATCAGTTAGATGAACGGCTAATCTTATTTGATGTGAAAGATAAAAATAAGATATTAATTGTCTTACATCGATAATTTGATATTTTTAAGTTAAGAAAATCCAAAGGAGAGAGAGAAAGAGAGAGAGTAAAAAAGTAAGAAAATGACACAAACAGAGAGAAAGAGAGAGAGAGAGGATGGAAGCGAGGGATGAGGTAGATTAGTAACCGATAATTGTGAAGGTGATAACAATTGAATTGTTGGTTAATATAAAACAATAAATATTCATGACAATAATCAGAACTGTAGTTGTGATGTGACTAGAAAAAAAGAATGATACAAACTTGAATCACATAGAAAAGATAACAAAATAAAAAAGAGAACATTTTTTTCTATCAATTTTTGTTCTTCTTCCAAAACCAATCACCATTTTGATTTAATTCGTGTATCTAACGGACGATGAAAAGTATTAGATGAGAAAACACAAAAGGGCAAGAGAAAGAGAAAAAGAACAAAGGAGAAAGAGAATTAATAATCTAATCTAAATAAGATTTTATCTTGACCATAATGAGTCACCAAATCTTTTGATCTTTTAATTTCTCTTTCTTTTTCAATTCATTTCAAGAAATTGATGTGACCACAACAAAAAAGAAAGAGAGAAAGAAAGAGAAACAGAAAAGAATTTAACTAATGTTCTTTTCTAAATGTTATCTTCTGATTGTTTTTTCTTCTTCTTCTTCTTCTTTAGTCACTAATTGTCGTATTTCTCTTGTAAACTGAGAAAGAAAAGAAAAAAATAAATGTTGACTACAAAGAGAAAAGAGAAATTAAAAGTCAATAGATTTTCTTAATTTCCTCTCTTATCTTACATAGATTAACGGAGATTAACAAGAAAAGATATTAAAACAGTTTAAGATGATCGAGTTAATCTCACTTGACCATAGTAAGTGAACAAAGACAAGAAAGAAGAAGAAGAAGAGAAAAAATCAATCATAAGGGAATGAATTGGACAAACATTTGAAAGAGAAAAGAAAATTATTCAAATTATTCTGTTTCTCTCTCTCATGTTATAAATGAATAATCACAAAAAAAAGAAAGAGGAAGTTACAAAAGAGAGAAAATCAGAGCAATTAGAATAGCCAACAAATCGGTTACTTGTGGTCAAGATAAATCGTTTGAAAGATTAGATTATCTCTCTTTCTCTCTCTTTCCGTTTCTCCTTTTATCTTAATTAATCATCTCTATCAACACTAGATAAGTATTTATTTATAAGTAAAACTAAAAGATGATGATTGGTTTTGGAAGAGAAAAGAATAGAAAAAAAACTCTCTCTTTCTCTCTTTCTTTTTCTCCTCTCTTTCTCTGTTTTCTTTTGGTTCTCTCATTTTATATTCTTTTATATTCTCTCTCTCTCCCTCTTTCAGTTGATCCCAAGTTTTTTTTTTCATTTCTCTTGTTCTCTCGTTTCCACTGGTTGTGAATACACGATAAATATTTAATTGTTATCATCCTCGCAATTATCAGTGGTTACAATCTCATCTCTCACTTTCTCTCTCTCTCTCTCTCTCTTTCTGTCTTTGTGTTGCCCCCTTTCTTTATACCACCTTAAGAAATATCTATCCATCAGATTTAATAGATTAACTGTTCATCTAACTGATAGTATTCTGACAATGTCCAGTTTGAATACAACAACTACAATAAATCCCGTTATCAACTATGAATGGATTAACTCTGATGCTTCCCATGGTATTAATTCAGTTATTTGGGCCAATTTGGCAAATTTATCTAACGAAGGGCAACAATTAAGTGTTTCTAATGGTGGTTATGTTTCAAACGGCGGTGGTAATGTTAATATACTTCACAATAATCTTGGTAATCATTTTGGTACAATTGTTAACGGTGGTGGTGGTGTAAATATTGGATCAACTCTTGGTGGTGATAGTGTTGGTGTTGGTGTCGGTGGTGGTGTTGGCGGTATTAATCAGGCTAAAATTATTTCTATAACTAACAATGGGTATCAAGTTCAATCTCCTGTAGCTGCTATTCACGCTCTTCAACAACTTTCTCATCAACAACAACAGCAACATCAACATTTACAAGTTCTTCAACAACACAGTCAACCAATTGAGCTACAACATCATCATCATCATCATCATCACCAGCAGCAGCATCAACAGCAGCATCAACAGCATCAGCAGCAACAACAACAACAACAACAAGCACACTCATCTTCAAATTCATCATCTCCCCACTCTCAGCATCAAACTGTTGCCACTTTAGTTGACTTGAAAACACTTAAAGTAGCGAATAACAATGAAATGGATTTGAGTGACCCAACGGGTCGAGATTGTGTCAATTGTGCTTCAACTGCTACTTCGTTATGGAGACAAACGGCCACTGGTCATTTTCTTTGTAATTCCCGTTTCACCAAACACCAAATCCAAGTTCAAACTCCACTATCCTTACAAACACCAACCATTGTACAGAATAAAAACTCTAAACGAACGGCTGTAAGTAGATCTCTCAGAATTACCAATTGTTGCATTTATCGTATTATTGTAGCCAAGGAGAAAACAGATCCATTGATAACTATTTACACCTCCAACTCTTGAATGTGCAATTTTCTCAATCCAATAATTTCGTTCTTTTGTAATCTAAATATCAAAAGTTATGATGACGAAATTGATAATGGCAATGAGAACCAGAGTAACAATAATAAAATCAACGATTCCAATGAAGCTTCAAATCCCAACGACAACAACAACAACAATAATATTAATAGTACAAATAATGGTAATAATTTAACGAATACAATTAACGATAATCAACTTGACGATTCTCAAATCAATCAAACCCAACAAACAAATGGTGATGAAATTAGCCACCAAATAGCATCAAATGATAATTCAAACAATTCAACAGGTAATATTCAAATTACCAACGCCGATTCCAATAATCCATCTGATGGATCCAATAGCAATTCAATTGGCAGCAATGTAGTTGATTAATATACTTTTATTATTATCATTACAATTGAATCAACTATGCAAATATAATCAAAAAGTCATTAATAACAAGGGTGATAATATTTTTCGTTAATCCAAAGTAAATTAACTAATTGAGCTACTGAAACAGTAGCTTTATCAATTCAGCATCCTGATTATTTTCACTCTTTAGAAACTTTTCAAGAAATATTTCTAATTGTTTCCCCCTTTTTTTTTATACCAACAATTAACAAATTTTGATATACTAAAATTATTTATCCTTCTTTGTAACTACAATTAACAGCAAATTTTTTGTTCTAACTTATAATTAATTAACAATTAATTTATTCCTCAGATCTATTTTTTTTTCTTCCTCTTCTCTCATAAGCAAACACAATTAAAACATTTATTATTATACAGTTTTGCTGACAAATCGTAATTAACTATTCTGTTTATCTCAAAAGTGAATCAATGTCTTCTCATTAGAAATTATTGTAAAATCAAAGACAGAAAATGTAAATTAAAATGATTAAGACAAAAATTATTCTATTAAAACAAAAAGCAATTAAAATTATTAAAACAATTAACTGAATTTATCCATTGAATGGACAAGAAATTAATTTTACTCTCTATGGGAAATTTTAAATTGTTAATCACTTGAAAATTATCAAAACTCAACATTGGAATAAGAAATCAACAAGATGAGGAAGGAAAAGAAGATGAAAAAGATGATAGATTTTTTTTCTCAATGAAATTTTCGAAAACTGAATTCTATCAATCGATTCATTGAACAATTCAAGATTACTACTGAACGGAACTGATTTCTAATTATGATCTAACTGCCTCAGGCTCTTTGAGGTTATCGCTATCAAAAGCAACTCTTGATAACGAAACTTAATCTGATAACAATTCAATTAGTTGGATAATAATTTATTCATTTACATAAGTAGCAATTAAACTTGGAGAACATGAGACTTTGGTTCTGTTAATTCTAACGAATTTATGATATTTACTCAATTATATTGAAATATTTTCGAAATCAATTGGATCGACTTGCAGATAATGGAATTAATTTAATCAATGGTCGAATCCCTCGAAAAGAGATCGAAAAGATCATTTTCTTTTTCTCGATTCTTCTAATTCGAAAAACAATCCGTCACCTCGACGATGATTTCTAACAACGGGATGAGAATCTCCTCATGTATTAGAAATTTGCAATTCTCAAAATCATCAAATAATTTGATTCAAATTTCCATCGAATTTACTTGAAATTTTATTCTTTGAAATTCTCTTGGTGGTTCCATCTGGCGGCGAAAAAGAAAATTGTTGTTGATCGTTTTTCTTCTTGAATGTCTTTCTTTCTGCTTTTGGATAAACAGAAATCACTCTCTTTTTTACTTTCTTTTGTTTGGTGAGTTTATTTGAAAATCTCTTTCTGTTTTTCTCTTTCTTTCTCAGAATATCTTTATCTTCATACAATTGTTATCACCAATTTCATCTTCATCACCACCTTTATCATCATCATATTCCAACTGAGTAGAGACAAAGAAAAAAATAAAGTCCATTGATCTTGTTTAATTCGATAAGATTTCCTTTTGTTTGTTTGCATCATTTTTTTCTCTCTCTCTCTCTTTCTCTCACTATCATCATTTATAATCGGTTGTTTTCTTGAAATCTGTGGTTTCAAATTGTAAGTGTAGTGGCATCGCCTCTCTCTTTCTCTCAATTGCTCTGGTTGGTTTTCTTTTTACCTGTTGATATACACCGAAACACATATTCATACACACATCATGGCTTCGGATGGTTTTAGCCGGAAAATGCGTCTCAATAATTTTAAGAATCGTGGTAAGGATGCAGAAGAGATGAGACGTCGTCGGAATGAGCAAACAGTTGAATTGAGGAAGAATAAGCGTGAAGAGTCAATCCTTAAGAGACGAAATGTACCAATAACGGATGCACCCGTGGACACCGATGATGAACAATGGAGATCAACCTTCAGCAGTTTAACGGAGATTGTTGCAAGTGCCGCATGTGGTCAACTTGAGGCTAAATTAAATGCGGTGCGAGCGGCTCGTAAGCTGCTCTCAAGTGATAAAAATCCACCCATCGATGAGCTAATTGGTTCGGGTATATTACCAATTTTAGTTGAATGTTTAAAACATACAGATTCCCAATTACAGTTTGAAGCGGCTTGGGCATTAACCAATATTGCCAGTGGTACATCAGAACAGACTCAAGCCGTTGTTGAATCAGGTGCTGTGCCCATTTTTCTGGATCTTCTTCACTCTTCAAGTGATAATGTCTGTGAACAAGCGGTTTGGGCTTTAGGTAATATTATCGGTGATGGTCCCCGACTTCGAGACTATTGTATCAAATTGGGTGTAGTTAAGCCTCTTCTATCACTAATTGAACCTGAAATGGCTTTATCATTTTTACGCAATGTAACCTGGGTAATTGTTAATCTTTGCCGGAATAAAGATCCACCACCACCAATAGAAACCATCCAGGAGCTTCTTCCAGCTTTAGCTTACCTGATTCACCATGCAGATATTACAATTTTGGTTGATACAGTTTGGGCCTTGTCCTATTTAACCGATGGTGGAAATGAACAGATTCAATTAGTTATTGACTGTGGAATTGTTTCCAACCTTGTACCACTTTTGTGTCATAAAGAAGTTAAAGTTCAAACAGCAGCTCTACGTGCTGTTGGTAATATAGTTACCGGTACCGATGAACAAACTCAGGCTGTTCTAAATTGTAAAGCATTAAGCTATTTTCCTGCTCTCCTTGAACATCCAAAAGAAAAGATTAACAAAGAAGCTGTTTGGTTTTTATCCAATGTTACCGCTGGTAATCAACAACAAATTCAGGCAATCATTGACGCTAACCTAATTCCTGGTATAATCCGACATCTTGCCCGAGGTGATTTTCAAACGCAACGTGAAGCAGCCTGGGCGATAACCAATATGACCATTTCAGGAAACAAAGGACAAATTGAATACCTTGTCTCTCATGAAGTGATCGCACCAATGTGTGATCTATTATCGGTTAAAGATGTTCAAATACTTCAAGTGGTCTTGGATGGACTGATGAATATACTAAAAATGGCGGGTAAAAATTTCTATCCCGTTGCTGATCAGATAGAGAAATGTGGTGGTCTAGATAAGATTGAACTTTTACAAAATCATGATAATCCTGATATTTATAGACTTTCCTATGAAATAATTGACTCATTTTTCTCAGATGATAATGATGAAGATGCCTCACTTGTACCAACATCTAATGATGGTACCGGATTTCAATTTGGTAATGCCAATACACTTCCCGATAAAAGATTTAACTTTTGATCTTGATGATGATATTGAACCATAACAAACAAAGTACATAAATATAACAACAACATCAACAACCGATATCAACTTCGCTAGCAACAGAAAATCAAGCAAAGAAAATTCATCAATCCTAAAAATCAAAAGACAAGACCCAACCCAACCCAACCAATTGGAATGGAACTTAAATTGTCTCATCACTGGGCAATTGTGAAATTTGACATCAAAGTTGCGGAATAATTATAACCTTCTAATTGGTCAACTCTGATTTTCTCTCTACATCTCCCACTCCCACTCTCTCTCTCTCTCCAATTTCCTTAGCCTTTTTTCAGCTATAAAATGCTGATTTATTTCTGAAATCGAGAAATTTTCTCGTAACAGTCAGAGTTACATAGATGATGACGCATATATATTCCAAAAACAAAACATCAGCAATTAAGCAAACAAAGCACATGATGAACTTGCCTAATTAGTAATCCATCTTTGCTTGATTTTTTCTCTCCTCTCATTTTTCTCTCACTTTCTCTCTCTCTCTCTCTCACACATACATACACATTAAGCTTTTCACGAGCTTTCTGTCGATCTTAAATCAATCGCTCTAATTGTAAGAAAAAGAAAAACTTAATATTTATAAATTAAGATTAACAAAAATTGTACGTAAATTTAAAGACAATTAAGAATTGGAATATATACTCCATCTATGTAAATCTGATTGAAATTCTGTGTTATTCAAATTTCAATTCCTCCTCTTATCATTTCCTTTTCCTTTACTTATATTATTTTTTTTTCTCCCAAAACTCTCCGCCAAATCGACCGCCGCCACCACCACTACACCTCCCATATGATTTTCTGTGTATTTGTAGACAAAGATTGTGACAATTTGTTTTCTCCATTATAAGAAAACAAAACAAATTGATTACGATGGACATGGATTCCTCCGACAAACTTGAAACCCTCATCACAATTAACCAAACTAAACCTTGATGATGAAAACCACAAATGTGTTTTTTTTAATTAACAATCTAATTAACCAACAAGATTCCCTTTGCCTACACAAAAACAAATATAAACAAGAAATTAAGGTTGACCATAGTTGAAATTGTTTCTCATTTTTCTTTCCGTTTCTCTGTTTTCACCTTTAATTTACCAAATTAACTTGTTAATATTTAATCAATCAATTCGATCAAATTGTTAATTGCTCATAGAAAATCAAGTCTCTAATTACAATCGGCCCTCGGTGTTATCGCGATACTTTTTTTTTCCTCTCAATGTTCGGGTTACATATAAAATTATTTTTCGCCACGAATTTAGATGATTAATTGTGGAGTAATTGGTCAATCAACATGTCGATAAGTTGAGAAAATGTGGTCAGCGATCTGAAGAGTAACATCAACATCGGCAGCGGACAAACACATCGGCGGTGTGATTCTGATTACGCTCCCAGAAGGTCCGCCCTTACCAATTAGAAGTCCATTGTCTTTAAATTGTTCAAGTATCGAAGCGAATCCTTTAGGATCGATTGGTTTCTTCGTCTCCTGTGTCCAAGACGATTGGTCATCGAAAGGAAATGTACAAATTGTCCATGGATTAATATTCAATATCGATTTAATTGTTCGACAAACTTTCACTCACCTTATCCTTTACTAATTCTATTCCAATCATTAGGCCTTTACCTCGAACATCGCCAATTACGTCGGGATATTTATCACGAAGTTTTCCAAGGCCAATAAGTAATTTCTTTCCTTGGATCGAACTGTTTTCTTGCATTTTCTCATCGTCGATTATGTCAATCACTTCAGAGCCAATTCGACAAGCCAACGGATTACCACCAAAGGTATTAAAAAATAGCGCTTTCTTCATGGACGAAGCGATTTCCTCGCTGGTTACAACGGCCGCTAACGGGAAACCGTTACCAATTCCTTTGGCCATGGTAACTGATTTTATCGAAAGGAAAAAAATTCAAAAATAAAAGAAAAACTTGAGAAAGTTAAAAGATGAAAATCTCTCTCATTGTCCTGTTTAAACTGACCGATATCTGGAACTATTCCATGAGCCTGAAATCCCCAATAATGAGTTCCCGTTCTGCCGAATCCTGTTTGAACCTTAATTCCAATAAGAATCAATTAACTTATTAACCGATTGAACAATTGATCGGATTGAATTTTTCTTACCTCATCAGAGATAAATAATCCACCTTGTTGTTTAATCTTCTCATAAGCTTTTGAGATATAATTAGATGGAAATTGAACAAAACCACCGACACCGAGTATCGATTCAACAATGAATCCTGCGATTCTACCTTTTGGTACTACGGTTGTTAGAACTTGATCAAGGTCTTGGATATATTTATCTGATGCTTGACAATTATCCCCCGATGGACAATCACAATCACGAGTTGTTTGAATTAACGAGTCCCGACATTTTGATCCACCAAAACGACCTTGATATGGATCAGGACAAGTTGTATGATGGAATCCAGGTAAACCTGGTATTGGATATTTCCAGGTACCAATACCACCCAAAGCCATGGTATTCGGTGAGCAACCATGGTAACAATTTCTCAAGGAGATCATCTCATAAGATTGGGTGTGAAGTCGAGCCAATAAGATGGCGAATTCATTTGCCTCAGAACCAGAATTACAAAAGAAAACGTTATTCAATTGAGAAGGAAATTTTCCCAACAATTTATCGGTGAATCGGTAAATCTCATCGTAAACATAAAGGGAACTCGTGTGCCAAAGTTTACCCGCTTGATCGGTCAAAGCCTTTACCAATCTATCGTGACAATGACCTACACTTGTGGTCACTATTCCGCCGAAAAGGTCCAAATATTGGCGACCCTTTTCATCCCAAACATATTGCATCTTCCCTTGGACCAGAATCGGTGGATTCTGGTAGATTGTAAGTAAACATGGATTCAAATGTTTACCATGAACTTTCCTGATCTTCTCAAGGTTCCAAGTCTATTAAGACAATAACAATTAACCATCAGTCAAATCAACGATCTTAATTGTTAACTTACCTCATAAGTTGCCGGTTTAAAGTTCCTAAGCTCTGGTAGTTTAAATTGACTGGAAAAATATCTCAATGCTAATTTAGACACTGAGTTAATCACAGATCTTGAAGTTAACATATGATGATGATTTAAATTGAGTCCAAATTTCATTATTAACAATCAAATATTAATTGGCAACGATTAACAAACAACAACAACAACAATAAGATTGATTGAGTAAAGTGGACACATTAATTATGAACAATTATCAACACTCAACATTAATCTATGTGTATACTTTGATTGATTGATTGTTGATTACAAAAAAACTATAGATTGATTGTTAATAACAATTAACAAATAAAAACAAAGGTAACAATATAACAATGGTGAAGACAATACAATCCAACGGAAAGAATTAAAGTTTTACATGTTGGATACAAAAGGATTAAGATAATTATCGATCAGCAATTGTAATTAGATTATTTTTGAGATGATCAATTAGACTTAATTGTCGATTGATTTGAAAGAAATCAAAAGATTTTCTCATTTTTTGGTTAATCGTTTCGAGCGCCACAAATTTTATCTCATCTTTTGATCACCAGTTTTTTGTTTTTCTTTCAACTTGTTTACATTTTCATCACAATTTAAATTGTTCCCATGTTTTAATTGCAGTTAATTGTTCTAGAGCAACAATTAGATTTTCTAAATGGTAATTAAGATCTATTTTATCTTACTCTTCATTTAGATCAATAGTTTATTCAATTCGTGGTTATGTTGTTTTTTTTCATGGGGAATTTGAATTGTTTTCAATTTTCATTTTTTCTATTCTCTTTTTTTAGACTAATTAAATCTGATTGTTTTTGTTTTTCTTCTTGTTTAATAGATTAATTTGGTTTCTCTCCATCATACTGATTAACTGACCATCAGTTTTCATGTGCCTTTTAATTGGATCCATTGAAGTGACATCGATAACATTGATTACAATGTTTTTCCTATGATGTTTGTTATTACTTATCATTGATTGTTATGGATTAGATTTTGATTGTCTTTGGATTTGATCTTTTTTCTGATTATCTTTTTGAACAATGTTTTCTAATAACAATCAAGAGGTTGGAGCATTGGTTGAAAAGATAACCACCTCTGGTCGAAAGGATCTTGACCAAGAATCATGGGAAAAGCTTAAACTGATCTGTAAACAAGAAGGTGATTCAGTTGTGGAGCAAATTTTTCACATGTTAACCTTTCAACTGTCCCGAGGTCATTCACAGATACGATTTTGTACCTTACTATTAATCGATGAGCTTTTCCGGCGATCTCATTGTTTCCGAAATCTTTTACTTCGTCACGACCATTTAAATAATTTCGTTGAACTAACCTTAGGATTGAATGAAGAGAAACCTTTACCTCCACCAAAGGCCTGGGCCAAAGACTTGAAAAAAAAGTCCATCGAGTGTATTGACTTTTGGCACGATAAGTTCAAAGAGGATATCCATCATTGAAGAGTTTATATTCCCACTTTTCAACTAATTGTATCAATTTCCGTCAACGGGAGATAGTCCGTCAAAATGAGAGAGCTGCAGTTGAAGCGGAGAGACAACGAGAATTGGAAACATTGAAGAGAAAGATGGAAAGAGTTAATCAAAGATTCGGTGAAATTAAAAGTTCATGTGAATCTCATATCGTTCAAATACTCAGTTGTTTCCAACTCTTGTATCCTGATATTCAAAAGGAAGATATTTTCAGGTATTCTGACAACTTTTCCTTAGAAATTCAACTTGAGGTTAACTAACTGTTCAGTAGAGGATTCAGAAATCTCGATAATCTGATCAGATGTACCGGTTACAGTTCGACCTTATATCGAAATTGTCAAAGATTCGGACAATGAAGGAGTTATTCAAAATCTTAAAGATGTTTATCATGATATTGTTACTCATGGATTACCAAAGATTAAGACAATTTTAAAAGATATGGCGGAAGGACCAGAATTTTGTAAAGATGAGATGAAAGAAGCGATTGATTTGAAAAGTAAACTGTTAATCGCGATACAAAAGTTCATTGAGTTAAAAATAATCGATAAGCCGATTGACGAGGATCAAGAGTCTGAATCAAAGGATAAAAAAGTAAATTCATCTGGAAACTTGAAGGTGGAAAATCTGATAACAATGATGATGAAGATACCGAGGAGGAGGACGAGGAGGAAGAAGATGATGAATTTGAGGAGGTACAAGAAAAGGAAGGACTCGAATCGATTATCCCTCAACATCGACTCAAAGAATATGGTATTAATCCTGGAGTGGAAATCGATCCTAATCAACCATGTTCTTCTCGAAGTTCAACTGGTACCATGTGTAAAGCTCCATTGCCGAATGGTAAACTATGTCCTCGCCGTGATGCTCGAAAATGTCCCTTCCATGGTCGTATTATACCTCGAAATGAAATGGGTGAACCTTTGAACGAAGAAGATAAAAAAACTGTCGAACCAAAGAAATCACCGGATGAGGAAGTTCCTGATTGGCAAGATCCAGAATATTTAAAAGACTTAGAAGCTCAAATTGGAATTGATCTAACGGTTCATAAGAAAGTTAAAGGTCAAAAGAAACGAATCAAAGTGAAAACACTTCAAGACATTAAAACTTGCGACGAAACACCAAGGAAACGATTGAAGAGGCGAATCTTCAACAAAGATGCTCAAGAAAGATTAGCTCGAGATCTTGATCATATTGATGAACGGAGATCACTACAGTTTGAAGATCAATGGAATTACGCTCTCAACAATTAACCAAATATGCAAATTCACCAATCACCAGAAAGCTAATTGAAATACTACCAATCATTAAAATACCAACAAAATTATCGTTGGTTAATTTTAGTGTTTATTTTTACTCATCTATCAAGACCAAAAGGAGTAGGAGGAAGATGATTAAAGATACCATCATCTTTATATCCTCATCATCTTCATCATCATGTAAACACAGAGAGGAAACTAAATGATAAATAATTTTAATGTTATACAATTAGAAAGAAAATCGATAAAACTTTCAGGCCTAACCTGTTATCCACCAAAGTTGGTAAAAAGGATGAGGATGGAGAAGAGGAAATGATGATTAAAAAAAGAAAAGGTTATAAAAATATTTTCTAATTATGATAATTAATGTGGAAAGAAATTAATCTTTAAATAAGGCAAACCACTAATTGACTTGTAAATTGTATATTCAGCTGATCAGTTTATTGGAAAAACAGGAAAAACGAAATATAGTTAAAAGTTTTTCGAGTAAATTAATCACACTGATTTAATTATCTTCCAGTTTTCTTACAAACCTACTTGTGCTGTTTTTTAATCTGTATCATAACATTAATTCTGGTTAATTGTCTTCGTTTTGTAACAAAGTTAATATAATAATTTCCTCATCTTTTTTATGTTATATCATTTAGTTATAAATACAATTGATATGATTTATGATTTTGGTGCAAATGTTGAAAAGTGCCAATAAAAATATTTCCTAATTATGATAATTAATTTGGAAAGAAATTAATCTTTAAATAAGTCAAACCACTAATTGACTTGTAAAACAGACCACGAATATTAATAGTACCATTTGAAATGGTTCGAGCGACTGAGAATATTTTTATTTTTTAATTCCTTCTTCTCGGACTTCAATTTTTCGATCTTAATTGAAGATTTCGTTTCGAGGCCACAAAAACTTTGTTCCGATCAATTTTTCTAAAACTAGTAAACACAATAGTAAGTCCATCGAGAATGGATAATCCAAACCAAAGACCCAGAATACTACCAGTGTAAATAAGATATTCAGCCAGAGTAAATGCTGGATAAGCTGTGGTTTTCTGGACAAATTCTGATGGACATTTTATGTTGAACATTTTGAATAATTCATCGTCACCTTCACCTTCACTTGCAATTTTCATTATCAACGACTGATCGTCCATCGATCGCCAGTTTATCGCATAAGATACACGTTCACATTCCGGTTGTTGGATCTTTTCTATGCAAAATTCGTATTGTTTTTCGTAATCGTTACCAGAAAAATCGAAAGTCCTGTTCGTATAGACAGAATACTTTTCCCATTCATGTAATGAGAATTTGCTCATGTAATTATTATTCTGCAATAGACTTGATTCTATTATACATTCATGTAGTACTTTCAATCTATCATAATGACGACAGTTCGTTTCATATGGATATTCAAGTGATTTGACGATTGTCTTTCTATACGTTAATGCGTGTGCTGAGACTTTCTCAGTAAATATGGTGTATTGTTCTGGATCTTCACGAGGATGAATGTTATGATCACTAAATCGCAATCCAAATGGAGTAAACGTTTGCAATGCAAAAACACCGTAATTGCCATTCGTCTCAAATTTTTGAACGCTGAAAATTTTACTGTTGTTGTTACATGCGATTCGAGAAACGATAGAAAAAGAATCAAAATACAAGGTAACGTTACAAAAATCAATGCTAACGAGGTGATCTTCCCAAAATACTGCGTAATTCATTTTATTAAATAAGTTAAACTCATTAATGTCACTTATTGTAATGAATTCCAGAATATATGGCCAAAGTCGACTCATAACTGGAGCCAATTTTACACATTTATCGATCTCCGAATCACCAGCGTCATAAGAAAGGCCAATTTTCTTTGTAATTACGTTGAAAATATCTAAAATTTTATCCGAATATCGGGAACAAAGTTGAGTCAAATTCATGGCAGAAGCCATCGGTACTAGTATATCGATTGCTGGTAACTCAACGGTTGTCAACGGTTCGTATGTAACATCGTTACGAACTTTAAAAGCGAAAAACTCACTGGTTATAACGAACAATTGAATTGAACAACCAATTGAGCAGAACAATTTAACAAATAATGTTAATTTCACCATTTTTCGCGTAGAATAATGATAAATGATTGAGAATTAATGATTTAACATCTAGTGTAACAATTAATTTGTCGAATTGAAGTGAATCTGTTTTTATCGACTTTTGGAGATTTAATAATTAGCTGAAAAGAAAATCAATCGATTCTTTTAATTATCAAAAGATAATGATGATAAAATAACTTTTAGATATTAATAAATTGATTCGATTCTTCAATTGTGTTAATCACTGGAGAGAGTTGATCATTATTGTTAATCAAAAGTTAATTGCAATCGTTTTGTAACAAAGTGAAAATAATTTCCTCATCTTTTTAATGTATTACAATTCAATCACATAATTGGTACGATTTTTGAAGCAAACGTTGAAAAGGGCTAATAAAACACGGATACTAATACAGTCATCTCCATACATTATTTTGTTATCTTCGACAGATTCTCAATTTCTCGATAGTTTATCGCATAAGATACACGTTCACATTCCGGTTCTCGAATCTTTCTTACGCAATATTCGTAATATTTCCTGTAATTCTCTTCAAAAGAAGAATGGGAAGTGCTGTTCGTATTGTTAGAATATAATGGAAATTTACTCAGGCGATTCTTATTCTTAGAAAGCGTCAATTCTATTATTCATTCATTAAGTGTTCTCAGTCTATGATAATGACGAGAGTTCGTTTCATATGGATATTCAAGTGATTTGACGATTGTCTTTCTATACGATAATGCGTGTGCTGAGACTTTCTCAGTAAATATGGTGTATTGGTCTGGATCTTCATAGGGATGAATGTTATGATCACTAAATCGCAATCCAAACGGAGTAAAAGTTCTTAAAATTAAAATACCGTAATTGCCATTCGTTTCTAATTTTTTCGTGTGGAAAAGTTTACCGTTAACTCTACAATCAAGTCCTGTAACAATCGCAACAGAATCAAAATACAAGGTAACGTTACAAAATTTAATGATATCTTACGTAATTTCCCAAAGAACTTCAAATTTCATTTTATCGAACAAGTTGAGCTCTTTCATTTCTCTCATGTCGACAAATCACCGATCACAAGCTGAATTTAAATTTTGAATTTAGCGCGAAATAGGCAAATAATATGTCGAATTGAAGTAAAGTCTTTTAATTTGTCAACTTTTAGAGCGGAATCAACAATTAATAACAAGATTTTTTTAATAGCAATTGAAGATCTTTGAATGATTCACTAATTAGTATTTTATTGATGGATTTGAAAGAAAACGATTCTCTTATTAAATGATGACAAAATATCTTTTAAATTAATTGCTCCGATTCTCATTAATTTATGAAATGGATTTATGACAATTGCATCATTGCCGTTTGTTTATCAACCATCTTATTAATTTCTCTAATTTGATTGCAACAATTAATCAATATAAAGACCAGTTTTCTTTATGTTCACCACTCATGCTTTGGATAAGGAAAAAAAATTGTTAATTATTTGGTTACAATGACAATAATCAACTAACCATGAAGATAATTAAACACTAGAGTAATTAAAGGTTACGATTATTAATAATTTTGGAATAATTTTAATTATAAATAAATTAAATTTATACTGTCGTTGATTAGTTTAATCACTAGGTAATTAAATTAAAAGCCTCCACTATCCAATGATTTAAACTAACAAACTAACAATTCAAATTAACTGTAGACTAATTTAAAAAGTTTGTTTAATCAATTGGAAATAATTTTCACTCTCAATTGTACTAATAATAAAACACTTAATTGGTTATGATTAAACTCGTAATGTTAATCACTGGAGAGAGTTGGATCATTACTGTTAATCAAAAGTTTTCTCTTCTCAGATAGAAATCATCAACAATTAACTAATCATCATCAGAGAGAGCAAAAGGTTTCCCATTGATTTTGATGGTTGAATGAAGAGGGAAAAAAGTGATTGTCACAATTTAAGTGGAAAAGGAAAATAAATAAATCATTAAGACTTTAATTCCTTGTAACTTGTTACATTACCAATGGACTGGAAGATGAGAAGATGATGAAATATCATCTTCTTCTCATCTTCATCACCATGGGAAGTGGACAAAGGATGGACATGGTGAAAAAAGAGGTTAGACAAAAATTCTGTTGATATTATATGATTATCATTATTTTCCGTTCCAACGATATTGATAATCACACCCAATAGAAAGGTAAAGATGAAGATGTAACCATTTGCTCATGATCTTCATCTTCTTCTTATCATCATCATCATCATTTAGTTTCCATGGATCAATCAAGTAAAAAGCATCATCATCAGAAAAAAAGTTCCATCAGAATCAAAAGGAAAGAAAAAAAATTCTCAATATTTTCATTCCAAAAATAGGGAATCATGTTTATCTTACCTGAAGAGATACTTATACTCGTTATTATTATTGTTTTGATTTTCATCTTCATCATCATGATTATATTGTAATCTATTGATTATTTGGGTGAAACCATTAATATAATAATATTGTATTCGCTTGGTAAAGGAAACGGTTTTTCATTCCAATTCTGATTTTGGTTGGAATAAAAATCCAATATTTTTTTTAGCTTTTCTTTTCATTCAGGATAATCTATTTTTCCATGAATTTCAAGCGATTCTGTTATCGTCAGCATTTGTTATTTTCATCCGTTATTAAGATTCAAGGTTAATCATCATCATGTAAAACTCATAATTTAACTTTAATTTCAATTGATTTGTTTCCTGATTCAATAATGAATCTAATATGAGTTATAACATTTTTCAAGAACTTTCAGATTATCATGAAAGGAAAAGAAATAAAAAAATTTTCTTCTCTTTCTCAAAGTTATCATTATATGAATTCTTATGGAAAAATTCATATATATTCATTCATTTGTTCAAAGTTCGTGTTCATTATCATGATGTTGATATTTTTGACAGTTACTATTTGAGTGTACTCACAATGAGTAAATGATAATCATGATGATTAAGCTTGAATGATCCTGGAAAAGATCATGTTAGTTATCATGAAGATACTCAGATAATAATGATTATGATTAAAATGTTGAAACCACTAAAATGTTGTCACAAAACAATTAATCTAATAAAGATTTAGATGAGATTAAAGGGATCAAGTTGATTGTTACCTGATTGTAGTCATTAAATTGTTGCAATAGTTAAATCAACTAACCTTTGATTATTTCATTTCGTCAGGCGAAAGGGTTTAATTGTTGATGACAGTGATTTGATTACATTTGATTGATTAGATTAAGTATAATTTAACTTTTGAATGAATTAAGATGAAATTAAGTCAACTTGAAGTTTAACTAATTGTTACTAATATTTGTAATGGTGATGATTAGTTCAATTGTCTAGTTGATTATATCTGAGTAAATGATCAATGATGAAATTGAAATCCATCAGATATCGTTAGATATATTATATCAAATGAACCAGAATAAGTTATCATGGTGGTGTTGATAATGCTGATGAAGATGAGGATGATAATGTTGTCCATTGTGTTACAGGAAGGATGAGGAAGATAAAAATGGAATGAA